CACCGCGTTCCTCTTCGACCGGAGCTGTTGTTCTGACAAAGTCCGGCCATCGTCTTATAGTTTCCTACCTCGCACGAGACCGATCTATGATGTTGGGCCCCGGAGTCATCGAAATTGTTGGTTTTTCATAAAGTGTCGTATTTTACTGTTAATAAGCATAATATATAAGTAACTTTTCGAACGATAAACATAAGTGGTCTGAAAAAATGGAACCTTATTGGTAAACACAAAAAATAACCCGATTGCGTCAGTTGGAATGCGTTGTGCGAAAAGCGATCATTCCTCAAAATGCAAATTGCAAAATAAACTCTGATTATGCTGCAACTGCCTGGTAAAAAATATTGCCTGTAAATATTTGGTAAAAAAAGTATTGCTCTATGTATTCTTGATTTTAAAATCGCCCGAATGGTTTTTATGTTTTATTAATGGAGGATATTCGCTTTTTGCGCATAAGCCATTCAATTGATATATTTATCACTTCGATCTTGATTCGTGTCGGTCATCGATTAACGCTTTTCTTTTTTGAAAAAAAAATGATAATCTTTGTACGCATAGTAGTAGTAATCTGGAAAGCAACAAAGGGCAATGGTCTCCCCTTCTTCTTATTTACAGAAGAAGGCAAAGGTGCCTTATACTAACGTCGGGCAATACGCACAACAGCTATGTCTATACTTAAACGACGAAAATCGGAAACTCGTCGGAAAACGAACGTCACGGTGTACTGGCGATTAGAGTAGAACAAAAGGGCATTGTGGCTTCTAGCTATTGTTCGACGACGGTTATTTTTAAGTAGCCTGATTTTTTTACCCGTCGATTGTCTGTTGTACAATAGATTACCCGTATCTTATGCTCGCACAACTTATACATTTTCATAAACGGGTAATTTCGGTAGAGGACAGGAAAAATAAAATCCTGTAATCTTTGCTTGGCGTCGACACTTTTAAGTTGGCTTGACAGCACTTGTTTCTTTTAGATTCTATCATTTAACCGTGTATAATTTATATTTTAATGTGTATATGTAAAGATTTTCGATAACCAAAAATAACAATATCAAAAATACATTATTATATCACACTTTATCCTCTGAGGTGTAAATTAATCATGGTAAATCAAAAAAATTAAATAGTCGAAATAATTTCACCACGCTGTTTGTAGAGACAAATGTGATGAATTAATATAATATCATTTGCATCACACTACGCTTCATATGTAAAATATGTATTGCCTTATTTTTTTCTTTACATTACACAGTAGGTTCAAATAGCATATTAAAGAGGATGTGGTGGCTCCCATTTACCATATCAGATGCGAGACATAGCTTCCCACGGTACGGTGAGAATGAAAAATATTATCCTATTGGGACGCTCCCATTTTATACTTCTTCTTCAGAGTAATCCTATTGTTTTTCCCCCTTTAAATCAAGTACTGGATTTAATTATACTATCCACCGTCTAATGATTTCAAGTCTTATCAGATAAACTATATTTAAGGTTGGGCATATTTGTATTACGTGTGCCTATGTTAAGTAGTTGGGTAACAGTTGTAACTTGTATAACTAATAACGTAAAAAGTACATTTCCCATATAAATGTATGCAGCACTACAGTTGTCAATAGGCATTAAGCCGCTCTTGCGGGTGCCACTAGACGTTTTTGTCGTTATCGACTCATCACAAAATCATGATGAGATTTGACTAATATTATGTAATAGTTCTAATTTTCTATTTTTTAATTACAATCCACATCATGTTAACTAGATGTACTATGATATAATTAGACGTTTAAAAATTAAAAAAATTGTTTTCTTTATCCGTGTAACTTTAAACTAGTTTCAACATTAAAAAGTTAGTTAAAGTAGTTTAAGTTAGTCATTAGTTGAAGTAAGTAGAGTAATTTGCCCACCGCTGAATACGTTTAGGCGTAGCGGTACAACGGCGGCTGGCAACGGAAATGTATATTATTTATGTGTGTAGTATGATGTGCTCGATCGGTTTGTTTGAATCAATCTCTTTGGAACGTGCACGGCAGACTCCCGCGGGTGTAATCCACTGCAAAGGATTTGGCGGTGTACGACCAGGTATTATAAAATATACACTTTCGGTCCGTCATTGATCATTCGGGACGCGTATCCGTTTTGCTCGGGGGCTCCCGGTTTTTTTTTTATTATTACACGAGTTTAGATTGAAAATAATCACCGTCGAGATACGTGGGGAAATCGTGTATCGTCGGACCGCACGATATATAGGGATGAAGGCTGTCTCGCGGTAAAAACGATATAGGGATCAGGTCAGGGATAAGATTAAGGATACGACGACGGACAAACGCCGTCACGCATTATGTATGTATCGGTTGCGCGACCGTCCCGTTTTTATAGAAACTTTCGGATATACCCTTCGTGTACAGACATTTTTCGCGGGTGGACCAGTCGACGAGGATTACCGGCACGGGCAAAGTGTACACGAGAGAGAGAGAGAGAGCGTGGCAAACTAGAGACGGAGAGTTAAAGAATAAAAAGAAAAAAAGAAATACATATAAGCGAGGGGAAGATACGGCTGAAAACTTGGCAACGGGTCGATTAAGGCCTAACACGGGTACACGCACAAAGGTCAATACTTTCGGTTTTGCCGTCCGTTGTCGCCATCGAGGTCCAACCGTTTACGGTTTATTCCATTGCTTCGGAAATTCAGCTTTTGGCTCTCAGGAATCTTTATGGTGACAAAAAAAAAACTAACGAACAGAGGGTTTTCCAAACCAGGATACATCTCCCTCGTTGATAAAATAAAACTAAAAAAATATCTTCTCAACTTAGCATGCTTTCTAGTTGCTTGCAAGTTGCAAACGTGACGAATTCTCCTCTGGGGTGAATGTTGATTTACTTAATACAATGATATTCAATAGGTAATAGGTACTTAAAGTTAATACTTCTTCTCTTTTACAAATGAATAGCTCTTATCAGTTGTTTTCCGAATCAGTTACCCCGCTCTTGTTGGTCTTATTACTCAGGCGGTATACAACAAAACAATAAACAATAGAGATCACTTAAAATTAAATGTAAGTATTTCTAAATGAAAATATTTTAATGTCGACGGAGGCTATTTAATTCTAGAACTATACATACGCAATGACAGTAGGACACGAGTATTCTCGTTTGTTTTAATCTAGTCATAACAGATCAAGAGCTACATTAAAATAATTTATGGCTGTATGTGAAGTAAAATTGTTCGCAGTTGACAAGTCAGAAGATGATATCTTCACTTCGTAACACGAATTTAAATGTTATATTATATAATTATTATATATTATGTACATCTTAGAATTGGATAGCACAACATTTCATTTTGAAATAATTTAATATGTTACCCATCGAGGGTCACAACTTCATAGCTACGATACTATTAAATACTGAACGATTTGTTTAACTTGACCACCCGTAACTAGTAGTGTAAACAACAGGTTTTGCGCTGATGAACACTGCAGACTGTAGAGGCTGTATTATTACTAAACTCTCCAAATTTCCACAGAGTAGCGGCTACTTGGGCACGGGGTTAGGATGCGATTGTGCCCGCAACCAAAAGAGTGTGAAAAAACGAAAGAGGAGACCTTAAACGCCGTCGTGTGTGTGCGCTTTTGGTTTCTGGCCGGGCGGAGCGCATTAGAATTATGAACGTTTTCCGGAATTATTGTTTCGTTATACCGGATAAATGTTCTTTTTTTTATATATTTTTCCCTTTCACTCCTTCACACCGACGCACGGCGGTATGCTTTACATATTATTCACAGCCCTTATAGCCCGATGGGGCGCGGCGGCGGTCGAGGAACCGCGCCCGGACCCGGCGGGGGACGGCGACGACGGCGCGCGTACACACGGCGGTGTCGGACCCTGCAGCCGGTTATTATACGGGACTCGGCCGGGCACAGCGCAAGCGTCGATCCACGCCCTAACTCCGGTCCAGTGGCAGCCGGCGGCGGCGGCGGCAACTCCCGTCAGTCAGCACAGCGCACACCCTGCGCGTTTACGGCCGTCGCGTTTTTCCCGTCGTCGAAAAAATCCAAAATACATTTAGCGCCAAAGTGTGTGTGTGTGCTCTCCAAGACACCTCTGCGAAATCGTCGGAAACCCGTAACGTCTCGACGAGGTTGAAATCCACCTGCCGGACTGCCGTCGATATCCAGAGGCGACCGGCCAGCGGCGCCGTCTCTACCCCGCGCCCAGTTCCGCCGGACATGACGGCTTGCCCGAGCGGTGCGGTCCGCGTGTCGCCGTCGCCCATATGTTACCGCCGAAGAAATGCCCGTCGTTCGCACGTGAGTTGCCGTACAGGAATCCGTCGCGTCCACGGGGAATTGGGATTTCCGCCCCTTTGACCGGACCCCGTGGCTCTGGGTCCGGCCAAAAACCGCCCTGTCGGTCAGTCGACACCCTTTTCGTAGTATCTAACACCACCTGTATAAACTCGGTAGCGGCTATCGTACAGTTACTAGACATCCCTGCGAGGGGCTCTGCACGAGGATGGTGGTATATTTTTGTAATAACAGAGTGCCGCTTAAAAAAAATTGTACACGGCCAGACCACCGTGTTAATAGATCTATCCGCCGTCTTCGAGTTTACGGTTGAACCTAACGCCGGCGGGGTATAAAAAAAAACGGCCTAGCGATTGTTTTTTATTGGCGAGATCCCGTCGATTTCATGCGGGGTCGCCTATTGTGTTCTTGAGAATCCATTGTTCGGCGGTGGGGAGCAAAACAAATGTTTGCCATCATTGTAGGAGCACTCGACATTTTTTTTTCTTTTTTTCTATCTTTTTCGCTCGAGGATCTCGGAGTTCACACGTTATTATTACAAAGTTGAGAAGGCGCGCGTTATAAACAAAAATATATATATATACACAATAATAATGTATGATATACTAAAACTCTTATTATCGTAGCCGAGATTGGCTTATTCGAAAACGACTCGAGTGTCGAACTTGAAGTGACGGAGATTTCTTTTTTTTTTTTACAGATGACTATGGCGTCGTCAGAGGTCTAACAAGGAGTATGGGAAGAGAGGCATGGGCCTACGGCTGGACCAGAGACCATTGAGCAAAGTCACGGTAGTCTACGCAGCTCTCGTTCTCACGCTGTTTTACAGGGTCCCAGTCACAAGTGAGTCTAGTAGCATGCCTAATATTATATTTAAACAGTTTTTTTCGAAAATATTGTACGCTTTTTAACGTTAAACGAGTCGTTATCTAATAAACGATTTGATTAGGCAAGCTATAGTTGACTTTGGCGGTCCTTATGTACCCATAGAGACGTAATAATGGTACTCATTAAAATATTAACCGAAAGCAAACGCACGATGAGTAGACAAAAAAATAATATCCGAACTAATCAGCAAAGGAAAATTATCAAATGCCTTTCACCCACCACAAGCTCCAGGGAAATTCCAAACTCTACAATACTAATCGCCGAGTCACATTTATTAATAATTCGTTGATTTCACGAATTCTTTAACATTGTATTATAAATGTATAATAATGTCAACGATTATTTTGCTATACATAATATACATATAAATATATCGTCAGCTAACTAACATCTTGTAATCACGGCTATTGATGTGGAAATGTATTCATAGATCATTCATCAATATTGGTCGACAAAAATGTTGTCATAAATCATTTTGATATGTGTCATATTTTGATGAACAATTGCTCATTAACAACAAAGTAAATAATGATTAGGTCTGGGTCATATACATAGTGTATAAGTTTAAAAAATTAATAAAAATAATCGGGTTAGAAGGTTGTATAAAAGTTTGAAAATATTTCCAATATTTTATGTATAACCTTATATGAATCATTAAATTTAGAAAAAAGCATTTAAAAACATGTTTGACAATATTTTAAAATATCATTTTTTTTATTGCTATAATGACATTATACCAAACTAAAGTAAATGTCAACTTTTAGATTTATTGTAACAGCTTATTTATGTACCTACTCGGACACACTTTCTCGAGGAACGACGTGGGTTTTTTATAAGTAAATACCTATTATTTTTTTTTATCTAGTACGTTTTTAATGATATATATTTTTCATCTCGGAATATATATTTTCATTAAACAGCCAGAAACCATATCTTCAAGAGATGTGTCAAAAAAACGGACCCTCGTCGGCTGCTATATCGCTTGAAGTGCTTATCAAAAACCACCGTTTCGGTGTCGAAATTAAAAACACGTCACGATCAACAGACTGTTCGGGACGTGACGGTTGATTATTATTTGGTAGCCGAGTAAAAGTCCCGGGCAAATGTAATTATCGTCTATCGCCCTGGCCGTAATACATTTTATTCCTATATAGTCTCTTCACACATATGCCCGTGTGTATACCTTCCTATCTTTTACATATACATGTATGTAGAAAAATAGATAGAAACTGAAAGAGAGAGAAAACTCTTGAAAAACAAAACAAAAGTGATCCATATTGTTCTCCCCTAAGGTCATTGCCAGGCTGCTGCGCCGGGACCAGACGTATTTCCGAGAATTATTTCTAATTAATCGTCATGCGTCAGCTGCCGCCAAATCCTATCATATAGTTGACCGCCGTTCAAAAGCTTCAAGCATTGGTACGGATATTTTCAGCAAAATCGAGCATACGGGCTACTGAGTATCGAAGAGATTAATTTATTTTCTTTACAAAATAAATATAAAAAAATGTCCTATGTATGCTTTTTGATAAATCGTTTAACTCGCGTGGCTCCTTTTTTATTTTAACATTGTGTGTACAATTTAAAAAAACACAAAACATCCTATGAATTTTGGAAATTTTTGCCGCACATTTTTATCTTGTGTTTAAGTAAGAACAAAACATATGTACATGACACGAAACACTTTTGTCACAAATTTCGCCTTCAAAGCCTTTAGATAAAGTTCCATTAAATTCGAGTTTTTCAAAAACCATTTGTACATACATACATATATATATATATATATAATATGTTGTCTCGGTAATTTTGAAAACGATGCTCAAACGCCACAGAAATACCCGGCTTTCGAGTAATCCTTAATACCACAACGATAAAACGTCCACCAGACACTCGAGTTAGGTGTATACTCGAGGGACCCAATCTCAAACCAATTAACCGTAGCCGATTTAAACATATATATATATATATATATATACACTTATATCTACTTAGAACTCCCCCGGGTGCAATATGTAGGCATCGGGTAGGAGTTAACCTCTGGTGTTGTAGTTCGCACGTGTTGACTGTAGGTAATGGTCTGTATAAGTAGCGGCATGTATACTCGGCTATTCTATTCCGTATAATTGTATTGATCCAACAATTCACGCGGGTAGACCGCATTGGATATCTTACTTCTATTGGCACGAGTGTTGCGCCAATGATGCTATATAAATTGATTCACAGGAAGGTAGCTGTGGAGAATACATCGACGGCCTGACTTTCTTGGGGAAAATGATAGTTTAACCGTCAATGCGTTTGTTTGATTACAATACCGGAATCCTATGAATAACTCGTTAAAACGTCATCTGGTAAAAAAGAGCACACGATTCGCTTTAATCGCCTTAAAAATATAACGATGAAAAAAAAAACCTGGAAAAGCCGAGTCATTACTATTCGTTTTATAAAACCAAAATCGTTTACCGCGCTTGAGTATATAATAATTTTCATTTATATTTATTTTTTTCTCCATTCAAAGGAGCCCCTTTAATCTGTCGGTTTGTAATAAAGGCTTAAGATTTTTTTTTTTTCCCCCCGATAACTTTCTCGCTCTTTTGTCGAGTTTCTTTTATTCACGACTTTGTTCGATTTCAAACTTTTTCGTCCTAACCCCGACAACGTACAAACCTTTTAGTTCTGCGGCTTGTTTTCCTCTCGGAAACGACTTTCAACAGCAAAAAAGCTAAACGCAAAATAAATATTAGAAGTACCGTACTCGAGGGGTTGGAGGGAGGCCGACCGTGCGGCGTACGCAGCAGAGTTTCCAAACAAATGATAATCCCCGCAAACAATATTAATCCTCCTCTCGTCGCTCAGAATCAGAGGAGAATCGTATAGACTTTATAATATTATAATACATATTTTATTTGTTTTTACAGCTACCGGGTCGACGTTCAATGATGCTGTACACATCACGGCAATCGTGGGAGAATCAGTCGTGTTTAACTGCCAGGTGGAATTCCCAGCCGAGCACCCCGTGCCTTATGTGCTACAGTGGGAGAAAAAAGTGAGTATACAAATTACGCCCACAGGTTACAGCCGTAAACTTTTGTCCAGACCCTTTTGTTTATGATTTATTAACGGAAACGCGAGATCCCACTCGGCGTTTAAAACGTTTGTTTTATACAATGATGTTAAAATTATAATAGTTGTCGAGAATAACAACGACTGGTTACCCAGGTTTCCAAAAACCACACTCCAAAAGTTTCGTTCATGTCCTAACCCGAGGACGAACTAACAGTAATTTATATCCCGAACGAATCAATCCGAATAACAATTGTTTTTTTAACCAAACAATGCCAACCCGTTTTACCCGTCGAGCTATGTTTCCCATATTACGCTATTATCTTCTTAACTTCGCTTTCAAGCTAAAAATAACGTCCTGTTAAAATTGAACGTGTACGTCGTGTGTTGCCAGGGACTCGACATACCGATATTCATATGGTACGATAACTATCCCACCCACAGCGGATCGGGATACGAGGGCCGTGTGGCCAGGGTCTCGCCAGACTCGCCGTACGGTCTCGCTTCGCTCAACTTGACCAACATCCAAGAGTCGGACCAGGGCTGGTACGCCTGCAAAGTAGTGTTCCTCAACCGGTCGCCCACCAACAAGAACGGCACATGGTTCCATCTAGACGTTCACGGTAAGTGATCGTTTTGAAGACAGCATACAAATGCGACTTTATCTAATCACATTACCGTTTTGCTTTTAGCTCCCCCGAGATTCGTCACCGTTCCCGGCGAAGTCCAATACATCAATCTCGGGGACTCGATCATCCTGAACTGCCAGGCAGTGGGCACGCCCACGCCCGAAATCGTCTGGTTCAAAGACGCCACGGACGTGCAGCCCACGGCCACGGTAGGCATATTCAACGACGGTACCGAGCTGAGGATATCCAACATCAGGAGCGAAGACATTGGCGACTACACTTGCATCGCCAGAAACGGCGAGGGTCAGATAAGTCACACGGCCAGGGTGCTGATCGCCGGCGGCGCCGTGATCATGGTGCCCCCGACCAACCAGACAAAGTTGGAGGGCGAGAAAGTGGAATTCCCGTGCGGCGCCAAAGCCATGCCCGGCAACGTGACGGTCCGATGGACCCGCGACGGGGCCGTGGTGAAAAGCATTTCGGCCCTGGAGACCAGAGTTACCATCAAGAAAGACGGGTCGATGGTCATCAATCCGGTGAGCGCCGACGATTCCGGACAGTATTTCTGTGAAGTCACCAACGGCATAGGAGATCCTCAATCGGCTTCCGCTTATCTAAATATCGAATGTGAGTAAACGAATCCCGGTTTATCCCGGTCTCCTCCTATTGACGTATAACCATCTACTTTGTTTAGACCCGGCCAAAGTGACTTTTACGCCGACCGTACAGTATTTGCCGTTCCGTCTGGCCGGCGTTGTCCAGTGTTACATCAAAGCCAACCCCCCGTTACAGTACGTCACGTGGACCAAAGACAAACGATTGCTCGAACCGTACCAACAAAAGGACATTGTCATCATGAACAACGGTTCACTGCTATTTACCAGGGTAAGTCAGAGCCGAGCTTAATGGTCACTCGACATAGTATATTAATTGTGCGTGTTCCGCACAGGTCAATCAAAACCATCAGGGCAGATACACGTGTACACCCTACAACGCACAGGGTACCCAGGGTTCGTCCGGGCAAATGGAAGTTTTGGTGAGGAAACCGCCGACGTTTATCGTCGAGCCAGAAAACATGTACCAACGCAAGATCGGCGAACCCGTCGAGATGCACTGCGACGCCCAAGAAGCGGAAGGCACGCAAAAGCCAAAAATCCAATGGCAAAGGGTGAGTTGGGATCCGGTAATGGGAATCGAATTTTGTGAATCGATCAAGTTTTTTTTTTTAACTATTGAATTGTCTGCACGCAGAGAGACGGCGCTGCTTTGCCCAAAGGCCGGCACAAGGTACACAGCGGAAACATCACAATAGAAAGTCTTCGGAAAACCGATTTCGGATACTACCAATGTGTGGCCAGCAACGAAGTGGCTACCATCGTCACCACTACCCATCTGGTGGTTGAAGGCACACAGCCTCACGCACCTTACAACGTCTCGGCCAACGCTTCCGAGACCGTGGTCACTCTCCAATGGCTGCCCGGTTACAGCGGCGGCCCCGACTACAAGCAGGACTATACCATATGGTACGAAGGAACTTGTTAGACCGCTGTGGCTTTTGGACGGTTTTTGAGTTGCAACTTTTGTTTGTCTCGCAGGTACCGAGAAGCCGGCATGACGGAATGGTCGACCATACCGGTAACGCCTTCGGGAAGCACTCAGGTGACCATCAACCGGTTGACGCCGGACACGACCTATGAGTTTCAGGTGGTCGGCAAGAACGCGTTGGGCGACGGAATGCTCAGCAAAGTAATTTCAATAAGGACACAAGGTGAGTGAAAGGGTCGGCACCACGGTTTTATCATTTCCCGTGTTCGTCGCAATAATAATAACCATATATAATATTAATAATAATATATCTACACCTCTACCGGGGTACTTGTTATGTTTTTGATTTTTTTCACGAAACGACCGACCACGCGGGGATTTTGGCAAACACACTGTGCGTCGGTCGTGTAAAAAAAAAAAAATAAAAGGTCGCACTTGTACATTTAGTCGCTTCAAATGCTTTAATTTTTGGAGTATGGATATTATTACACGATTAATTTTTGTTGATATTAATCAGTTAAATGTTTTCGGTATTTTGTAAAATCTTTAACTATCTCGTGGCAGTTCAAGGTCAGCTTTACTGATCTCTCCTGCTGTTCGGCCGATGGTTTCGTGTCCGCCACGATCAATGTGACCTTGAACTTCCGCAGAAGTTGTGTTTTACAATGTTCCAAATTTGTATATATTTATAAATAAAATAATGATATAACTTTAATTAATATGTACATATATATAATATATTTATGTAACTATGTTATAGTGTTATCAGATCGGATGCTTACAACTTAATTTATGCATATATTTCTTGTTTTGTAATAATATATTGTCTGCGAGTTTCAAGGTCAAATTGAGTGTCCACACATTAATAATATATAATTTGCAGTAGACTCTTTTTAACGATAAATTAATAAGAATTATAATCATTTTATGTTGGTCGTTTTAACGCAGCCAAAGCTTATTTTCTTCTATGTATTATTGTAAGCGTCCGCTATGAATTGTGTTCTATATATATATAAAAAAAAATGCTCTTGTTGTATACCGTGAGTTTGGTTTGTTGAGCTTATTCTATATTCTCTGTTGGGTGGCAGCAGCCGTACCGTTAACTGTGGCCAAAAAACCAAGCCCCGCGCCACCGGTCACCGAGTTTCCTCCTCCCCCGAGTGATGGTAAGCAAAATTAATAATAATACAATGTATATAACTTTTGATTTATTATCATATGAAATTAGTTTTTCATTTTTATGCCATAGTCTCGTATGTGTATATTTTGTAATGCATGCTAATATAATTATTTACCTTCACTATACTTATTAGACGATGCCTATCCAAATAGATAATCGTTTTTGTACATAATAATATTATAATGAAATACAGCACAATATGTTTCTCACTATTCACCGCATGAGCCGCGTCGGTATCACGCATTATTTTTTATTTCTACTTAAACAACATATTATTATTATTATTATTACTATATTATATATATATTTTTATTTTTACACGCATTCTCCACGATATTTCAGGATATTATCATTGTATACCTAATCCTGACCCGTCCGGCCGTGTCGACGTTATGTTATTATTGTTTTTAATTTAATTTATATTATTTTTTATTTCTGCATGTGTTTATTTTTTGTTTCGTTATGCCCTTTTTGCAGACGTCGTCGACTATAGTGACCTAGTGTTGCCCACTGATTCCACCGGTGCCACAATGTATCCCCCGGTGTTTAGACCAAAAGGTATTGCCGGCACCGACCACCGTTGGCTTTGTATATTTTTTATTTTTTTTTTATTTTTTTTTTACTTGGCATTTTTGTTCGCTGTCGTTTTTGTATTGTACGCGACACGAATGCTTTTTAGTCGAAACGTTTTTCGTTTGACAATAATATATAATATTATTATTGCCGCCGTCTGTTCTAATGCAACCCGTATCGATTAGGTCCCAGGCCCGGCGCCCCCAGGAACTTGTCGATCACCGAAGTCCGCAACGGTTTTGTCATATCGTGGCAAGCGCCGCTGGAAAGAGCCCACCTGGTCCTGTACTACGTGATCCACTACAAGACGGACGGCGTCTGGAGAACGTTGAACAAGGCGCAGATCAGAGCCGAAGACACGTCCTATCTGGGTGGGTAACGTCCACAGGGGCCTGCTGTTCGATTCGTCTTGGGCGGCAACAGCTGTGCTAATAGGTTTTTGTTTTTATTTTTAGTTAAAAGTCTGGTGGGCGGTCGGACTTACTACTTCCGCGTGGTGGCTTATTCGCTGAAGAGCTTCCAGAGCAGCGAAGAGATCAAGTTTCCCGTGCCGGCCAGAGTCAAGCACAAGGCCATAACTGCCGGCGTGGTGGGCGGCCTGTTGTTCTTCGTCGTGGCAATCATATTGTCCGTGTGCGCCGTGAAGATCTGCAACAAGAGAAAACGACGAAAACACGAAAAAGGTACAAGACCGTGTGTTTGCAATTTTTTTACTTCTTAATATTAATAGTCCCTGTTCGTCTTTACCGAATTTCGCCAACTATTTAACGTCGACCACGCCCTAGTCCCTCGACCTTCGTCGGGAACGACCTATTCTCCATCGTCTTATACCATCAAATTGGGGCGGACCATCCTATTTATCCTCTCCCTCCGTGTACTTCTTTATCCGTAGCCATTAAAACGTTCACCTATTTCTTCGGTACACCTGTATCTAATCCTTCTAATCTGTTTTAACCGTCTTGGTTTGGCGCAATTCTTAATCTACCTCTTATCTCAACGTTCTCACTTCAGCCGCTTCTGTTTTTTTTTTTTTACCTTTGTATTTTTTTTTCACGCAAAGCACCTATTTTTTTCTCTTTCCACTTCATCCGATAATTATTCTCGAAGCTCTTCATAAAACTTCTCAAGCAACTCCACCGTGCGCCATTTGTTTTACCTGTTATTTTCTTTCGAGTGTTTTTCATCTTAATTGCATGTATTATGTTACAGCGTACAACATGGTAGCGTGTAGAATGACAGACGCCCGAAACGGAGGTCAGATACCCGGGACTAGTCAAGTGCCTTTAAAAAAGTAAGTTTGAAACTAGTAAAAGGCAATATTTTCCATTGATTACTGTCGTTAATACGGTGGGCAATTATACTATATTATTTTGTATAATCATAAAGACTGACAAGGGCCTTAGGACATGTGTATATATATATTTTTTATGTATATTTATAGGCTCGCCGATTCTCGTACTTACCGCGATTACAGACTCGAATTGTCGTAGCGCCAACGATTAATAAAAATTCCGTAAGCGAAGCGTTTTTTTTTTTAAAGATTTTACAAACAAAAAAACAATAATATACATATTTTAATGCTTCGTTCGCAACAGCTTCGGTTTATTTTTGTTTTTTTTTTGGTTATAACACTCATATTTTGTACATTTAAAAACTATATTCACGCAGTCCTTCCTCGAGTGTACATTGCATTTAATAGATTCTGTGTACGTCTCTGTCAAAACAAACACCAAAATTTCGTTTTGAAAATTATATGGTATATTTTTAAAAAGCGTCTTATCCATACCGGGAGGCAATCACAATAATACACACGGTATAAAACAAAATCAAATAACAAGCATGCGTTTAATTCACAACAACAATAATAATAATAATATAATATTGCCATCGCCAACACTATAACTCACTTATCGATATCCGCCCAGGTGTAATGGTAAAATCAACGCTTTACACGATTTTTTTTACAAAACAATAATAACAGTTGACTTGGTTATCATGTGTCAACGCACCGGTTATAAAATAATATTGTGCATAATATTATATATGTATTCATAATTAAACGTTTTTGTTTGTTTTTTTGTGCTTTCCTTCAGGATAACAGGTGAAGAGCTAGCAAGCTGTTGAGCCGCACAAAATTCAAAATAACATTGGTATATCACAGTATGCGTGTGTTTGTTTGCTTGCACATTTATATAGTTAATACATATATTATTTCCCCCTCTTACACGCACATACGCACGCCGTTAAATTCAAACACTTTTTTCAATATTATCTACCTACTCAGTAGGTTACCATATAGATCATTTAGATCTACACGGTGTAGTCGTCCAACGTAGTTTGGTAGCGTTGTTTAGTTTGGATTTCTATACATTACTGTATGTTCTATACACGAATAATAGTAGTTAATAACTCACTAAAAAATTCTCTTGTTTGATTCGGTCAAACGATGATTTTTTCCCCTAGCTTACAAAGTCGTTCGGTAGCAATTTGTTTATAGTATTTAGGTTTTATTTTATGTATTATACGTTTGGTTTTTTTTGGTCTGGTACGCATGTATTTTTGTTCAGTGTGAATATATTTTGCTTTTTCACACAATATATGTTCAGTGTGATTTGTACACGTTTTAAACGAAACTAAATTTTTGTATTATAGATCCAGATCAACCCGAATATCAAGTCTGAGCAGCGGGTGCAACGTCGTTCTGAACATGGTCACTCGGTCGAGGTCCAGTTCGTTCTTGAGCCACCGGGACGGCGACTGCGTGGACGGGCCTGGTCAACGGCGGCGGCTGGGCCGAATTTCACGGTCGGCCGACGGCCGTTTCGTGCTCACCGGTGGCGATTCTAGTTCGGGGCGTTCGTCGAGCGCGAGCAGCACCAGCGACGACGGCGGTTTTTTGTCGCATCCGAGTTTCTCGAACCAGACGTGGAGCAGCCGCCGTCCGTTGATCGGCCGCGCCGAGGATAGCCGGAGCTCGCGCGCCGACGACTGGACGGACGACCGCCGCAGGCCCATCACGGCGGTGGCCACGGTGTGCGGTCCCCAGACGCCGTACAGGTCCAGTTCGCCGACGTCCCGGCGCCACCCGGCCGAGTACTTCAACGGCCAGGACCTGAGTTCGGTGCCGGGCTCGGCGGAGCGGACGTTGCGCAGCGTCCACGAGCAGTACAGCCAACAGCTGCCGTCGCTGAGAGTTATCCACGAGGAAAATCAGCGAACGCTGCTGATGCGACAACAGCCCAGCCCCAGGTACCATCCAAACCCCCGGTTCCGGTCTAGGCACATGCGGTACGCCAGGAGCGCTCCCGAACTCACTTCGGACGCCATCACCGAGAGGTCGCCCGAGAGCCGGTCCAGTTCCAGCGGGTTTGGTTCTAAGAACACGTCGAGTCACCAGACGACGGCGGGTGGCCCGGAAGACTACTGGGGCGTCAGGGCGGTGCCACCGTACAAGCCTCCTCCGCCGCCGCCACCGTCGCTGTTCTATACCAACGAACACTGGCTGGACTTTACTTCGCCTATACTGCCCTCGCCGTCTTCGCACAGCAGCGCCAGCAAACCGCTGAGCGTGGACGATCAGTACGAGTTCGACCCCATATTCCCGGTCTCGCCGACGCCCACCGAATTGATGATCACGTCCACCCGGACGCCGACCACGCCGTCACCGTTCCGTTCGCGAACGCCCACCCAGCTGAAGAAGGCCAAGTACGAAAACGTGGAGGCCCGGCTTCAGGCCATGAAGGAGGAATTCTACGCGTACAAGCGCAGACAGGCCGAAATGGCCCGGATGGGATACGTCGAGAGCGCCTGCTGACCCGACTGAACATCTCAAACAATTGTACTAATAATATATTCATAGGTCTTAATTTATTTATTTAGAATGACAATTTGTAAAAGCTCAAATGACACAAAAGTTTTTTTTTTAATAAGTAGATGTTAATAAATTATTAAAAATTATATTATTATTTATATATATAACGTTACCGTAATTATTAAAATGTTAATTGACGCCTCCCCCGTATCGGTTTAGTAGGTTGACCAACTTGTAAAAATTTAAATTATTAAGTAGTATTTGTGCCTATTTAATTATAAAGAAGACGTTTAAAAAGAAAATTAGTGAAAACTATGGAATTAAAAATCAGTATAATAGAATTATTATATTATGTTAACGGTGAAGAGGCATAAATCGAATAAACTTATTATTTTTCTCGTATTTGTGTAACAACCAGAACTGGAAATAAAAATATTATCGTGTTCTCCACATGTTCAGTTCATCGTAGAAAATAATCCACTTGCTCAAATTGTACGAGACTGTTGTGCAGTCTGATGATGTTTTATTATTATTATTGTTATTTTATAATTCTTCAGTTTATGCCTCGTTAAAAACACCGTGTAAATTATATAAGTGAGTATTATTATAATTAATTATGGGATAAAACCTTGTGATAACGTGTGCACTTAAGATTTCTGTTCAATTTAATCTCATCCTTTGTCACTATAAAATATTATTACTTATTATTATTGATTAGTTTGTGTTGTGTTCGTAAAGTTTAGTTTTGGGCACCTCCACCAGTTGTTCTCAGCATTGTGTTTATAACAATTATTATTATATTGCATCCCTTGAGTTCCTATTAAACTAAATAAACGTCCCGAGGCCGACATGGGTTCCTCATATTAATATACAATATTTTCATTTTAACAATCAAAAACAAACATATTAATTATGTGTATTATAATTATACCTATATGGAAAATAAAAAATAATAATAGTAATAATACTTAATATTATATAACATTTTTTTTTTTAAACGAATCAGCAATAAATAATAATTAGGTTTACTTACTTATTTTAAACACCGATCTAGTCTGAGGAATAAACTAGATAGTATTAAGATGTTTAATTTATTGTTTTTTTTTTTAAATTTTATTATTATATTTGAAAAGAACCAGTGTCAATTACCCCTACGAAAAAATTAAAAATAATATTATAATATATTGTATATTGTAAAAAATGTAACAAAATCGATTAAACTTGTGTAATAATTATTTATATAAACAACGGGAGTATTAAACAAATATGTCAGTGTTATTTGGCCAATGTGATCGTACAAGACGTTAACAAATTGTTATTATGTTACTACTTACTACCTACTAATAATTTCAATCTACAGGATTAACGGAATTTCATGTTACATCTGATGATTTTGATGATGTGTTCAAATTTTGAACAAACGATTTATGTAAAACATTTTTTTTTTTATCTGCGCGTATAACTCAACCGCACTCCACCAACCTTCTTAATTTATAAACTCTAATAATTTTAAAACTAAATTTCTTATTTAATCACTCAAAATTGGTTATCGACCAGTCAACATTTTCAGCAAATTAATCTTGATCGACTAAATTTTCAAATATAACATCAGGCGTAACATGGAATCCTGATAACCTGTATATCGTTTACTAATATATTATAGCTAAATCCTGTTGAGACAGAATAAAGAAAATAATAGTAAATTATCGTTTTGACACAGTATATAGTATTTTTTTTTTTTTTGCAAAAAACATCTAATACAATACGTGAAATTAAAACTATTTATTAATTGTTTGTTCGAAAGACATTATAATAGGTAGGTAGTATATATATTTGTTTTTGTTATACTCACATCTGGCCATGCGACACTTGACTAACGTATGTTGTAGCATAGATTAAAAGTATATTTAATCTATGATTAATTAATACAACATACGTAAAAACAAACGCTTTATACAAAATAATTAGTTAGCTTGTATGAAAATTGTTATCACCTAAAGTTAAATTGTATATTGTAAAAATATGATTACGTTTTTTTTCTAACTGGCTATTGTGTTGTAAAATAATACTTAATTAAAAAAAAAAATAGGTAAAAGTAAACCTATATAGGTTACTTGTAATATTTTTTAATATATTTGTTGTTATAGGCTGTATGTCAAACGTATATATGTACACCGTGTATCACAATGAACTGACTAATTTACATCGATTTTGTACATATAAATAAGTCAGTTCATCATTGTATATGTGCCTGTACATGGTGTCCCACGACAATTTACTTTGTATAATTTATCTTAATATCTCTAAAGATGGTGATAGGTGATATTTCATTTTATCTGACATTTATTTTGGCATAATATTCGTCAAATTAACAAAAATTCCGTACTTAATACCTTTACTTTGGAAAAGTCATACTCATAGTAAATTCTCGTGCGATACCTTGTTATGTAATATAATATACATTGCGTTTATTGTTTTGGAAGTCAGTTAATTACGAAAAAAATATAATAGTTCAAATTAAAGTTAATTAACAAAAACAAAGCGAAAATTGTTTTTAAAACCCTTCGTTTTAACTTTGAGTCATTTAATATGCTTACATTATTTCAACTAAACAAAACTGACTTTCCAAATGATAATACATGTGTGCGTTTTGAAAAATAATAGAAACCGCAAACTACATCCGTATTTAGTATTTTCATTTTTCTGTTTAAAATAAATTAAATCATAAATAAAAAAAATCAAATCAAATGATAGATTTTTTTCCGGATCAGTTTTGTAGTATTGTTTATTTTTTTTAAATATAAATACACCTATAATATCGTCGCTTTTATGCAAAAAGTTAGGTACCAAGCGATTTTTATTTAATTAATTTTTGACTTGAGTAGGGTATATATTATTATACTTTGTATTAGATTGTTTTATTAGATCAACATTATTAAGTTCAAAATATGTTATCTTTTTACTAATATGTATAATTTCCTGTAATGCGGCAATTTATTTAAATTTGCCATTAAAAATCCGTTATCGCTTTTTGCACAAGAACAACGATATAAAGGTATATATTTGGGTTCCACTATTATTAATATTATTAATGTATGTTATTGCTACGTTTAGAACTAGGTACACTACCTATAATAACAAACTATGAATTATGACGATAAAATATATAATTTGACGGTTTCATTTTATTTTAGATATTTGTTCTTCTTTTTAATGTGTATTGTTCTTTTATAATTCCATGACAATACAGCTGTTTTATTTTGCCATTGAAAACGATTATGTTTAGTTAATAAGATCGACGATCTCATTTTTGTGTTGAAGCCATTTGTTATTATTATCTTTTAATTTATACATTTTATTATAATATTACATCGCCTAGTTATTTTAATTCTAGAATAAGCGCAATTTTCAATTACTTGCAAAAAAATGAAAATTATAATCCTATGTACGGCAAATATATTAATATATATTAAAATTATAATGTATTCTAAAAAATTATATTTGTAGATTCTTACCTGATTATAATTTTAAAAAAAAAATGTAAATATATAGTAATTTATATTAGAATTAAGCATTATTTAAATTAATAAAAAAAGAAAATTCAATAAATCTGTTTAATACTATTCTAAATAACGTGTGAGAGATGCGCATCTTCTTGTCGTTTACAACTTTTATGACTGGATGTTCATATTATATATTGTAGGTTATATAAGTTATATAATTTCTAAACATGTTGAATAGTAGTTACATGTTGTATTATAATAAAAATTTTCGTACAAAAATATACAATTGGATTTTTCGATGTTAATTTCCACACTATTTTATTTTATACACCATCTACGATCATAAATATCAATTTGTAACAACAATGAACAACATTGTCTTTATTTGTGGTTTATATGATCCTTCGTAGGAATTAAATCGCCATTCTAAATCTGAAATTTGTTAGCAAATATTTATTTATTTCACTAAATAAAGAAAACTTGCTAAGTATTTACTGTCCGTGAACTTGAATACATTGTCAATTCATCAATTGAAATGTATACGTACGTTTACACTAGTACGTTTCAAAAGTTCTGCCGTGTCGTAAAATGTTTTAATATTCAGTCTTGGAGGTGAAGTTGTCTCCTTAAACTTTTGACCCACCAAAGAACTAACCACATACGATTTTGGCTTGATAGACATACATTTCGATACATCATAGGAAAAAAAAGTAAGTATCTTGTCTTCAGAAAAAAAGACACCTCATTAAAACCGAGAGCTTTTTAGCTAGACATTAAAGCTAAAAGAGGCTGCATGCACACACTTTCTCCATTCTTAAATGCATCCTGTACTTGAGCTTTTAAATGTAGAACAAACATACACATATTTATTAACACATTTTAATATGTATTTATGAGCTTTGTTAAAAAAAAAAACAGAAGGCACATAACAAGAAAATGGTAATACATTTTGATTAATCAAATAAGTTAATATTCATATAAAAAAAAATTATACATTAAAATATTAAATAAATAATAATAATTCGATTGGACGGATTCATTTTCATTAGTCCCGTTTAAAAACAATACTGTTTGTTTGAAAAAAACATTTTTAACATAAAAAAAAAAAAACATTTATAATAATATATTATTCATCTAGTAACCATGATTAGGGTGTGATGTGAGCATAACTTGACGAGTAATTAACGCTACTATATAAGTCTGATCCGACCGGAGAATGATTGCCCTAAAATATATAATTGTTACCTTTAAATAAATTTCTTAAACAAAAATTACATTTACCAAATAATAGTATACATAACTCATACCATAAGCATCAATGATCAAATTACCTGTAGATATCGGTTGAGTTCTTCTTGAGTGTCAAATATCATCACCATAAAAGGAGATCCAGGCACATGTTCTCCTGCCCATTTCACTTCGACTCTGTAATCACCTGGCTCAGTTGGATCAAACTTACAGAGTATTGTTCGGTCTTTTTGGTTTTCACGCTGCATTTCAACTCGGAACGCACCTGTATATAAAGGAAACAATTAGAGTGGGACGACTACATCGTTAGATGTTTTATTCGATTATTGTATTGCCAGCAACACATTGTTACCTTTGGGCCCTCTGACCCTGACTGTTAGCTGACCAGCGCCAGCTCCACGTGTATCACATATGAATCTACTTTGAAAAATAGCAAGAACGCCGTGTTCAATTCCCGGACCGTAAACACGCACTTTGCTCGCATCCGGCGCGCCACTAACTCTGACCGTGAACGGACTTCCGGGGACATCCTCACCTGTAGAAATGTTACCAATGTTTACCAATTTATGCCATGAATATAAAATTGAATACTCACCAGCGTACTTGACAGTAAGAGTATGTCTGCCAGACTCTTGCGGTTTCACGTTTAGTGTAAATGTCCCATCGCCGTGGTCATACAATTCACAATAAGCGACTTTATGCGGTCCTATGCAATGTGCGCTTAACTCTCCTGAAATAATATATTTATTTTGTTTAAACCGTTAATTAAATACAAACAATAATAATAGGATTCTTGCTGTTTACCTGGCCCAGCTCTTCTTGTATCAATAAAACTTCTAATATCTTTCCCCACTGTACCAATACCGAGACCGTCTCCAGTGCACAGAACTTTACTAGCATCACAAACACCGGTCACATTGATTTTCATCGGACAACCTTTAACTTGCCTAAAAAAAATAATTGTTTTTTTGAAGTGTGATTCTTTGCTAAAAATTATGTGTTACTCATACCTATGACCCCAAAGGACATTTAATAAATAAGCTCCGGGGCTTACAGGCGAATAAGTGGCGTGATACAAGTTTTCTCCGGCTTTTACAACATTAACTGGAATTTCATTTCTAGAGCCTGCCAAAGTAACCACCGGATTCCCTGATAAAAAAAAAAAACAATGAAGAATGTAAAATAATATGATAGTCGAGGAGTATTGGAGGAAAAACAATTCAATTTTTTGTAGCTCACGTACCTGGTCCAGCTTGGGAACCATCAATTGTAAACTCTGCTGGTTGGCCACAAGTAGCTGAGGTCAGTCCACTTCCAGAGAGTACTACTCGCACACCAGCAGCTCCGCTTTCGACTAAAACAGGATATGGCGAATTTGGCAATGGAAAACCCTCATAGCTTAAGTGCAAAACATGAGGCCCTGAAGTGTGTGGCGTTAAAACGCACTTGGCAGTATTTCCAGAGCTGTCTATAATTATTGGAATCTTCATTCCTCCTTGACTTTCCAAGCGACCTTCTAATTCACCTGCAGAGTAGATGAAATAGATAATGATTAACAGTAATCTAATAATATAGAGAAACAAATTGTATTCTATTATTTATATCATAAAAATACTTTATAAAAGACTTTCCATGCAGGAAAACAATTTTTAAATTTTTAAAATGTCAAACATATTTACAATGCTTTTAAAATATGTTATAATTATATTCTAGTAAATTATAACACATTGACAACATTTTAAAAATATTAAACAATTTTCTGCTGTAGGCTGTGCTTCTAAGATATACTTAAAGTTTAGCTTAGTCTATGGTTACTAAAGTTAAATATGAACTCTTACTAGAAAATATTTGAACCTACCTGGTCCAGCGGCTGATGTATCAAATGTTAATGTTGTAGGAGCATTTACTCCAAGAATAAGACGTTCATTTAAATTTGGTTCTCCGACGGTTATTATTTTATTAATGTCTATGACCGTACATCTACAAGGAGAGTCTCCTACGTGTCTTCCATTCCACACAATACTGATTTCACAAACACCAACATTGTATGGAGTGAAAGAAACTTCATATTCTCCTTCTTGTCCACTTGACGACTGAATAACTGTTACAGGCACTATATCATTGCCACTCCGGACGGTAACGATTGGAGTTGTGTGATACGATGTACCCAAAGAGGCAATGAAAAATCGTGCAGTAACATCTTTCAAGGCTTTAGTCCGTCCCGATCCCCAAACTCGAGGTACCCCCGGATCTGCCACATTAACTTTTAACGGCGACTCTGTTATATGTTCTTTGCCGTAGAGAATGTTAAAAATATAATCTCCTGGTACAGTAGGGATAATCTGAACACCATCGATATCTTCACCGTCATTTTTAAAATCGACTGGAACATCTTCATTATCTGGTCCAAGACAAGTTACTGTGAAATCGGCCAAACCAGCATTTTTGCGCAACACTAGATACAACAGTATTTCATTAATATAATATAATAAAATATTAATTTATCAAATATATACTAGCTTCCCGTGTACCTGTGTTAATAGATACAAATAAAAATTGAGTAATAATACTACAAATACATGCTAACAGCAATGAGGTGTTTTACAGTTTAAAAGGTGCAAAGTTTGGTAGATTAGTACAATAGAAATGTAGTGTCACGTGTGTCTCGGAGTTTGAGTTCCATCTGAGCAGTTAGCCTTTACATTTTATTACTTTAAACTATGCTTAAAACCTGCTCCACAGTATGCTCTATAAGTTGAAAAAACCTACATAGCAATCGGATAAGTGGTTCCAGAGCCAACCCATAACAAAGATTCTGATTTCATATTTATATATATATATACACTTACACTTAAACGATACAGGCCTGTGTACAACTGCACTATTCTTTTCTGGTAAATCGATAATTTTAACACTGCCCGCATTATAGACATAGCAACTAAACGGCGAGCCTTTAAGGTGTTTACCAAAATGTGTCACTTCAATATTGTGTTGACCTGTATTTAAAAAAAAAGAAGCTACAATTGAAGTCAAAGTTTTCATTGGAATTAAATATTGACTTACCAACTTTAGTAGGCGTGAACTCAACAATCAAATTCATACCATTTTTATGTTGATAACATTGTGCTGGAACAGCTGTATGCTGCGGTCCAGTAATGACCACATCAAATTCATGGCTGGATTTACCAGTACTATCAATTATGAAAGACGACATTTTATTGACAACACTTTGATACAGACCATGACCAATAGCTCGTAGTTCTGCCGAAGTAGATGGAATTTGTTCACGCACATTCACCATAAATGGTGACCCGTGCACATCGTAATTATTGTACTTTACGTGCACGTAATGAGGTACAGGAATAACTGGTTGATACGCGACTTGATGAATGCCATTAGATTCTACATCTGTAGTTTTAAGCTTAACATCACGACCAGCTGCTTTGATTACAACCGATAACTCTCCTTTACCTGCATTTCTCGTATCCACTAAAAATAAATTATTAATTAAAATAAAATATAAATTAACAAAATATATTACGAACTAAAAAACACCAACACAGTGAAGTCAAGGCTAGTGGGTACAGAAAGATATGGAGGAGGTCATGAATTATTAAAACTGTAATTGATATAATCAAGTTCAAATAAACACTACGGTGCTAATCTGTAGATGGTAAAAAGTAATAAATATAAATAGCTTTATTGACAATAAATATATTTAAAGTTTTGTAATTTAATTACTACAGTTATATTTTTATTGAGGATAAGAATATAAATGTAATTTAAAAATTTTGTTTTTAATGGTTTATATTTTATCAACATTTCGGGTTGAAAATAATCTACTGAACACTTAGAGACAATTGATTGGAAACTCAAAACATTTTTAAAAAATTAATAAAAATATGTTTAAAAGCTAATAAAAAGTATTTATTACCTTTGAAGGATGCAGGTTTATTACATATAGATTCATTTAGTCCACTGACTGCTACTAACTCAGGCTCTATCACTTGTACCTTCCAAGGATGCTTGGAAATGGGTTGATTTCGATGAAGTATAGTAACCATGTGTAAGCCAACTGCAGTCGGTCGATATGATACACGGTACAAACCACTGTCATGTTTATGTAAATTAACAGGTACAGTTTTATTTTCAGGACCTTAAAATAAAAAAAAACATATTTTTAATTTCAGCCTAAATACAAATAACAATTTTAGTTTTTTCAATACGTTACCTTTAACATTTACAGTAATAGAACCGTGGTCAGCAATGTGAGGATTTATATCGAAGCGAGCTGGATATCCCAGCTTCACACGTTGTAAGCCTTCACCATACGCGGTAATTGACGATCCAGTTGCTCCTTTCCGTACTCCATTCAAATCAAGAACTTCACAACTGTATGGGCTTCCTTAAATATTTACAAGTAGAATTATAAAATTAATACTATCATATTAAACTAAAAAGAAATTGTTTCAGTTAAAGCTTTTATTTTTATTACCAGGTACAATTTCATCATTGAAAGTTATGTTAACAAAATGTGGTATCGGGTTGTGAGGAACAAATGTTACATCGTATAAACCTCTTGAGCAAGCAACTACTTCAGCTTTAACTGTACCTCGTTGACTACTGACCACTAGTTCTAAGGTTCCTTCTCCAGCTTCTGTCGCGTCCACACTAAACGTGACTGGTTTTCCGGCCTAAATAAATAGCACCATAAGATTTGGGATAAAAAGTATAGCTTTGGTATAGAAATCATACTTTTGCAGTTCCAAGTCCAGTTACTTTGATGTGATTAATATTATAAACATTACAAGAAAATGGGCTGCCATCTACCATCTGACCTTCGATAAAAATTTCTACAATGTGTCTTCCTATGAATTCCCAAGTTACAAAAAAAAAAATGTGCATAAACTATTGTGGAATTGTAATAAGTTTGTGTCATTTTTAAATTTACCGATTTCATTTGGTGTAAAATATGCCCCGATAGCATTTGCCATTATAGTTGTCTTAACATCAATTACTTGTCCAGTCGGTGAAAAAACATTGATTTTAAAATTAGTGTCATTTGATATGTCAGGACTTTCAATTTTAATATCTGCTGTTTTCTTTACCGCACAATACTTAACACCTGTACCAGTAACAGCCACTTGATCAATGTCCAATACACGACACGTCAACGGAGACCCTAAATAATTGAAAAAATTGTTTAGTTATTTCTTGGATAAAAAAAATATATATATAAAATATATTTTTTAGACTTGCCAGGTATAGGTTCTCCATTGAAACGCACACTCAAACTATGAGGGGCAGGCTCACGTGGTTTGAAATTAACACGGAATTTTGCATTTCCTTCTGACTGAACATAGTTTGGAACATTTACTCCATTAACAGACACTATTATTTCTAAATTTCCAGCACCAGCTTCACTAGCGTTGACTAAAGTATAAAATAACAAAAGAAATGTAAACAAATAATAAAATAAATTAAAGCTGATAAATTCTTACTATTGAAGTTTACAGGCTTGCCAACAAACCCAGTGTTAATATCAGTGACCTGAACTTTTGATGCATCGTATGCTTTGACTAAAAACGGACTCCCTTCAACATGAATACCATCCACTTTGACTTCAACACTATGATCGCCTAATTATTTATTTAAAAAAATATTAAATAAATAGAATGGATACAGAGAAAATTTTTTGTAATTACTCACCAACATCAATAGGTGTGAATTGAACGTTGTGTGTAGAAGGCTGAGAAGCCGGTATAACAGTCACAGGTAATGAATGCCTAAGTGGTGCCAAGACCTGAACTTGAGGACTACTTTCACACTGAACAGCAAAGGATGCGATTTTACCAACAGATACTTTATCTTCTGTTGCAGACCAGACTACAACTCTGGCGGCTTCAGTGACTGAACATGTAAACGGCGAACCTGTCCAAAGAGTTTATTTAACAATATTTCAAAAACATAACAATTTATATTCAATTCTAAATTCTGAAAATTTACCTGGTACATCGTGGTTATTAAAACGTAAATGAACAGTATGAATTGTAGGTTGGCGGGGTGTAAACGATATTGCATACGTATGGGGTCCTTGGGCTTGAGCAGAAGTTGGCACACGGCCACCATTGACTGTTACTTCTAGATTGCCCGGACCTGCTTGGCTTGTCTCAACTGCAATGATTTCAACTTAGAAACCCAAATTCATCATCATACATTAAATGAAACGTTCAAATTTACCGATAAATGTCACTTGCTGACCAATCGTGCCTTTTGGAACAGACTTGACCTTGATTGCATTAATATCGTACACTTTGCAACTAAATGGCGATCCAGCCACCGGAGTTCGAAGATAACTTACAGCGATCTTGTGTTCACCAACAATTTTCGGACAGAATTCGATTTTGTACGACTGCGTACCAGATTCTTTTACTTGGGCAGGAACGGCTGAGCCGTTGGGACCTATATAACCCTTCATTAGCGTTAGTAAAATTATTTTGATAGTCAAGCGCAAAAGCATTATAATTGCAAATTACAAATATTAATTAAATAGATAACTATAATTTTTGTGTATATATAATATTTAACTTATTAAAATATAACAATATTTTAATTGTGTCATGCTTTTAAACGGGAGCACAGAAATAATTATTATTTAATAGTAAAACTGAGATATTTTATGACACAAGTATTGTTTGCACTCGAACATAATTACCTCATCCAATAGCTTGCATGCATTCTTTAAAACATTTAAATAAAGCTGAAAAATTCTGTTTTCTCAAGTACATCCAATAAGTGGATTTAAACCAAAAACACATTGTGCTCTATCAATCATGCTCATGTAGACTGGGCCATAAGGCACAAACAATATCAGATAGTAAAAGTTATCAAATACATTTTTAAAATGTACTTGAAAAAACAAAATAAAAGTAACTTTTATATGTTGTATAATAAAATGTTTACCATTAACATTGAAACTAAATCTCCATTATATTTAATTACAAATGATTAATAGGAAATTTTAAATTACTTTATTAGCAAATATCTTATGAAAAAATAAACACTCATATTTTTTTACAATAACAACGAGTAAGTTAAATGTTATTTATTTCAACATCAATAAAAAGTTCTACTTTTTAAAATTAAGTAAATAAGTAAAAATAGTTAGAAATGTTTAAAATAATAGGACAGCTTTTTCAATTAAAGCAAACTACTATTAATAAATTATTTAGTTATAAAAAATATTAAATACAAAGCAACAAAATCATAAATTAGAATTTAGGAAAGTTAAATTTATTATGATATTATAGTAATATTTATATTTTATTAGTTTATATTAATATTATTTTTATTTTTATTATATCTTATAAGTAATAAAAAAATTAAAACGCCAATTTTTTTTTTATTATTATTCTTTAAATTTTTTTTAGAATTGTCATCAAAATGTATTAAACCTTTAGCATTTTTAATTATATTAAAATTGTATTTTATGATTTATGTTTAGTGTACTAGTAATTATTTATATACACAAAAATTGATTATTAGAATGCTAATATTACACTTAGCTGATCTTCCACCCAATTAAAATATTAGCGTTAAAGAGCAGATAGAAGAAGAAGGTGTGTCAATAAAAGATAAGATTATCAGTATAATCGAGGTTTGCGATTTCGCCCACCTGTAAAAATATAGACACACATATTTGTAGACAAGCTTAAATGAAAAATCAAACAATCGTGCAAAGGCAGATGAGTGAATGAAAACACACTAGAATTTCTAAATTAGAATATTTACCCTCAACGTTGACTTCAATATCGTCCAATGATCCAGATACATTGCTCATTGTGAAATGGGATGTACTTGAAACAGGTGCACAAGTAAGAGATGAACCACTAACTAATGGTAAATCTCCCTCAACATGAGCAATAAATGGAGACCCTGAAAATATATTCAATATAATTTTAAAAACAAAACAATATCTCAGAAACACAAGTAAAATTATATTATTAACAATTCTCAACAGAAGATAGCAACATGCAAAATTTAATTACAATTTAACAGAACATTGGATAAGGAAAATATGACAGAATGTTGATTTAATTTATAAAACATAAGAAAAATATAAAAAAGGTAATGAGGTATATACTTATTTCTAACAATTAGTTTTGAAAAATTATATTAACCTGGAACCGATTCCTTGTTGAAATGAATAGTAATAACATGATCGGTAGGTTGGAGTGGCAGAAAACTAACGGCAAACTTAGCGTTGCCTTGTGGATGAACTTGCGTGGGAATATTTGCTCCTCTGGCGGAAATAGTGATTTCTAAATTACCTTCACCGGCCTCGCTAGCATCAACTGGGGGAAAAAATAATATTAAATAACAGTCAATGATATTAATTCCAATATTAATTACCTGTAAATTGGTACGAATTTCCAACATGACCTTTCGGCACGTTTCCAACTAAAACTTTGCTAGCATCATAGGCCTTAGCTACATAAGGCGTGCCATTAACAGGATGACCATTATATTCAACAGATATTGAATGAGCACCAACTTGTTGTGGTGTAAACTCTGCAGTGAAACCTATATTAACGTTGCCGGTAACTTTGACAGGCAGTTCAGTAGACGGTCCTATAAATAATAAAATGTAATATTGTCAATAAATTAAATTTCAAGAAAAAAATTAATAAATTACACACCCGTTACAGAAACCGATAATTCGGCAGAAGCTGAATTATCAACCATCATGTGAAATTTTGCTACCTGATTAACAGGTATCAACTCCAAGCGGGATAAATTAACTGACACGCGACTAGTGTCAGATACAGAACACACAAAAGGGCATCCTTAAAAACCAAACAAAATGTTTTATATAAAATCAAATAAAATGTACACATGATATAATTGATTGTTTAGTGGAAAACCATTTTACCTATCACAGTTTCGCTATTAAATTTTATGTCAATCATATGAGGTTTCACATGTTCAGGCGTAAAAGATACTAAGCATCTTCCGCCTCCAACAACAGTTACATGATTTGGTACTTCGCCTTCATTAATTGATATCTCTAACTGACCTTCGCCAGCATCACTAGCATCAACTAAAAAGAAAAAAAAAATTATATACTAAATAAAGTAATGATTGATGACATTAAATTTACAAACCTCTGAATTGGCAAGGTTGACCGACTACGGCGTCAGTCACATCTGTTACTCTTATTAACGCCGAATTATATCCTTTGGCTAATAAAGTACCAGTACCAAGTTTATGACCGGCAACGCTAACGTCCACCAAATGGGTTCCAACTTCAATGACAAGAAATTCAATCCTAAATATGCCATTTCCACCTTCATTAATAATTTTTGCTTGTACATTGCGCTTGGTCGGGCCTACAAACAAAAGAAAAATAGTAATTATGAACCTACTATTTTTCATATTATATCATATATTCGTATTTTTCATATTTGTTTTAACTTTTACATACTTAGTACATTAACTTGAACGTCTTCCCGATGATACCCAATAGCACTTATTTGAAATATTGCAACTGAATCAACAGGTATCAACTTCACAGCATCACCGATGACACTTAATTTTGGACTAAATCCTCCACCACTCATGATTATAACTTCCCAGGGACTCCCTAAAATTAAAATAGCTTTATTAGGTATTATGGATAAAAATATAACAAAATTACAATTATTTGTAAATTATTAATCGAATATTAAAAATATGTAATTATGTAAAACATCTAACCACTTTAAGGTTCATTGATATTTGTATAACCCATTTTTGAATCCAATGAACATGCAAGGCAAAGATTACATATATTATAGTCAGTGTTATTGGTAATGAATTATTCAATGCATACACCTACATCATCATACCCCTCATTATAGAAACACATAACAGACATCCCACTTGGTAACCAGTCTAACATACGACAGAATACAATACAATATGACGTAGACTTGAACTAGATGTATATATGTTAAATTAATAATTCAAACTCTTAGAAACCAAAGACATATTGGCATACTTTTAAAAACTAAAAAATAGTTTTAATTTAAGATTATTAAAAAAATGATACAGGTATATTTAATATATATATATACATGTAGGTAATGAATAATTTTTTTCTACTTTTTGTAATAATTAAATAAAAACTATTATACTTAAATAAGTATTTTGAATTGGAATTTGAAATTTGCTTTATACTTGTATATATATATATTAAATTAATAACTTGATTTGATACTTTTCAATTTTAGAAAGTGGTTAATCATAATATACTTTGTCAACATAGCAGATATCTATCTAAGCTATTAATTACCTACTCTAGGATGATGTGTTCTATTTAAACTTTTTTTCAAAACTGGATTACCCCCACTAGTTTTTTAATAATTGTCTATATTAGTTATTAAATTAATTATTTGATGGAAAAAAGTTGCTTTAATTCTCAATTTGGCTAGAAATAAAAAAATGCATTGCCTATGCTCAGATATTGATATACAATACCATGTCAAGTGTCAGACGATATTATTGAACGTGTAGATTATATACTTAAATAGGTACACTAGACTAATATTTTTAAAAAATTCATTGGATAATTTCAATTTTTAATTATCATTTAATTTGAAAAACAATACGAGGTACGAACAATTTGTATCAAATTCGGTAATTTTTATAAAATAAAAAAAATATTCAAGATAAAGTTTTTTCTATTTGAATTCATTCGAGTGGAAAGAGTACACGTTTGACGTGCTTATTATAAAACCGGCTATGGTGTATAATATTTGTATTTTTACTATTTAAATTGATTCAAGCCAGCAGCAATCCATCTCCGTTTCACAATGAGCAATACGCCGGAACATTAAAAAAGCTGAAAACATTTTAAAAACACTAACAAAAATACTACTGTTAAAAAAAAAATTATAATAATAACCCGCACTACACACACTCACAACGACACTAATCACAACACTCGAATGCGGAATGACAAACCTCAATAGTCAAGAAGCAAACGCATACGGCATATCCGTTACCCTAAAACACAGCACGGAACACCAACCTGTTGCACCTACCTGTTTGACGTGTACAAGATAAAACTATCGATATTGCGCAATCGTCGATTTCAAAGATACAACGTAGACCAAACAAAATAGATAACATTAAAGCGGAGAATTAGGTTTTTTTAATTACATTAGTAAGATGATAATTTTTTGTAAGAACATCAACAGTGACTTCGAAGATGTTCTTTCTTCGTTTATGTAAGTTTAACATCGACCACAAATCTGGATCTCGGCTAATCGATGGCAGACCGATTTAAAAGGTGTAAGATATCGATAGTAAGGAAAAATTCCAACGGCACAGGCGCGCCAACTGGAATGTCCTCAGGCGCCGAATTTCCCTCCAAGAATTTTAAATATGTCAGTATCGAAGGAAGAACGCGTCAAATGACAAATGACACCGATTACCAATTGCCTAATCGCGCAAAACTTGTGTTCTTACAATATTTTTCCTGCGGACATACCTATTGATATTCATTTTTATGACGCCAAAAATGATACAGTCAGTCGGGCTAAAGAGGACGTCGACGAGTTTTTTTAATAACACATTTAGTTTTTTACTTAAATAAAGGTAAAAAAGTAATCTTTTAAGCATTCATTTTGGTTTTAATTACTTAGTTATTATAAAAATCTCGTTGAGACGATACAGCTAAAGTCTTAACTCTCAGATGATATAATTAACTCTCCGGTCAGGCAAATTTGCAAGATTTGTACCAAGAAAGCGGAGAAAAGTTTTTCAAATCACTGTCAAGGATGGTCCAAAAAATAATTTAACTACCAAAAAAAAGTGCTAATTACTGAGCTAATATGAACAATAATTACACATCACAGTTTAACCTTTAAGTTAAGATTTTGTAAAAAATTGCCTATACTCAACTCCTTAATAAATATGCGGAGTGGCGTCCTCTTAACAGCCGAAGAAACTTCACATTAATTTTTCGGGAAAATATAAAGTAGTCTTAGTCCTTGGATTTCAAATTGTATACACTACTAAATGTAATTATGTGTGTATATAATTTGTTTTTAAACCCTCATGTTATAATAATGATATGCACATATATTTAACCTGTAGATCGTATAACAAAGCTTCTAACTTATTTAAAATTTTAATACTATTTTTAATTTAAACACAATTATACCAGCAGGGTTATCACTATGTAGGTACCTACCTACATGTATTATATGTACCTAATACGGTAATTGGTACCCATAATATTATGAATAGTGAATACTAACTACAAAGTTTTCTTTTGGGGAAAAAATACACATACCTATGCATTAAAAACCCCTCTATGACATTGTACGAAAACTTAATACCTATATTTATTCGAAACTACAAAAGTGGTTATTATACTATAATTAACTGTAGGGAGTAGGTGTGTGTATGTATATATACCAGGACTATATCACCGATATTATATATTTATACTCATTTATGTTTCAGTTTTTGTCTTGATCAAAACATATAGTAACAACAAACTGAAGCCGCTATTGTAAAAGCTCTATCTATAGAATCAATCGGGACGTTAAAACTGTAAGTACCTAATCTTTAAATGTAATTTGATAAGAAATATAAAAACTTACAGCTTGTATAATTAAAAATAAATTAATATAGTATTAACTTAAACACCAAACAATTGGAATGCAATTTATCCATTAGTTACCTGGTACTTGTTCGTTGTTAAATTTCATATCCACTAAATGAACAAGTGCTTTGTGTGGTACGAACGATGCTAGAAATTTCTGGTTGCCCAAATTTCTCACAAAACTAGTAACGTGTCCACCATTTACTAATATCTCCAAGTTCCCTGATCCAGCGCCAGATCCATCGACTTGTTAGAATTAAAAGAAAACAATTTTACCATATTATATTTCCAATTAAATTGAATAGTTATTATAAACTGTTGTTCTTAATAAATACATAACATAATCAATTACTTTCAAATTCTACTGGTTCACCCACAACTCCGTTAGGTATGTGGCCAACTTTAATAGCGTACACATCATATGCATGACTCCTGAAACAAAAATAGTAAAATTAGTCAACTGTTAATAATATTATTAAAAAAGATCTAACCTAAATGGTGATCCGGAGACTTTAGCTCCATCGATTTTAACATCTATGGAATGTTCTCCAATTTGTTCGGCTGTAAATTGCACCAAAACATGACCTTGAGCGATATTTCTTGACATCCTGACTGGAATAGTTTTGCTCATTGGACCTGACAATAAATATTAATTAAATAAATAAATCAAAAGGACCGAGGAACAGCAAGGAGTTGAGTGGTCGACCTAATTTGTATGGGATAAGACAAAACATAAAAATATTCAATTAAATTTACCAGTAACTGTAACGTTGATGTTGGCAAGTGATTCGTCGGTATTTATGTAAATCGTAGAAGTTCTATGAACTGGCATCAACTGTAGGTTATCGCCGAAAACCACTTCTGATTACCGAAAATTAAACATGATATAGATTTCTTGAAAATATCCATAAAATAGCCGGGTTGTACGGGTGAGAAAAACATTACAATTACACTTACCGTTTTTTAAACTCGACGGCGACAATGCACTTTTGACTGGAGATACATAACTATGACTTGGTGACAGAGAGTTAGGAATGTTCAAGTGTAATGGCGAAGACAGGCTTCGAAACCCCGATTCCGAAAAATTTGTCGACTATTTAACAAATATTTAAGTCTTGAGTGACTTACATTTATGAATATATATAGATAAATAACAAAACAAGCATACCTTAAACGTGCTACTGTGGTGGTTGATAGGCGAAGAAGTGAACTTTGGCGATTGTAATGGCGAAATGGGTCTGAGGAGACTACTGCTTTTGTGGTATTCGTTGGTGGAAGAGGACGAGTCTAAAGTTTTATTGTATAAATTATGATTTATTATAAATGAAAACCGTCATAAAGTATTGTAAGTTACTCACTATATGCAGACGAAGAGTTGTGTCCGTTTACCAACTTAGTAGGCGCTGAAATAATATTTCATGATCATCATAAAAACTTTATTAACAAACAAGAAAAAACTTACTGTTTCTGTGCCGTTTTACTTCTTCTTTGGAGCCAACTCTTAACGGAAACGGACTTCCTAAAATAAGTTTCACACGAATGTTCAGCTTAGCTATATACTTGATGATACTTTAAATGGGTATGTATATAACAATGATTATATTTGCCTTTTACGGTTGCACCATTGAAGTAGACATATATCTTGTACTTCCCGGGTCTTCTGGTGTGCAGAGAAACGTTGTAAATTGAGTTACCAATGTGTTCGATGGTGTGCGGAAGCGACTGTTTGTCGTGGACAATGTCAATTTCGATTTTCCCTAAGCCGCCTGTTCCCCTAGCGTCCAGGGTCCAGTTCACTATGCTTCCTGCTATGGCCGGCCTGTCCAATCCAAGCAACTTTAACAATACAAATGGTCGATATTAAATACATGTTTCGTTTTCCGTTTCTAGTGATTAAATCTCATATGGTGATGTATTCAATATTCATTATATTTTCTTAGTAACATATATTATGATAGATTTTAAATATTTGTAGTTTATCATTGATAAGTACTGGTACTGGTACTGGTACATTTTTCAATGAGTTACATTAAGCAAGTGTCATATGACCTACAATTTACAAAGACTTGTGTTTTTCGTCTTGTCTTAAGCCTTGATTTATTTAAATCTGCTTTCAATCGAGTATTGGATAATCAAATACAAATCATCAGCCATCAAGTGACGAATCTTGGCTATGGGTAAAACCATTTTCAGACCACGGAGAGGCTAATTATAGGCTTCATGTTTAGAGGGTAAAACTACTTTCAATACAAGCTCAATGCAATGACCTGGCCCGTGTAAAGTAGTTATTAAGTTCGCTATTTCTTTTTTGTCATGCAATCACGATGAATAAAAAGAGGGTGCTAAAAAAATATTGTGGGATATTTCCCTCCCCTAAAAACCCACAATGGGCAGCAGTCACCTGCTGTAGCCGATAATATTCTTTTACGAGAAAGCTTTATTGCGCAGTTATGCGTCAGGAGACTTACTTTTATGCCGTTGGGATCGAATACGAAACACGTGTACGGACTACCCTGGATCAGCTGACCCCGGTGCTTGATTGCTATGGTCCATTCGCCGGGTTCGTCCGGCTGGAACGTAGTCCTGTACGCGTCTCCCGATTCCGTCACCGGACACTCCATCTGTCTGCCATCCGGGCTTTCGGCAATTACTTGGATATTTTGAGCTTTGGCGCCGTTGCAGTTGATCTATATACACGTACACGATACCATTACTAAGGATTATCAGATAAAACCGTTGAATGAGGAAGAAAGGAACAAAATAAGTTTAATTTCATGTAATTGAGAAAAGCTCATGGCAGAGTACAAAAGGTGCATTATGGATAGTATTGAGAAAGAAGGTAGTCCTGATAATATGTGCAAAAATAACAGGACGGAGAAAGCGTGTGTGAGGCAAAACAGATGATTTTCCAATGAGACTGTAAGTGGCCATCAAGGTTTAATATTAAGTCCATGGTTATAAAGTTATAGAAGTAAGCTAAAGATAAAATGGGCGGATGTCCAAAAAAAAAAGACATGAAATTGTGTGGAGTGAACAAATGGTAATGGATAGAGAACTTTGTTGAGAGATAATTAGAGATGGCAATCCCGCTTGTGTAGGCGAAGAAGATCGTGTAGAAATGAAGTATTACCAAAACTTCGACGATAGATCCGACGGCGCAGGGTTCCATACCGGTGTGTTTGATTTCCGATACCTCTGGCATGGCCCTGATAAACATCGGACACCCTTGCACCACCTCATCGCCGTTGTAAATGGTCACCTGGAAGCAACAACGTACATAAGTGATGTTATATATTTCGCAGCCGTAGAGGACAGGGGAGAAAACATACCTTGTATATTCCTATGATGAGCGGTACGAATGTACATGTGCCCCCGTCGTGTTTTAAATTCAAATTGCACGGTATGACGTTGAGTTCCGGTCCGATGATTTCCACCGTCACGTCCTTCGGGTCTACCTCGGATTCGAGAAATGACACTTTGAAATTCGTCTGTACAAGAAAAAATATGTTTAATGAATTACTTATACCGGGTGATATTTAATGAACTTACTGGTTTGTACACTCTGGTCGTATGGGTGTCGCTATGGGCGCGTACGGTGTGCGATGGTCTGGTTCGCGGTTTTACCCATTGGAAATTGGAAACGTACGACATCATTCCCAAGTGCGAAGCGTTTAGACTGGACACGTCTTTGGCCTTTAGCAGCGGTTCGACGCCCAACTTTCTTCCAGCGTTCATACCTGTCCATTGTGTGGTTTACGACTTAATTTTAACTTGTAAAAATGCATTATATCATACATTCCATACGGGTACATACCCGAATTCAAATTGGACTCCCAGACGGCCGGGTCGTCTTGGGTTTCGTACTTTACCGGAATGCCAAGAGATTTCATCAATTCGCATAACACTACTCCGTCTTTCCAATCAGTCTGAATAAAAATTCCACTTAATTACTCAATGAACTTAGTGTAATTTCAGGGTGTTTTTCTTTGGTAGAGGGGGAAGAATACTCACCGTAAAATTAGATACTGTGTGATTTTTTAACTGACTGTTTACCCAGTTTAAGGTGGACCGAGTACCCGGGCTTTTGTCTTTCATAAAGTATGACAGATAAGTCATACCAGACAGTTCGTCGAGATATGGCGAAGCCAGGTATTCGGGTTCCAAGACCATTGGTATGTTAAAACGATCCCGGGCTAGTTCCATAGCTCGACGACAGTTGTCCACGCTGTCTTTGGGATTCAGATTCCTCCATTGAGGGAATAGTCCTGGTTCGCAATGGTCTAACAACGAAGATAAGTAAATTCCAGAATTCCAGTCTGTAGTGAAGTTAGTCACATTACATTCCGGTAGCACAGACTATAAAAAACACATAGTTTGAAAATAAAACCCGTCTACAACCAATCTGGCGGCTAATTACCTTAAGCCAAGCTAGCATGAGCTTTTTGGGCGGGAACTTTGAACGCCCAATTTGATAACGAACGATTAACGACCATATCAAACCCAAAATGAGTTTTAAGTTACCGTTTACTATGTCTTCATTTCCTATAAAAATAAACACTAACATTTATACTGAAAATAATTTATAATATGAAACCCACAAACGTATTTAAGAAGAATATTAAGTAATTCAAATTGTTTACTAATGAACAAAAATGTTTAGTATGGTTTGTCGCGTCAATAACATCTTAATACCTATTTAACGTTCTTTTTTTTTTAGCAGAATTTTAGAAAAACAAACGTACACGAATAATTTATAATCAAATTACAATGCCTAAATACAACCCATTTAAACATATTATTATGTTATTATAATTGTATCCAAGTGAATAGATGTGTTATTATATTTTGATAAAATTCGATTTCATGGGTGCATAGTAATTTAAATATAGCGTGTGAGGTCAATACACCCACATGTTTGCCTATATTGCATACTTCAATGTATTTGTATAACACTCCCTATTTGGTGACGCTACTCGACACCTGTTCGACGTTCAAACGAATACATCCGGGCAGCGGCTTCGGCTGTGGTTATTATATTTCGAGTAATGTCTATTCAGTTAAGTTCATAATCACACACGTCGAGATCATTCCAAATTTGGCACGATATTGTAATTAAACGCTTGCACCTACCAATGTTGACCAGCTTGACGCCGTCGTCGGCTATGGCCGTCAGGGCCTTGGACACGTTCTCCAACATATGATGTCGGTTGGCGGGGCTGTAGGTCCACGAGGGTATTTTCTTGTTCTGCAAGTTCTCCACCAGTTCGCAGAGCACACGCCCGTCGCACAAGTCCTCGGCCAAGTCGTTCACGCGGTTCGACGGCGACACGTGCTCGTTCACCCAGTTCTTGAACGTGTGTTCCTGTATGTGAACCCACTGGTCCTCATGTCCCTTGATCTGCATTTTCTTGGCGGCGTGGCCCTCGGGGCTGCGGGCGACCAGCCCTATATGGGATATTCGCGGCACCGCGGCGTCGGCGCGCATCATGTTTGGCGCGCTGTAACAGTGATACTGAACAGAGAGAGCTCACTAATATGGGTGGGTCCAACGCGATGTTATCCGTCCGACGGTATGAAATGGAAAGTGAATGTCTCCCACTACAAATACTTGCACGACTGCTGTGCGAGCAACAGGTAGCCAGTGCGAACGTTGTTATTACTTTTTTTTTTATTAGACTTTACAATTAATGTATTCCCCTCCGTCCGTTGTACAACAATAGCTTTTCCTGTATTTTTTTCATGTAAAAAAACAAACATTATACTGAGGTTCCGAGTAATTAGGTTTTTGTTCTCTATAGAAATAGGTACGCGTATATAATGTATTATAGTTAATATTATGAAGAATGATCGCATTAGACCATATTTTTTTACAAATATAATATTATATATTATGTTCCTATTACGTTTCGAGGTTTTTCAACATTACAGTCATGATCAAAATACTAAACGTTTTGTATGCATTACCTGTTCAGCGTTAATACGCAGTTTAAACGTGTTCCGTTTAATTAAGTATTATAGACATGTCGTCTGTCACAGTGCAAAAAGTAAACTCTACAAGTGTTACCTATATAATATCCTGAATAGTGACTTTAATGATGGGCGTTTTCTTTGACTAGTTTATAAGACCTGTAAATGGGAAAAACATTAAAGTACTATTTTTCAACTGAATTCGCTTACCTGTTTGTATGTTATATTTATCAACGATTAACTTTTATTGAGTTTTATTTAAATGGCCTTGATGTGATTTATTCATTAGAATGTCTTCCATCATTGTTTTAAACTTTAAACTATGAAGTTTTATACACCTTTTTTGCGATTTCTGTAGCTGTTTCAAAATATTATAACAAGAGTACTGTATCAAAGAGCTTGACGAATTATGTTCTGTCGACGCAGAATAGGTGTATAACAATAATTTGGTATTAGGCTATTATGTATACAGCCTATCTGTGGCTGTGCATGTGGCTATCCACATACACAAAAGTCGACCCTGAGGCTGAATGTTTTTGACCGGTAGTTTAAATACTACAATACTTATGAATAGATGTTGGTAACCGAGTTATAATATCCATTAACACATCATTATGCGTGCTGTATTATACTATACCTACACTGTATGTAGATATATAATGTCATACATTATAGAATGTTGAGATTTTTCATCAACACTTTTGGAATCGATTCTCTCTAGCTTCAATAGAAAACACAATAAACAGATGCTGATATAGAGCATATTATTTAAAAAAATTAATTAAGTTAATTATTAATTTACTTGTTTTGCAAATAAATAATAGGTAATCTGGTATATAAATTGTAATAGGTATATAAATATAATATTTTTTATCATTTAAGATGATTTAGTAGAGTCAGATAACACAGCAAACGTAAATTACCTACAGCCGTCGTGCCGGTTCGACTCAGTCTCAGCCGAACTATATCTCTGTCTTTCTCTTAATAGGTGGCGGTCTGGAGAAAGAAGTATCCATCATACTCTCTCTCCAAGTGCTTAAGTTATTTTGTCAGCGTTAGGTCAATAGCCAGTTATATCTTAGCCGCCAATTAAAAACTTGAACCTTAGCTGGTTGGTATAATATTCAGATGTTATAACTTAGACATAAAGAAAAGCACATTTTATTCCTCGAACATAACATAAGCGTACGCAATCTTTATCGACATGTTATGCAGCCAACTATATAGACTTTGTAATTTTTATATTAGGTAAATATAAATTTGGCTTTTTTAGATAAAACAATTTAGCTAAACAATTTTCATAATTTTACATCAAATAGTAATTCTTCTATTATTAGACTATATCAAAACATAAAAATAAGCATAACGATATGTATCAGAGCATATTAATATTATTATATTTTCACAATTAAGTTTCTCTATTAACGTTATAAAAGTAAAAGATTTCACAATGTTGATAATATCGAAATATTATAGACACTCACTATATGGTAAACTTGTTTCACATGCTAAAATATTGTTAAAATGTGTGTTAGTTGTAATTGTTTTTTTTTTTAATGAGAAGTGATTAATACATAAAAAAATTGTTTGAATAACTAATCAACTGCTTATTTACATAATACATATTATGCGTAGGTTAAAAAAATATGTAACATATGTATTAGTATTTTCCAAAATATAAAAATATATTACTATTGTAGGCGTAACTAAGAGGAGACTTTAGAGGCTAAAAATAGTTTTTAAATTACCATTATGGTCAAAATTGTATACAAATGTTAACTTTTTTTCTATAAAGTAAAACAAAAAAATTACTGGGGATATTAGCTACTGGTTAAGAAATCTATAATTAATCTATGAGTAGTAAGAATATATTACATATATATCTCTTAAAAGTATATTTATTATTTATTATAATAACGTAAAACAATTAACGCAACATAGGTGTAAAATATTAGTATAATGTATATGATATTTAAATACCGGCTATTACTTTATATAATTTATTACGGATCTTTTAGATTCATTTATGTTGAGAGGCGTACATAGGAATTTCATGGACCCGATAAGTGCGTAGGTTCAATTAATTCGAAGGTAAGTAACTACATATAAATTGTAAATACATTGTAATGGATTTGGTTAAATATTTGTATAGGGGTTGCCAGTATAAAAATGCTTTCAATTTTTTTTTTTTTTTTATATTTTTCATTTATGATACAAATGTTGATATTAATTACTGCATACTTTAGTCTACTATAACTGTACAGTCTACATGCTGTTTAATTAATTTTTTAAAAGACTGTTGTTAATAATTAATTTTTAAAAAAGGTTCAGAAATGGTTTGTAGGTTATTGTTTTAAAAAATTCAGTTTAGTAGATAGAATATCCATGATGTGTGTGTCCCTGGTATTGTACTCAAATCAGCCTCTCCTTAAAAACGTGTCACGGTAAAATGTGTAGTTATTTTATTATCCTACGCGAAATTAATAAAATTCATATCATACTGTAGAACATAAATCATATTAATGGTTAGAACTTTGATTAAAACATAATAGTAAAATAACCTTAAAAAAATATTCAATACCTTCTCAGTTTTAAATCGAAGCTAAGAGTTAAGAACTTCTCAATAAGAAGCTGTCACAGTTGAATTAAAACTGTATAAAAATAAATCCGCGTAATTCCAGTAGTTCAGAGTTTACCTATAATATATATTATACCTAAACATAGCAAAAGAAAGTAAAATGTGTCCCCTGCATACTACCAGAAGCGCAATTAAAAAAATATATCTGTTAGTTACTAATTTATAAAAAAAATCAACTATTATAACACTACAATTTTACTTAAAGTTCATTTTTGACAAAACTTGCCTTTACGAAACTCTTAACTAAATTAAGGTGGTACCTAATAAGTTTCTTTTAAAATAAGGACAACAAATTTCAGTGTAATGCCTACTTTATAGTTTATTTTTATAATACTTCAGAAAGTAAATACTCAAACTTAAAAAATTGTGAACACCTTTAATATTAGAAAATCATATTTTATTTATTTTTAAACTGTAGTTATGTATATTATTATTAATTAACAATATCATGCTGCTTACGTTTTAAATTTGATACATAAATGAGGTTCTTAACACATCCCTACTTATTTTTATTTTTATAAATATATATTAGGGCTCCCTATTTCACGTGAATCACGGCTCACGGATTCACGTGAAATTAATCACGAGTTTATAAGAACCGTGATTGGAAATTGTCCGTGAATTTAAAATTTTATTCACGTGATATTACGTGAATATCACGTGATATCACGTGAATAATATTAATATACGTGATCACGTGAATTTTGTACAACGTATTCACGTGAATTAAACATACGGATTTTATATTACTTTTATTCACGTGATCACGGAACAGTGGTCACGTATGTATTATTTCACGTACGAAACCGAGACCCCTAATATATATACTCCTTTAGATAATTAAAACTAAGTAAAAAAATGTTTTACTTCCTTGTGTTTTCAAATTAAATACTTATTATCTATCTTCTTATTATACCACCACTCAGTTCCTTTAGCTACGGTGAAAAATTTAGAAGCAAATCATATTAATATGGATTTCTTTTTGGCTGTGTTTATATTAAAAAAATCGATAATGTTTGCTGAATATCAAGTGGTGTTAAAATATTGCCTATACTTTACTCCTTAAAAACATAGATGTATGGCATCTTCCGATTACTAAAAAACACGGATTTTATATTCAATATTGCCTATACTTTACTCCTTAAAAACATAGATAAAATATGTCGTTCCCTGATTATAAAAAACACTGATTTTATATTCAATATTGCCTATACTTTACTCCTTAAAAACATAGATGTATGTTGTTCCCTGATTATAAAAACCACTGATTTTATAATAACATTTTTGTTGATTAGAACGAAATTATTACAATTTCAGTTTGTTTTAAAATAAATTCTAAAACATTGTCTTGTCAACTATCAACACAAAATAACACACATTTAGACATGAGAAATAGTTTCGTTTTTTAAGGGGCCTCTACACCTGCGTATTTTTGGTAAAAAAACAACTCATTCTACTTCAAACGTACTGATCCTAAGACTACTAATAATAAGACGTACTTATTGATTTAAGTTTTGAAAAAAACATTTGAATTTTTCATAACATTTTCAAGGCAATGACTGCGGCACAATTTTAAAACAATTTTTGGAACGAAGTTCCTTATTTGTTAATTAATTATTTCAGTTAAAAAAAAAAAGTAAAAAATTGCAGTTTTTTACATTGAAATAATTAATTATCTAAAAATAATTTTAAAATTGTGCCTCAGTCATTGCCTTGAAAATGTTATGAAAAATTCAAATGTTTTTTCAACAATTAAATCTAAACATTCTTAGGATCAGTAGTACATTTGAAGTAAAAATTTATGTTTTTGTACAACAATAGATCCTATACGCATGATGAAAATTGAAAAAAAAATGAATTATCAAAATAGATACTTTTTTCTTTTGGTAATATGTATGTTTAAAAATGTTAGCTTAATGTTTAGTTTTATCGAATAATGGCCTATACAATTCGCTTTGATAAATGCTAGTATAGAGGCCACTAGGGTTTCCTTATTCTTCAAGATCCTAGTAATTTATCATACAGTAAATTTGTTATTTGTTAATATAACATAATATATACATTTTTTTGTAGAACAGCATTAGATTTTGTATACACTTTTAAACAGGTAGGGGAAAAGCCACTTTTAGCCTTTATTCCAAGATATCCTCTAGTATGCTTCACATGTTACATACTTATACTCCTATAAAAACAATTTTAAAATGTTTATTATTTTATACATACACACTTCTAAAATACATTTTCTAAATATTAGGATGACACCACAACTATTATTTATACTTTTCATTAAAAGGTTTTGTATAACAATTTAATTTTTTGCAATATCTTAATAATTAAGATATTATTATTCAAATGTAATGAGGAAATATTATTAGTAGTTACTTTTTATCAGACTATCATAGTATGTATTTATAACGTTTTAAACTATTTTTCTTCATTATTATTGGTGCAGTTATAACTTATAAAGCATCCTACCTGTAGTGGTCATAAAATCTTATCATGTTGGTAAACATTATTATAGGAAATACCTTCAGCGTCGGTATTTTTATGATGATTATAGTACCTAATTAAAATTAATGAAAACATCAATTTCAATATTTAATATTGAGCTATAAACAATAACCTTCGAAAAGTTCACTAGTTATAATACTATTTTCTAAATTCTAAATGTTTACAAAATGTCAAACTATATGACTGTTTAAAAAAAAAACAGACGGTTTAAAAACTAACTGGATTGTACACACTAGATACACCTAAATTACGGAGTTGTGGCGTCGTTTTAACATCAGGTTTAAAATAAAATTATATTTATTATAAATACTAATATTTAGCTAATGAATTTTTAAAACATTAACTACACCTATATTGTTAGAAGCAATAATACGATACCTAACATATAAAATAGCATTATGACAATGTTAAAATATAACGAATGTGAAAGTTACGCAATCAAGATGCTAAAGATATAAACTATTAACCACAAAAAATAATACACTATAGCTTATAGGCGTATTTCGGCAGCGATGTTATGACCATATTAACGCTAAGAACATATACGTTGACATGTAAAAAAATTGTTTGGCCCGAATAAATCTTATCTAGACATGGCATTTATTATTTCGTAAATCTCCTAATTACATGTCATACTTTTATTTTTATTATTAGTCAATGAATAACACTTGACCATTCATATAGAATCTTTCCCAAGAGTGTCTTATCTAAGAAATACGTAATAAATATAAATATTAATTTAAATTTGTGTCACGTATATACATTATTCATTTAACGATTTGTGAAGTTAACATATTACACAGGAAAGCTGTTAAAAAATATCTTATAGTTACTTTCGCCTATTTGACACAAAAATGTAATAAATAATAATGAATACAATATTAAGTTCAAAAATAGTGACCAGAAAATATATAACAGCAAATATCATCAAAATATTATTTTGGAATCATTATTGGGAAATTTATATTGTTACATAAGGAAATATCGATCATTGGCTGCTTGGTTGAAAACGTACATCGGTAATAACTAAAAATTAAAGTGCAAAAATTGGTATATTATTTTTTCTCGTACAAAAAATTGGTTGTACAAACTATCTCATATAGAATGTAGTACTAACTACCATCCTAGTAGTAGCCACCTACTATATCCAAACCCTGGGAATTTTATAATTCACAAGTAGGTAATTGTATGACGTAGCCTGGGGTGTTTAGTACCTATTTAGTACGTTTCCACATGCCCACCTAGGGGCTATGAGTTAATCGGTAAAAAAGTACCATTTCATTTATTATTATTAACTTTGAACACAAGGTAAACTATAGTAAAGCTGCACTCATAACAATTATTAATGTCCTAACCATTTAGTTTTCATTGTTGGTATTTTGAAAGTTGCTACCAACATATTCCTTGTACAAAACGAAGTTTTCCTTGTCGAAATTATTTAAGTATTATCTATAATACTAAATATATATATATATAAAGGTCAGAAGTCTATATACTGTTTTAGACCGTCATTATTGTTTTGCTGTTGTAGGTTCTCAGCACACTCATTAACAAATTATTTTCTTCTTATCGGCTTTATTTTTATAGGTAGATATATTAGTTGTAACTAGTGCTTAAACAAATTCAAACGTAAACACATAAATTATAGGTTTCAATGAATAAAATATTCTTGGAATGATGTAGTAGGTACATTAATTGAAACATCACAAGTGACGTCACCGATTTTAGATATAAAGCTATGTTTACAATTGGTTGTATTCAGACCATATAACAACATGTCTTTCAAGTTCCAATATAAATTGAGCCTTCAAACATACATGTCGAATTGTAATATATGTATATGTTTTGGTGTTTGATGTCGAAATCTATGTATACATACATATATCTTGGCGTATTTTTGTTTTTTAACATAACAACTTTTTGAGTAGGTAATTAAAAGCAATAGTGTGTATAATTATACATATATACAAGTGTTCTTTCGATTACTCAACTTGACCAAAAAATCAGAGTAGTTTTAACACGGTATAATGCATAATCTGGGTCATGATTCAGTTTTCTAGACTGCGTAAAAAACTCATCTCTAAGTAGGTAAAGGATAGAAACGGATAATCACGTCTACTATACTATAATATTCGTACACAAATGTTTGGCTTAAAATGTTAGAATTTTTTTATAGCATTACCTTTTTAGCATTACCTTAGTGAAATGACATCCGCGTCGATTCATCTCTCAATTACCCATAATAGCGTTAGGTTTTTTTATATTACCATAGTATTCTGGGAATTGGAAATAAATTAAGATTTGACCAACAGCTGGTATATAACATCAGTAAGTCCTATATAAAATTAGATTATTACATCAGAAGTAGTTTTACTGGGTACCTACTTATCCTATTCTGGTTTTATATATTATTTACTTCATTCCTCATATTCTTTTCTATAAGTAGGGATATACGTCACCGACATATCACTCACACATAATATAATAATTATACTGCATTTAATTTATTATTATTTAACATTGGCCGCGCTATGTATTTTTATTATGCCAGTAAACCGTTAGTGTGAAACTGTGCAAGTTGTGCAATACAGCAGAATATATGTCCCTTAGGCTATCTAGTCTCTGATAAATTTACGCCGTTGTTAACTTCGCTAGTGTTAATCATAGCCATTGTGAATCAACCCGTAGGATAAACACATAGGTACCTATAAAACCATAAGTCAATACGTAATAGGCACACACAGACAGGTCGAGGATCTGCCATTGGCTTTTAAATGGGGGCGAAAAACCTCCTTGACCCGAGTATCAATCAAATTGTATTAGTACTTACAGTTCTTAGTAGATGAAGATTCAAGATACTCGTTGCTATCCAGTCATAGCCATCTCAATACCCAACCCCGAATATATTTGGCATAATATGAATACAAATAAATTCCGTTATTATTAACTCAATTACTTATTATACTAAAAATATTGTATAGATTGCAAATATTATCTTAAATAAATAAATTTAAATTTAAAAAAATATATTTTATAGCGGAATATATCCATACATTTACCTCTTATGCAAGCGTACCTATTCGACGCTTTGAATTATTACCTAAATAATGCCGATCGTTATAACCGATGTGTGAATTATTAATACATATTTAAGTATTGGCAGGTAGTGAGTATTGAGGCAATATTTGTTACGACTATAGAAATCAAGTGGGGTTTTTTAATTGACCATTACTTACACTCTACTGCCAACTACCTACAACTTTGTAATGTCCAATAATAAATAATATTTTAAATAAAATAATTATCATTAATGTGAGAAAATTGAATGCCTTGGGTGTAAGTTAGTTAGCACTTAGCTCAAAAGTATCTAATTAGTAATTGGGTAGTGTACATTCAACTTACCAGTGTCACTACGGCACTACCCCCCATTGCTGCAAATCAATAACTTTTAACCTTGGGTATCTGAAGGTAAACAGGTTTTGTCGAAACCGTTTAGGCAGTTGCACATCTTTGTGTCACCAATAATAATCTAGCAGACAGCAGTATACTTCAGCTGACCGGCCATCCAACATTGTTCAATATGCTGTTGAAAATTTGCTGGATGCTAAGCGTTTTGGCGCTTTGCCAAGCCAATTTGAGGATTAAAAGAATAGTTGGAGGATATCCGGCATTAGTACCCGAAGGAGATGGCGTTCCAAATGATATCAACGAAAAAATTAACAAAACGAACGATAATAATATCATCCAACCGTCGAGCTCGACCACAGTCAACAATATAATTTATGTACAAGACCAGTACAGAACTGCAGAAATATTAGGTGTCGAAGAACCAGAGGGTGTTTGTGCTTTTAAGGGTATTAGATACGCCGAACCACCAGTTGGAAGACTCCGATTTCAGGTAGATGACATTTCCTGTATTATTTTTTTTGAAATATTAACTTATCTTTCGTTTTAACCTCAATGCATAGATTGTTATAACTATAATATATTTTTGTAAATAGAACGCATGTTTATAATATTATTTAACAATTCTAAATTAAATGGGTTAGTGAGCATTAGGTAATTTTAAAATAATGTTGAAAAAAGTTTTATTATTAATACTACAGTAAAAAAAAATTCAGTAAACATTTTTTATTTTTATTTTTAGCGTCCTGTATTTATTCCTCTGAATGGTAAATATGAAGCTACCAAATATGGTCCTCCTTGTCCACAGCTAAGTAGTGATAACCGTGGAATAGTTGGAAGTGAAGACTGTCTATTTCTTAATGTTTTTACACCATTGGTAAAAATAAGCAGCAAGTTAGATATTAAAATTTAATAAATTACCTATTTAATATTATTTATAATTTTAGAAAAAAAACTGCAAAAAGAATTATCCAGTGATGATTTGGATACACGGAGGTGGTCTCAACAGCGGTTCAGCTTTACAATACGGAGTGTCCCATTTGGTAAAAAAAGATGTAATAGTAGTTACAATACAATACAGACTGGGATCATTAGGTAAACCTAATAAAACACATATTTTATATTATTACAAAGTATAATATTTTTGAATTGTTATAGAAATAATACGTAGACTTTTATGGCTAGGTTTTTTTTACAAAAATTTGATTTATATTTTAAAACCAGGTTGGATTACCAATAACTTAAAAGAGCTTTCTGGAAATATGGCATTATTTGACATGCGAATTGCTATCAAATGGACTAAAGAATATATTAGTTTTTTTAACGGAGATCCAGAGAGAATTGTTTTAGCCGGTCAAGGAAGTGGGGCAAGTGCTGCAACTTTATTGTCTATGACAGACTTTACCAAAGGTAATTGAGTAGTATAATAAAAAAAACAAACAATTTTAAATAAATAAATTGCAAATGTATTTACACATTCCATTATTACATAAAAAAAAACAGGTATGCTTAGTGGCGTATTTGCATTAAGTGGTAGCCCAGTATCACCATTTGCAGTCGACTCAAAACCAGAAATTACTTATTCAAATATTACTAAGTTGATGGGGTGTAACCAAGCAGTCGGATTAGAAGTCGTTAAATGTTTGCAGATGTTATCACTTAAAGATATTATTAGTGCCGATACTAAATTTGAGGTTTAAATCATTTGTTTACCATGGATATAATATTATCAATAATGTTTTTTTATTATATATTTTTAGAATATGAAAATAAGTAACGAAGGATATTTGACTGGATTAGCTAATTTACTAAGTACGGGACCTGTAGTCGAAGGAAAAAATGATGGACGTTTTCTGCCATTTTTACTTTTAGATACTCCATTAAACTTAATGAAAATGAATCGAATACCCAAAATACCAATACTTACTGGTGTTAACAAACTAGAAACCAAATCTGGAATATTAGGTATGACGTTAGAATGTTATGTATATATATATATTATTATTTTATTTTTGTGAATACTCTTAGGAAAATATCGAGCTCAAGTACAAGAAAAATTAACTCAAATTCCTGATTATATTAATAAAGTACTGCCTAACAACATACTTAAATCTAATTCAGGTAAATAAATGTACATTATTAGTAATCAGTATAAACAATTATGCAATAAAATGTATAAGTATAAGACTACAATATATATATTTTTTTATTTAAAGGTTTATTTAAAAATGGAAATGTTAACAACGTCTTACAATCCTTATTTGAAAACAACAATTACTTAAAACTGGTTTCATCTTCTCTTGGCAATACAGTAAAAGATTTTGAAAAAGTTGTGCAGGTAAGTTGGTAGTAAAACGTTCTTAAACCCTTAATAAAATGGCATTTTTGTTTTCAGGGAACAACGGATGCCTTGTTTAATCTGCCAGCATTTTTCACTTCACACTTATGGTCTAAGCATAGCTCGTCATATTTTTATAGTTTTGAATACAAATCAAAAAGTTTCAAAACGCCAGGAAAATGGTTTTTACCGAATATTCTTGGTGCACATAATAAGGACAATGTTAAAAATGATGTAGGGAATACACACAATTCTGCCAAAAAAGACGAAGACACCGGTAATTCCATATCAAGTTTTAATAGTTGTTTAATATACTTTTTTACGTTATTACTTATTAATATTTAACGTTTACCGCACTCTCAAAGTAAACCTTTTGGTTCCAATTTTTCAGGCCTACTCTATAAATTACATTCTCATTATTTTCACATTTTGATTACTTACTTTTATTATTTTTTTTTTTTACATCACTTGTACATTTACTACTATACATAATTGTTGGCTTTACTAAATTTCATAAAATTCTACAGGAGAACCAGGTCACGGAGATGAATTAATTTACCTTTATGATGTAAGAAGTATTGAAGGTATGCCAATTCCTGGAAGCGAACTTAAAGATCAAAGTGATATAGAAATGAGAGATAACTTTACGTCATTGGTGGCCGAATTTATTCATCACGGGTAATGTGAAGAAAAATTATTTTAAAAAAAATATAGTATAAATTATAATTAATTCATTTTTTTCTTAGAAAACCACGTCTATCAAAATTGGATGATGAATGGCCATCATTTACCTCTGCAAAACGGTCCGATTATGTGATACTCAGTGAAAACTCTCGTATAGAAAAGAAATTTCGTTTTTGTGAAATGGGATTATGGGGTGGACTTCCGGACATACTTCAATCGTCGTACTGTAACTTTCCTGGAATATCTGATATTTTAAAAACTGTACCAGATTTATTAAAAGAAGGCGTGTTGGGTGATGTAACAAGCAATGCGATTAATGCATTATCAAACCCCTTGAACAAGATCGCAGGACTCGTGAACACCGACCATATTACCCCAGGTTTAATCAATTTGTCACCAAATAAACCAACCAAACAGAATAATCAACAGTCTAATGGTGGCTTACCGTTATTGGGTGGTGTGCCTGTTTTAATGGACCAAAGGAAAACGACTGAAAACAAAAGACCTACCCAAAGACCGGGGTTAGGTCTTTTGGGAAAAAAAAAAAAATGAAAATTTTGCAGAGGAAAATGCCTATTTCCATTTGTGTTGTTTGAACTATTTTTGTGTAAAAATGTATTTTTATTTTTACTATGTACCTATAATAATTTTTTATTGACATGTTTTTTTAAATAAATATATAATATATAAATAAGAATACTTATAATTTGGGTTTCTTTAAATCTTCAAACCGATTTAATAACTCATCGAAATTAGTTCCTTCGTCATCATCATCATCATCACCTTTGTCTTTAATATCACCCGTTGGTATATCTGTAGGAACACTCGGAAGATCTGGTAAATTTGAAAAACCAAAACCTTTATTAGGTAAAATTGGAACTTTTGGATTTTGTGGAGTCACATTAGAAGTGCGAGGTTTTGGTACAGGTTGTTCTTTGGTTACTGGTATTGTTGGTACAGATGGTGGTATATCAAAATCGAATGGTGCAGAATCCAACATTGAGCTCATGGATTGCATATTCTGAAACACAGAAAACATACTTTAAAATAAATAAAAACACATGACATTTATATGTACTGGATAATTCATCGGAGGTGCTTGAAGCGGTGGCATTGGTTGTGAAGGCATCGGTTGAGGAGGAAAACCAATAAATCCAGTTGGTCGTAGAGCATTTTCATCTTTCATATTTTTATTGTCAAATAATATAGAATCGATACTATGCGACTGTTCATATTCTTGCATAACCTGAAGAAGTATTTAATGAAAAACTTGTAATAAAAAAAAAAAATTGTACACCTACTTGTAAATCAGGTTCATAAGGTACATGATAGTTCTTAGAAATTTCAATAAGATATTTTTCAACTAAAATTTTTGGCGGAGGTCTTAAGCTCAATTTGTGCTTCAGTTTTTGTGATACTGTATCCATATTTTCTGATCGACATGCCTTTAAAATTATATTTTAAATAAGAGTATGATACTATGTGCATTACTGTAGTTATTAACAAAAAAACAAATGCATACCTCCATATATTTTTTTCCAAATTTCTGTGTTAATTGATCAGATATAACTTTCATTTCACTGACATCTGCCTGAATGTGTGGTGCAACCCATAACAAACTGGAAATTGATTCTTCGAGTGAAGGATCTAAAGTTCTGTAAAATAATAATAATAATTTATTATCATAATAGGCATAATAGGTGTAATAATTTTTAAAGCATAAATAGATAAAAAAAAAAAGTATTTTTATATTTACTTACTAATCAGAGTAAAGTAATATCAACGTCCTAGATCAAAACGGCAGTGATTCAAATAAAATATAAGTATATATGTATTTAAAATTATTCACTAAAAATTGTTAGGTATTTAATGTTACTAAACTGAAATTTAACTGCAGCAACATAACATTTATTATCGACCTATTGATTTATATAATGAATATTTCCATATGGATAATACATTTTGTTCATTTTCAAGTTGTTGCATTTTAAACGAGGTCGCTGATACAACAGTTAGCACTCATTAAATAGGTTTTCAATAATTTAGTCAACATACATGAAACAAATTATGTAGAATAGAAAAAGTTTACTTACTTTGACTGTTGAAGTAACCCAAATCTTGATAAAAGTGAATCGCAATACATTTCAACAATTTCTAGGGCTTCGACAAAATAATCTTCTCGTATAATATGCTCTACTCGTATTTTGGCCCTCTCACTCTTGCCTGCTGCTACCATATCAGCTATTTCTTTTCGAGCTTTTTGAGCCAGCTCGGCCTTCTTTTTTTCTAAAAGCTTTAATCGGTTTAACGCCAATCTTAGATTAGTTTTAAGTTTAGAATAATTAGCATCTGAAGAAAACATCTTTAGAGCTAGAAAAATGCAAAAATCAACACAAAATAAAACTACACCAATGGAAGCATTGGGAAATTACTGTATTAGTCACTAACATGAATAGTAACTAGTGATATTTACCACTACTCTGAAACTACTGCGAAATGCGAATAATTGAATTGTAGGTTGTTAGTGATTACATCATTTGAATGTAATATCCATTGATAACGACATAATTTAGAAAAACACCTTGAAGAGTATATTTTATGTCAAGGCTACAAACAAATCTTCACAAGATGGCACTAGTAGTAGCTAGTAATAACCAACTACAAATACTGTTATTTATGCCGAAATCAAATTGTACCTATTAAAAGAATAAAAGACGCTCATTACTTCTAGATGCTAAGAAGTAATTCTTTTATTTTTCTTAAACTCTATAGCAAACATATTAAATAGGAATCTACCGTTCACGACTACTGAAGCCTAATTTATTTGTTTGAATTCACGTGAGGTTTATAATCATTTTTATAAAAAACTAGATGTAGTATCCAATATAAATTATCTTAATAAAAATATTAAATAATTACTATTAACTAAAACAACTAAAATTAAAATTCAATATTAACTTTATATAAATTCAAATGACAAATAATATTTACATTCATGAACTATATTATTATCATCTCAGTCTTTAGTTTATTGGTCTATACCATTTCAAAATAATAAATTCGTAATATTGAATGTTAAATAAGTATTTAAGACTAAAGAGTCAGTTTGACTAGTTAATAATTTCTGACTAATTCGGGTACTATATTGCTTCATGAGTCATGACAAAATACATCATTCATCATAGTCTGTGGGCTGCGGCTTCAAGTTCATTGTGCTCTCTATGTTCAATAATGTTGACCATTTTTCAATTTTTCCATGGACATTTAGCTGTGGCTAATTTATCTGTGGCTGATAGCAAACACATTTTCTTCCAGTCCATAGATAACAAATAAATGTATTTATTATCTATGTTCCAGTCTCAGATAAGGAATATTATCTAATCTCCCTGACCCGTTACGTGTTTAGGTTTGTTATAACTTATACATCGGCATCGTACGGACTACGGTGTTTTTACACGGCAAAAATGTTTGGAAAAAAATAAAAATAAATTTAAAAATCTATGTGTTCGACTGATTAATTTCTTAAGTTTATACTTTATTATTTATTAAAATAGCATTTTACTCACAAGTTGAGTTTTTAGTGTAGATCTATGTGAGAGTAGTATGTCAATTGTGTATATATTAACTCTTGACACTTGTTCTATTGTGATCACCGGCGGAAAAAAGCCGGCCTAAACATTAAGAATTCCATAAACGAAAATGTAAGTTAAAAACCTATTTGAGTTTTGACTAAGATTTCCTTAAAATAAATTAACCATTTTTAATATGATACTATTTTTTTTTAATAATTATTTATAATATTTATTATTCTTACTAGTTATTATAAATAATTTATTAATCAAATATACCCTAGTAGTCCATAAAACACACAGTAGCACATAAAACGTATAAAGTGGGATTGATTCACTAGAGCTCAAAACTTTTCAAACTCGGTCACGGTTATATTAGGTTGGATGGGAATAGCGTTCTTTGTCCGTTGTTTGTGTACAAGTTGTTTTTGATGAAAAGAAAAATAATATGCATTTGTAATGTGTTACCCTATATTTGTATACCTATTATGGAACAAACATTAACTTTTGAATTAGTGGAATGGGACCATTTCTGACTACATATTTATAGTCAGCATAAAAAAATTATAAGATGGCAAAAAAGGTGCCCAAAAAAGTACTTTTTTATTTCCTTATACCTAATTAATATTATTAAGTATAATTAAAATTGCTATTAAAGTAAAGAATTTTAATTTAGTTTTAAAATTTGTTATATATGAACTAATATTTTTTTAGTCCTTGGTGCAAGGAATTAAAGTTTAGTGTAATATTTTGTAATATTGACTGTTTATTTACTTTTCTACGTTGGACAACTTTCAATCACATGATTCTCAGTTTTATTTCTTTAAACTACAAATGGTCTATAACTGTATTTTTTTTTTTATATTTTACTTATTTAGTTAAACTAATACATTTAAAATCTTATGTTATTATGACTTTTATAGAAATAACCCCTTATTTTAGTACCTGTACTACCTATTTAATTTTTTACAGATTCCATTATACAATGGGTTGCATTTGCTTTTTTTTTGAGAATCCTTTAACAATGTCCAATGAAAAGAAAGAGTCATTTTTGAAAATAAGTATTTTAACTATAGCAGCAATATTATGTGAGTACCTTTACCATTAATTCTTAATGATTATTATTATGTGTTAGGTGTTGTTATTTTGTGAATTGTGCCATATGCTTGAATTTACTACTAAATAATTGCTTTTAATGATACTATTAATAGTTATTTTAATTATATGTTTTGGTAACTTTCATTTAGCTTTTGCTACAAGGCTGTTTTCTGTGCTTCGTTTTGAAAGCGTTATTCACGAATTTGATCCTTATTTCAACTATCGAACAACTCAATATCTTACAGAAGAAGGATTTTATAAATTTCATAATTGGTTTGACGATCGAGCATGGTATCCGTTAGGGAGAATTATTGGAGGTAATATTTATTTAATTTTTCAAAATAATACAATGTTAAACACAATTACTATTTACAGGTACAATTTATCCAGGCCTCATGATCACATCAACTGTTTTTTTTAATTTGCTTCAGTTTTTGAATGTCACTATAGAAATTAGAAACATATGTGTGTTTTTGGCCCCTTTATTCTCCAGTTTCACTACTATTATTACATTCCTTTTAACCAAAGAATTAAAAGATACTCGTGCAGGACTTATTGCTGCATCAATGATATCTATCGTTCCGGGATATATATCTCGCTCAGTGGCAGGCTCATATGACAATGAAGGTAAAATTTAATATTATTTCTTATGAGTTTTATTATTAACATTGTGTTTTATTTTAGCTATTGCTATTTTCTGTATGCTTTTGACCTACTACGCGTGGATCAAATCTGTTAAATCTGGTAGCATACTGTGGTCGTCATTTACCGCGCTAGCATATTTCTACATGGTAAAATATTATTATTATTGTTTTTAATTAAAATATAATTTGTAATTGAAATATTGATCGGTAAATTCATTTTTGAACGTGTTTTAATGTAACAAATAACAGATAACATGTACATTCTAACATTATTTTTTTTACTTGTTGAGTTCAACTGAATTTTAATTTAAAAATTTCAATTTTCTAGGTTTCATCATGGGGTGGTTATGTATTCCTAATAAATTTAATACCGATGCACGTATTAGTACTTATAGTTACTGGTCGTTTTTCACATCGAGTCTATGTGGCATATAGCACCTTGTATTGTATTGGAACAATATTGTCTATGCAAATATCATTTGTTGGTTTCCAGCCTGTCCAAACTTCTGAGCATATGATGGTATGTAGTCAGTGATATTCGGTGAACAAGTAAAATATAATAATATTGTGTTTTTACAGGCTTTAGGTGTTTTTGGTTTGTGTCAGATACTAGGAGGTATCAATTATTTACGTACAAAAATTATTGGCGATGATTTCCAGGTCTTGTTCCAGTTTATTATTTATCTCATTGGTGGCTTGGTAGCCGTTGTTGGTGGTTTACTTTCAATAACCGGTAAGTTCTAGATTATGAAATACCATATCCGTCTTATTATTATTAATTTTTTGTACAGGAAAAATTGCTCCTTGGACTGGTCGTTTTTATACGTTACTGGATCCATCTTATGCCAAAAATCACATACCGATTATTGCATCAGTGTCCGAGCATCAACCCACATCATGGTCTTCGTTCTATTTTGACTTGCAAATATTGGTGTTCATGTTTCCTGTCGGTTTATATTTCTGTTTCAAAAAGCTTACAGACGCTAACATTTTTGTGATACTTTATGGTGTTACCAGTATTTACTTTGCCGTAAGGATTTATCACTTTTTAAACAACATGAACACTTTTATATTATATGAGTTATAATGCTAAATATAATATAACTTAGGGTGTAATGGTGCGTTTAATGTTGGTTCTGGCTCCCGTTATGTGTATTTTATCGGGAATCGGTGTCTCAGCTATGTTATCGACTTATATGACACAGTATGTAGAGTCCTCCACGAAAGTGCCAGAAAAAAAGACAAAGAAAAATGAAAACAATAAATCAATGCAACGCGAAGTATGTAGTAATAATAATTTTTTATAGCGTTAATAAACACTGCAGTAGTATTGTATATTATATTTATTATAAAGGTTGCTACAGCGTTTATAACTATCATGACATTTATGATGTTATCGTATGTATTTCATTGTACATGGGTCACTTCTGAGGCTTACAGTTCGCCCAGTATTGTTTTATCCGCTCGTACACATGATGGGTCTCAAATCATTTTTGACGATTTTCGAGAAGCATATTATTGGTTGCGGATGAATACACCAGAGGTATATTCATTATCATAATAAATACATATATTATTGTTTAACAATCCCGAAATCTCTAAATTGGCTATTAATTTAATATTAGGATGCACGAGTTATGTCCTGGTGGGATTATGGTTACCAGATTACAGCAATGGCTGATCGAACAATATTGGTTGATAACAACACCTGGAACAATACTCATATCTCCAGAGTAGGTCAGGCTATGGCGTCCGGTGAAGAACAGGCGTATGAAATAATGAAAGAGTTGGATGTAGACTACGTGTTAGTCATTTTTGGTGGTGTTGTTGGTTACTCGTCAGACGGTAAAATTAAACTTGAAGAAATAAATCAATATTTATTGTTAATGTTACATTATTTTGCAGATATAAATAAATTTTTGTGGATGGTGCGTATTGGTGGTTCCACCGAAAAAGGTAAACATATTAAAGAATATGACTATTATTCACCAAGTGGAGAATTTCGAGTAGATAAAGAGGGGTCGAAAACATTGAAAAATTCACTTATGTACAAAATGTGCTATTATAGATTTGGACAAGTTTTCTCAGAAGGAGGTGAGTAACCGTATATATTAATGACCTATTGTTATTAATCCCACTCTTGAATACGTTTATGTGAAACCTGTACAAAAATATTAAGATGCCCCCCCCCCATATATTATATGCTCAATATGACTCTGCACTTTTCTTTGAAATGTCATTTATTTATGGTCATCCTCCTTTATGGTTGATTATGCTTCCATGTTAATTCTGGCCTCACATACTTGTCCCGCGCAATGCAGTTTTGATGGTAAAAAAATTGTAACTTATCCTATAGAAACGACTGTGATAGTCTGAAAAAAAAATGGCAATCAACAAAGTATCCTCATTACTGTATTAATAAGTATACATAATAGTTCAAACTCTAATTTAAGGTTTTCCGAAAAATTGCCTATACTTAACTCCTTAGAAATGGCCTGGGTAGCGCCCTTTTAACTAATACATTTTATATCTGGCTGCCTCTAAATTTTTTTTTGACAATTTCTCTAATTAATTACAATTATTTTATTCCATTACAATTATCTTAATACATAATTTTAAAATAATAAAGATATTGTTCTACCAATGTACAAAAATTAATTATATTCAATTTATTTGTAGGTAAACCAGCAGGTTATGACCGTGTCCGAAATGCAGAAATTGGTGTAAAAAATGTTACATTAAGTGTGCTGGATGAAGCTTATACAACAGAACATTGGCTTGTTCGTATATACAGGGTTAAAGATTATGATAACCGTGGGGGTAAAATGAAACCGAACAAAGTTTGAAAACTTAAACAAAAAATTGCAATCTGAATGATCAAATAAATTATGAACAAAAAAAAAAGAAAGAAAATATCAACTATAATTATTATTTTTTTTCTATTTCTTTTGTTTTATTTAGAATTAATTTTCACGAATTTTGTGTGGCTTTTGGGTATTCCAAATATTAAACTTTAAATACCCGTCATACAAGGCTTGCTTAGCTCATTGTTTTTTAAACGATTTTGTGTCAACATTTATTATACCTATATTTTTAAAAGTATATATTACCATTGTATTATTTTTTTAAATTTTATCTCAAAATAAAATAAGATCCATTATGACATTTGTATACGAACTACTGGAACAACAGTTTTCATTTGACTTAATTAATAAGATATATTTGTAAAAAAAAATGTTTACACCCTTTGGACGTGTAATAAAACATGGAAGTGTGCAATCTATTAACAATTATCAATTTTCAATCAAAATCATGTTTTATAAATATTAAATTTGTATAATATACAAATTTTGTTTCTTAAAACAGCTAATTCTTTATTATTGTATGACACGATAATATTATAGTTATCTTAAAAACCGCCAAAAAAATATATTTATTGCTGGTAAATATTTTATTTATTTAATTCTACAATATTATTAACAGCACAACAGCTATAAAATATTGTAAATCGGTCCACGACAATTATAGTTGTTAAGTAAACCAGTCCATCAATATTAACTGAGAAATGTTGAGACTGGTGACTGGTCTATTGTAAAACATTTAATTTTTAAATAATTTATTGGCTTAGGGAGTGCAATAAACAAATCATAACACGGTTATACCCTTATACTTCCATGCTGCTAATTTGCCTATACTAAACGCCGTTATACAAAATGATGTAACAATAATTGTTTCGACATTAACAAATACCCTTGTTTTCTTAATAAAAGGAAACGTTTTATACATAAAATAATCGAGAAACACAGCAATAATTAAAGATCAACATCCATGGTTTGAAATAAAGCAAACATTTTTAGTTGAAGTCAAAGGCTGCTTAAAACATAAAATAATTTTAAAATTAAAATTAAGCCTGATATATTATTAAAAAAATGTAAAACTCAGTTAATAGTAAAACATCATATCTGTAGGTAATCTTAAAAAAACCTATCAAGAGATGAGCTTAATCAATTCCTTTAAATTGGAATAATTATTTCGAATAGAAAATGATTGCGTTTTATTCATTATTCGGTTATTCATGAATAATTATGAACTAAACATCATTCAATATTTATCAAATAATTAGTTATTTATGACTTTCATTCATTATTCATCAAAATGTGCGACTTAATTTATAAAAAAATTATAGAATACAGTTTATATCATACATAAGATGTTGGTGTGAGATATGGGGTTACACTACTAGAACGGAGCAACTTCATTAAACACGGTAACGGACAGATGTAGCTACAAATTTATGATTGATATTACAATATAGTATACTTGAGATCAAAACAAGTACAAGATATTTCAAAACTTTAACATTGTGCCTTTTAACCGGATGTTTTAAGAAATAATAACTACATAATATTGTTTACTCTCCTCATCCACCGAGACTATTTATCATTTTATGTTTGAACGTTTGCTATAACGGTTGATGTCCCGAAATGGGTAACTAGGTCGGCATTGCAAACATTTTCACGTTTTCTTTGTTCTATAATTTTTTTTTTGCTTAGCATTTTAATTAAAACACAATTGAAGGTGAGTCCAAATGGGTCGAATAATGTAAGAGTAAAACTTTTTATTTTTATTATTATTTAGGTATATTTATTATTCGTTCGGGGTTTCGACGCTGAAAGCAATCCCCTAGGGAACTTTTCCTCGTTCACCATCGCCCCGCTGAAAGCTTCCAAGTTTTTAACACTCAAAGGCTAAGCTTCTATGTATCATAAATATTATGATGTGTGTAAGCCGCACACAGAGATTTCGCATAAATCGTGTCGAGCGTTAGCAAAGTAGTACGGCCACGGCGGGAGAGTAGGAACAGACACGGCTAGGTGGAGGGGGTAAGTACTCAAACGCCATCCGCCGACGCGACCCATATACGCACGGCCAGCCGGATAGGGTAGCCGCAGACGAAGGGTACACACGCCGTGGCGCAAAGCTCGCTGTATAGGTGTGACCCGGTTTCGCGCGGAAACATGACGGCGGCGCGCACGGCCGCGTCCATTGCGCCTGTGTGTCCTGTTTGCCGCAAGGCGGCAGCGGCGATTAAAGGCATTCTATGCGACGTGAGTCCAGAGCCCCAACACCATGCTCGCCGTCGTCGTCGTGCTTCTTACGCTAGCGGAACCGCCAACACCGCCAAATGGCCATCAGTGCGACTAATCCAACGGATGTGTGACCGCTACAGCGCGTGCCACTTACTTACATACCGTCGCCGCCGTCGTCAAACCTAGATAACACACAACCACACTGCCATTATCTAAAAGGTATATAGATATTATTATTAATATTATGTTTCGTAATTTAATTTGTCAACTATTAAGATGTGATCGCTGCTTTGATCTAATCAGTTTATTGAAAAAGAAGTAAAAAATAACAATAATATCTGCCTGGGCGAAGGAGAAAATTAATATAGATTCTTTTGCCGACCGAGTTAATATTTCATTAAGATCGATATTTCGTTATTATTATTCTTTGTTTTAAAAACTATATTACCTCGTTATTATATCAGCCTGTATGACATTATTATATGGTACATCGTACATATTATAATAGAGATCTGAAGAGCATTATGCACGAGAGTAATATCAGATAAAAGTTTTTCGATTTCGTGTTATATTCGATAGTGATTATGCGATCCCATCACAGGCGCGTTCACTCACTGAGGGTAGTATAATATAGTAATGAAAATGTGGGTAATGGAGAATAAAATTACACTTTTAATGAGTATTTTCTTAATGAGTTTTACTGCATTGTTTGAAAATATCAACGAACGACAGTCGATAACGATAATATTCTAGTACATAATTTATATCTACACATTTATAACTACTCTTTATAAATACACCGTCACGCGGTATTTTATTATTAAGTAGCTGTACAAACACTAGTCAGCTTTAAATATTATACTGGTGTGAGATACTGCTTTGTTGAGCCGTGAACGAAGACAAAGGTCCAGGCAAAGAGGACACCGGTATATATGGCGAGGAGGTATGTGTCCTACAAAGCGAATTTATACGCCAACCTGACGCCACATACATTACATTGGCTTACTGCACAGCGTTGGGGTAGGTTTAATAGCCGATATTAATACTGTATATGTGGCCAAATGTGCATAATAACTCATCTTATGTTCGCTAAACAGCACTCCGAACACAATAGGCGTATTATCACACGCGGTTAAGTGGATTAAATAGGTACTCGATTTTATGTTACAAAAGCAGTTAGAACTGATTCGAATAATTCATCATTATAGTAACGAGTTTTAACAGATTACGAAGAAATATAAGTTTTAAAAATATAATACCTATTTATGCCCGATGTATATCACCCAATGTTCTTTAATGATAATATTTAATAGTTAACTTAAACGATATAATATATATACCTATAACGATAAAATATCGTCGCAGAACACTACTCGACCGTGAATTAAAACGTCCTCGATTCATCGAATCTGGGTTTACACTATTTAGTATTATATATAGTCCCTTAATCATGGATAATTTCGATTCGGTCATAATAATATTTTCTACAAAGTCACACGAATTTAGCAAAAAATTCCCTTGATCATGCAACATATTTGATTTGCTGTCTCAAAACATCATTATACGCTTTATAACCGTTTTAAGGATGGAGTAGAGTAAACAATACATTATTTTCGTTTTTAAACGCTGATATCATTAGTAGCATATTTTGTTCAAGAAAATGCTGAAAGACTTAATATTTTTAATTCTATATATTATCAGAAAACGGGAGATTAAAGGGATTTAGCGTTTCCTCTGTTGGATATATACTATATTGTCCGTGTTGCTATATTTTTGTTTATACGAAATACAGCTAATTATGTATTATCATAAATTATAATTTATAATATTATTAATTGATATTATTAGCCATTATAGTTATTTGTTACTGTCGTTTATTTCTAATTTAACATGGAATCTGACATACAGCTGTAAAATTATATTATATAACTGTACATAATTGTATATTGCACACTACGTAATCAATATATTGATACATAACATTGATTAATACATACCAAGATCCATACCTACCATATAACTAAAGACAATACACTGTAATTAATTTTTTCTCAATCTTTGATTAGCGCTAACATTTTTGCCGAAGCCGCCATCACATAAGAATTGTCTACCCGAAAAACAGGTTGGGTCGAGCTACTGCTGAAGAATCGTTGCGCGTTTTGTTTGATCGTTTTTTCGATGTCGCTCAAGTATTCATCCAGCATTTCCGTCGCCAATTTGTATGTGGATTTTCCGATCATCACGTTCAACAGTACGTAGTTGCCGTGTGTCTTGTATCGGACCGAGTCCATCACGTCGAACCGATTGCGCCTGTTCTGCCCCGCGATCAGTCCTGTCAGTTCGTCGACGACGGCCCTGTGCAGTTTCGTCAGCTTCCACAGGGCGGCCACGCCTAGGACGTTATTGTTTTTGAGATGATCGTACATGGCGCCCACCTGATTTGTGTAGAGGTAAAACAGCAACATGTCCGTGGGCATGAATAACCCGACGGCCGACATTATAGCCATCATCGAGTGGCTAAAGCCAGCGAACGCCGTTATGCTGTTGGCCGCCTTGAAACATTGCACGTCCACGTTGGCATCGATGTCGGCGAACCACTTCAGCTGAAATTCCGACAGACGCATGAAGGACAGTGCCATTAGCACAAACCCGGCCCTGATCTCGTTGGTCTGCTTCACTATGGCGTTCAAGACGTCTGGCGGCGCGGTTTTGCGGCACGTCTCCGGTGTCCATCCGTCGTCTTCGAATCCGGTTTCGATCTCGCAAATACGCCAATACTTTAACAGCAGTGTTCCTTTAACGTCATCAGTCAATACATAAGCCGCATTGTCACCCAACATACCGTCAGCCAGTCCAATAAAAGCTGCTAAAAAATTGACCAGTACGGCTGTTGTCCAGAGGGATTTCATTTTGCGGTTTTAATTAGAAAAGAAACGGCACTGTAGAAAATAGTATGTATGTTGTACGATGAACAGAAACAAGCCTGCAAACTCATTTTCACAACTTTCATTTGCACTCGTTGCACGGTAATAAATAACACATGTTTTTAATGTAACGCGTGTTATACTGTGATTTGTGACAGTAGTTGTGATTTGTGGCGTGTCTATTATTTATCGTTTAAGGCGGTATTAGTTTTTACACGTCTTAACTTTATTTTTATTTTTCATCTATAAATCAACTTTTGAAACTTGAATGCGGTAACGTAGAAATTTTATTAACTTTAAAAATTAAGAATAATTTACTGACAATTTTGTCTGGTTGATAACCAGTTTTAGATAATTATTCTTAACCCTTTCGTTCCTGGGAATTTTTTTTTTTACGTATCGGACTGATATTGATTATCAATATAGCTGTGTCGATTTTTTTTATCATCAATCTATACTAGAACTGTTTAAAGACATTTTTGATAATGATAGTACGTTGTTAATATTTTATTCAATTTTTCGAAATTTTTAAAGCTAAATCCTCGTACGAGGATGTCAGTAACGAAAGGGTTAATGTAAAGTATAAAGTTTAGGACGGGAGAAGGGTGATGAGTAGTACAATTTTTACCTGCCCACATTACTCAACCCAACTTCTCCTCTTGTCCTAATTTTTACATTTTAATAACATTAAAAATAATTATCCAAAACTGGTTATCGACCGTAGTAAATTATTCTTAACTTAAAAAGTTAAAACAATTTGTACGTTACTACTGTCCAAGTTTTAAAAGTTTCTATAAAAATAACTAATTTGGTAGGGGTTAAAAACATAAAAGTTTGTAAGCAATTGAGAACACATTGTAATATAAAAACACTTTGGAATAAAAATCAATAACCGATTAAACATTATGAGATATTGAGTGGATCACTTTAAAAAAAATCACCCTATATAATGATATAATGTATATCAATGCCTTTTCAAACACGTTTGTTATTATTTTGGTACAAAAAGAAATATTTAATGTGATTGTTATGTAAAAAATAATAATTATAAAAGTATTGCACGGCGACTTTAGGTTGCAAAACTTTTTCATTCGTTTAAAAACCCGAATAAATGTATCGATAAAAATCGAAGAATTTATATTTTATTACTTTTTGATCGATTGGTTGATTGAAATTCATAGCAGCAAAAAAATCTGGATAATAATAGAAATGTCAGAAAGCAAAAACGTTTTATCTACGTCAACGCGTATAACATTAGGATGGCAGGGTCGAACAAGATGTCTTATAAAACGTCAAATGGGATATGGATGAGTACTGTTTTGTAAAATAAATTGTCGAGCTCCCATAACCTTGCTGTACGGAAAATCAATCTTCATTATTATTTTTTTTTTCAAACAAAAAATGTCAACTAACTTACCTATTGAAGTCACGTATTTTTTTATGCATACATGTTTTAAGTATGTCAACCAATTTATTGTAATTTAATAATAAGAACAAATTTACAAATTTTAAACTCATAATTTAAGCTTCGATGCGAAACTGAGAAGGTATTGGTTTTCCATGTTATGAAGATGTGTCTTTATTCATAAGTATATTATACTGAGTTTACCTTTTACAAGTTATATATGGGCTGTTCTAAATTCTAATACCCTCCTTCAACTTTGTTCGCTAAAGCTTTAACAAAATTATGTACCAATGGTCACAAAAATAATATATCTATTTACTTGCCAGAATGTGTATAAATAATAATAATGTACAATGTTATGTTATCGGTTGTACGTGTAATAATAAAATGTGCTTTTGTTTCAGTTCTATGAAGCCATGGGAATATTTAACGTCATGCTGTGACCTTTGATATGGTCACCGCAAAATGAAGACTTTGGCCGATGCCATAATACTATGCATAATGCTCATCAATATTTCCGGTGAGTTGGTTTTCAAATACATATTATAAAATAATAATTTATAATACCCGCTGTACCTAGCAAAGAAGTAATCAAAAAGGCGAGCGACAGTGTGACCACTATAAATAAAAATAAATACTTTTTTTTTTTTTTAAATTGTTAAACACAGCACAGTATAATCTTCTTTAACTATACAAATCAATAGAAAAAATTCAAATTTCATAATATGATAATGTGGTAATATTATAGCTGATAAGCAATATGTTTTATATCACGTGGTTGCTGTAGTGAAACAAATTAAAAATATGTACCAGAGCGATGTGATTGAGTCATTCTGGTCACACTGCAACTCGCCTTTTCGCTTACTTCGTAATATTTTACTTCTTGCGACCCCCTGGATAGGAATTAACTTATGTATGTGTACTTTTTTACGCACCTATGTATGTTGTGTAACATTTTTTTTAACTCGCTCGACAACTTTGTATATTTTTACAACAGTTTTTCGTTTTTTTTTACAAATTACATAGTTATAAACCTGATAGTGTAATGATGATGACACGCGGTGTGGTGCGATGCATTGTGACATCGACATGGGAAAGATGAAGCGGATTTTTTTTTCCAAAACCGGAATGATCGTTGTCAAGGAAGGTTACACAACGCATTACACTTTATCATCCGAGCCCTCGATTTCCGGTATTGTACACAATACCGCGAATTGGGGTATCCTTTCTTTGGTTAAACGAAAAAAAAAAATATAAAGACCATTATCTCGATGCCAGGATGGGGTGTGTTGCAAATTGTACCAGACCACTACATATTATACTAGATCTCCCTCCTCTACGTCGTTGCGGATGGCTAATGGTTTTTTGAACAACCCGCGTTTAACGTGGCTGTTAATATGGCCTCGGCGTTGGATATATAATATTGTTATGGCGTGCTTGCTCCGAGGACTAGACGCTTATATGTATGGGTACGCGATACTCCAGGGAAATCGTAACAGGTGACTTGGAAGTGTACGGTCGAGGGTTAGGTACACAATGGATATCATCATTACAGCGACATACCAAAACCCCAAAAATACACCGACAAAATGCTATCCTTTATGAGTCAGACAACGGTCCCGTAGGTATTATTCATGTTAGTGACAAGGAATGAAGTCATAATTCAGACGACCTTTAAAAGGGGCGTATAATACAACAATACTATTGCAGTTGTTATTTTATCCAAGTCGGTGGCGGCCTAGCTACATTTTACTTGGTTGGCTAAAGAAAAAAAACTTCCGACTGCCGAGTGTAGTATAATAATATTCTGACAACGATTTTCAGTTGGTTCGCTGTAAACGCATACCTGTCTGCTTAACAGTCTTTTGACCATTCATAATCTTTAGTGGTCGGAGTTAGGAGGGATAAGTAGGAGAGGGAATCGTCATCCTTCCGCCTCGTATCCCATCTGAAAAATCTTTTCAAATCAATTTTTTTTTATTTAAGGATGTTCAATGAATCCAGACGCAAAAAGGCTATACGACGATCTCTTGTCAAATTACAACAAACTCGTGAGGCCCGTCATCAATATTACTGATCCGTTGTCTGTTAAGATCAAGATCAAACTATCACAGCTCATCGATATTGTAAGTCACTAAATTTACACTAAATAAAATATTGAAAATTAAATCATTTTAAAACAATTTAAACATAACTAATTAATGTCAAAATGAAGTAATCGAGGAACACCAAAGAGTAATAATCAAACATATTAAAAAAAAACAATTCTAATTACTGAATTTTAACAGTTTCAATATATTCAACTATAGAATAAGTTCTGTTAAATACAACAGCTTTTTATCGCTCAAGTTAATAAAAAAAAAAGAGCTGCTAAGCCAGATCAAAACTGTGTACTTAATTAAACATGTTCAACTTTTTGTTTTGTTTATTTATTTGTTTAGTTTATACTACTACCATTGATATTCTTGGTATTTTTTTTATGACAAAAATAACAACAATAGTAAAAATTATTACAGTACGCACAATGAGTTTAAATTACTTTTTTCATTAATGATACTTTTAAAGAGTTCGAAAGATAGCTTTATAAAAGTAGTAATAAAACTTGTGTACCGACAATCCGTCGGAAACAAAATCAAAATATTTTTACATAATAATTCTGAAACTAAAACTCCTGTATAGTTAATAGAGAAAACATAGGATTACTTAAATTATTATCTTTAATTTGCTTAACCATTTTTTAAAGTTACTAATATTATAGAACATATTATATCTTTTTACTTTTAATTTATATCAACGTGTGTGTGTGAGGGGTTGGGGTTAAGATACATTTTTTTTATGTTTTCAGACAATTTAAACGGTTCATTCACATTAGGTCTCGTCGGCATGTAACGACACATAAACCGTAATATAGGATAACTCGGGTTGTAAAACACAAACGAGGCCTTTAGTATTTTTACTCGTGAATTTTTTTTCATCTCCATCAATTTAACAACAGATTTACCAGGAAAATCTTTGCTCGACACCGTAAATCCGGAGCTTACCACTGCAAAGTGTCCTATACCATTAAATGACGATCATTTATACCATATAAGCGCATAACGTGACCTATTACAAGTCGTCGAGACAGCAAAAAATGGAAATCCCTGTAATTTTCCACCCGTTAAACAAAGAAAATGCACATAAAAGTGTTAGGTAAAAAACAAATCAACGGGTGTTTGATAATAATATATTATACTTTGAACAATATTTCACTTATTACAGAACACGATGCGCTACAAATACTGTCACAGAACTTACATATAGTACCTATTAAAATCTGAACGAGTAATTAGAAAATAGAAGTCTAATAAAAATACTGTACAAAATATATAGAAAAATTAAGACTTTATAACACATGTAAATGAGAATAATGTAATAAAATAACCACTGATTTTACGATAATATAATTGTTTGCAAATTTAAAAATAGGAAAAATTTGTTATTTAATAAAAAATCTGTGCATTTATTATAACTCATTTGTCTAGACGTGCTCTCAATTTTGAAAGAAATAATGGACTTGTTAACTTTTACCTTTTTAATGCTTATTTATTTTTACACTCCCAGTACAAAACGTACACTATCTTTTGTAATCGACTAATGCATACAATTATCATTATTTCAAACCGATATTTTCTCAGCTCCACTTGAAAACATATTGCGGAAATTCAACTCCCTCGCTTGTCAACTGACAGACAGCAGACTGTTAACGAGTTTTAGCGTGAAAAGTTTGATTCAGTACTTATAGATTGTAAATCTACCCATTTACTACTAACGCATATATTTAGTAAAGATATAATATTTTATATTATATTTTAATTTTGTTGTTATTTTCCTTACAGAACCTGAAAAATCAAATTATGACTACGAATTTATGGGTAGAACAGGTAAAATATGATAAATTAAAGTTGCCAATGGAGTACACAAATTGTAAAGGCATATGTCTACCTAATACCCTTTTTTAAACATATTTTTACAGTACTGGTATGATTATAAGTTGTCGTGGAATCCTAAAGAATATGGAGGAGTGGAAGGTTTACATGTACCATCCGAACACGTTTGGAGACCGGATATAGTACTTTACAATAAGTAAGAGCTTTAACTTAAAATATACATACGAGATAGGTACCATAAATAATACAAATTAGATGAAATTCTAAAAACCGTTTAGGTACTATAAGCTATCAAACATTTTATATGTTTTAAATTTAAATTGGTTTTAAACAATATTATCCTTCCATTGCTACTCAGTCAGCAGACTAAGTTTTCATGTACCTTTTGAGTACATTTATTAGTCACAATTAAAAAACAATAAGTACTATAGTGACAATATATTACTGGACTCCACGTTTTTAACATGATAATGTTTTTAGGCTGAGGTCAATCAAGAATGACGATTTATTTACTCGTTTACTAGATCTATTTTCTATTTTACTAGTTTGTTTACTCGTTTATTCGATTTATTTACCAGTTAACTTGATTTATTTACTCGTTTATTGGATTTATTTACTTGCTTAGTCACACAAAATATCATCCTAAATTTAAATGTTTTTATTTCAATAGCTTTCCTCGTATTATCTCTTATATCATATATTGGGCAGAATATAAAACACGACATTTTATGTTAATTTTTTGGTATACAATTAAAATTTCTAAATAAAATTATCATTCCAGCCGTTAAAATTCAAAAAAACCTTATACACGTTATATGACAATATGTTTTTTTTTAAGTGCGGATGGAAATTTTGAAGTGACTTTAGCTACTAAAGCCATACTGCATTACACGGGTCGAGTGGAATGGAAACCTCCAGCTATATACAAGTCTTCCTGTGAAATAGACGTCGAATTTTTTCCTTTTGACGAGCAAACGTGCGTGTTGAAATTCGGTTCTTGGACGTATGACGGGTTTCAGGTAAGCAGAGACAAAAGTTAATCTAATTAAGACACATAAGAGACAACAATTATCTAGCTAAGCACACTGTGCATCAAGTTATAGTGTTTCAAGAAACATCCAACATTTATTTAGGCAATCATTATTTTTAATAGAAAAAAAATATAATATTTTAACTCGTTGTGTTCATCTGTCTTGACTAAAGAGCAGCTACGGGGCGAATGTAATTTGCCGACAACTTTATTACTTCATATTGGGCTCTAAACATCCTGCAATTGATTGGAGCAGCGTAGTAGAGGGATGACGGAAAGTTTGTTAATTTAGAAGAGCATATGCCTCAACCGTAAAGTTATAGTTTCCCGGCATTACCCTCGTATAATAGGGCGAGCCTTTCACTTTTGTCAATCTATAGACAATTCATTATAACTGCAGATAACCCAAACACGACACACTCGAAACACAGTTAATATACTTACTTTATTTTATGAACATTCAAAATTCATGATCGATTTGTACAAGTTTATCGGAAAAGCAAATGGAAATTTAAGTGATTTATTAGTAAGTCTACACAAAATGTATGCCTTAATCTAATATAGAACACATTACACAATGATTTATTATAGGTACTTATATAATATATGTACCTATATACCCATATTATATTAAATATAATATATTTATTATTACTTAGTGAAAAAAGTTAGACAATCTATTAGAAATGTGTCAAATAAGTTTTACGTGTAATACATTCCTACTAAAAGAGAGTAAAACCAAGAAATATTATTACGATTTAAAGTTATTATTTTTCTTTTGTCTATTTTGTGATATGATCAATATGTCTTTCTGTTTTTGAAATGGGCAAACAATTATTTACATCATTTCAGAATACAAAAAACTACGGTGTTTTTAACGCAATGGGTAATTAATCATATTATTTTTATAAATTACTCTTTTTAAACCATTAACGACATTTTATGTATTGAACTATCGAATGTTTAATTATAAATAAATATTTAAAATGATTGATGATATTACTGTTAAAGTTTACACTGCTCTGTGTAATGATTTAACACGAACTGCAAACGTGTAGTTATTAAAAACATATTAATAAAATATGTTAATATTATGAATAATGATATCGTTTTTACTTATTACAATTTTTTAATCTTATCATTTCAGACTTTATTGCACAAATAATTATCTTGTATTAAGTTTTATGAACATTACTTTAAAGTAAATTTTATTAAAAAAATACTAACATTAAATATTCAGATTAATAAAAGCAACGTCAGAGATGAAACAGAAGTTTCAAGTAAAAAGTTTAACTTAATTGTTCAATTGACCCCATTGGGTATCATTCCAAAGACAGCACTTAATTTTTTTATAATTTTAAATAATATTTTGGCCAGAAATTTAGTCTTAATTTTTTTTTTTTGAAAATATTATTTAAATTTGTTTAAAATATTATCATCATCGACAACATTTACATAGTGTTAAGGTTTATTTTATTTAAGTATAATATTAAACTGAAATTATATTTTATATTAAAGTTGTAAATTTAATTTAATTTAGAAAAGTTAGAAGTTAGTTTTTATTGGATTTATCTATAAACTATAAACTATTTCATATATTTTATGTATGGTCATAGTAAAAAAAAAAATATATACATTAAACCTTTTTTTGATCCTCTTGAAACCTAGATAAGAACTTTCAAAACGAGGAAATAAAACTGCCACAAAAAAAAACGCGTCTTAACACCAAGGAGAGTCAAATTGATCAAAATGACAGCTATAATTCGTTTTTTTCTCCGTTGATGAGAATACTATGACGGAAACACTTTGACTGAGCTGCTGCAATAATTTAAGTTATAAATTTTAACCCGTACTAGGAAGGGAGAAAACGAACGGTTCGATAAATGGACTGCCCTCGACCGTGATGCCTCCCCTCTCGCGTTTATCCGCTACATCTAACCCTTCATCCCTCTCGTTACAGCCCCCACCCAGCTCTCTTATATATAAATATCCTTGTTTCATGCCAATGTATACGATACACGCGTGTTGCGAGTTCCGTCGCACCTATATATGTTTTCTTGTGGCGGATGAAAAGAAAAAATATATTTCAACTCTCTCTCTCTTACTCCGACAATACCTTCACGTTGGAAAGCCTCCAACAGGGTTTGCATATGTTTACATTACTATAATTTGTTATCTTTCTCATATTTTTATTTTTTTTTAGTTAGTAATTTTGTACTGCTAATATGTCGGGCGGCTTTGCTGTGGAGAAAAGAACAAAATATTTCTCTTTTTAGATGAAGTATTTTGGCGAGTCATTCTAGAAACTTAATCGATGATTGTAACACGTTTAACGGTTTATTAGTTTAACGGTTATGTTTAGTTTAAAAACTAAGTATAGGACATAGGTTAACAATAATTAAACAAAATGACTAAACTATAATATATTTATATGTTAACAGCTAAACTGGTGAGATCAGTTATAAGGTGTTTCAATAGATTGCAACCCTATAACAATAGATTGTCACGATTTTTATTTTTTAATTTAAGATCGAATTATACACTTAGTGAAAATCTATGAATCTCTTTTAACGAGCTATTGAAAAATATAAACATTATACGTGGCGTTCCAGAAATAAAAATATATTGTCAAGTAAGATAATTATTAATTAAATGAGGCAAGTTTAAAACAATTGAAAGTTTTTTTAATTTAATGCTTTCAATTATACGTTTGTGATCAATTGCACAATATTGCATAAAACACGAGCATTGTTGGTTTTATCTAAAAACAAAAAGAGTTTGTCATTTAAAATGGTCCCATTTATTTAAAAACATCCCACTTGATGCTATTACAGCTAGCTCTAATTACTAGACTGTGTAGTGTGCCCCTAGATTCCAGTAGGTACAACAATTTGTGCTATGCTTTTTAAATCTTTATTCCTAAATAAATATTTTCTATTACAACTAAAAGTATAATTAAAAAAAATAAAATCACTTTCCAAAACCTTAAACTTATCATTATCATGTAGCTTAACGGGCCTTGAAGGCCCAACGTTGCCATAATGAGATGGGTTTCTAGACTAATTCGCTATCTTAAACTTGTATAGGAAATAATTTTAAGTTAATACATTTTAGCTTCGATGAGGAACTTAGAAGATAAATATGTTTTGCAATGATGTGTATTTTTGTTTTTCTGTCCGGACAATAATATATGCACATATATAGCCACAATAACTTAAATACCAAAGAGTTCTTTTATTTTAGATAAATCTTGGCAAGTTTTTTATTGTTAAGTATACTATTGATCACATCATATTATACACATAAACCATATTTTTCTAGTTATCATTTTTAAAGTTTTTTTTTACCTTTAACATCGTTGCACTAATTCGGTATACAAATATTTTTCGTATTTTTTTTTGACACGTAGTTATGGTTTTCTCCTCGCGTTGAGCTTAAAGTTAATTACATTTTTGTCACGTTTTGGACAAGTAACAACCAAGATTCTAGGTCGTAAAAAGTCATAAAAAAATAAATTATGATTTGTTTTTTTTTTGGTAAATGCGTGATAAAGTAATAACAAAGTCCGAGGCGGAATGTTAGGTTGGGTTTAAGTGTTCACGAGTTTTTAAAGCTTATCCAGAAATTTGTTATGGAGTGGTGGTCCAATATATGTATTACAAAATATATGTATTGTTATAACAACACATCATTGTAAAATCAATTGAATAGATATATTTTAAAACACAAGCGAAAAAATAACTGTCTATTAACTAGTCATTATAATTTTCAAGACAAATCTAACAGTGTTTGTTCATTCCCATTTACAATATATTGAATGTTTAGATATTGTTAGATAAAATACCGACCGCCGCTGATCTGCTTTAAATGTTTATTTGAAAATTATAATATTACATATTATAACAGTTTTACTAATAGGCGCTAATATAAACATGAATATGTTATTTTGCTGGATTCAAGAAATTTCATGTCGCCATTTTCGCGTTATACTTACACAGTTTACACTTTCAGTTAGAGATAAGAAATAAGAGACAAAATATAAGTAATAACCGATAACAGGTTCATGATTAAATGTTTTTCCATGGAGCGTAGAAAATAACTAGGTTTTTTTTATTTCAGGTCGACCTAAGACACGTGGACGAAGACAACAAATCTCGTGTGGTGGACGTTGGTGTCGATTTATCCGAATTTTATGCTTCGGTCGAATGGGATATTTTAGAAGTGCCTGCTATAAGGTAAAAAGCGTTGAATATAATATTATTACATCTATTTCTACCCCAATTTCTATTTGTTTTTCTTTGAGTTTGCATAAAATATGTATAGGACAGAATAACTTTAAAACAAGACTTTAATGCGTATCTTTATTAATCGTCTGTCTATATTAATTTATTACCGTTATTACCCATATCGTGAATAGCAATGTAATGAAAATATTTTCAAATAGCTGTTGACTGATGATTCATACATAACAACCTAAAAGTTGACTGCTGCCAAAGTGTAATTTTCCGCCTTTTTTTGGATTTTCCTATAAAAAAATAAAGTTCGACAAAACATTTTTGAGAAAATTGTATATAGCATATGCGCATTTAGACCTAACTTTGGTCTAATTTTCAGACATAAATCCCTAAAACTTTGCTTGAAAAAGTGAAATGAAGAAAAAAATGTTATCCTTTCAAAGGGGAAAAGTTTATGATATTTTATTGGTTTGTCAACGTTTATCGGTAGTTCAATGTTTAAAGAATATTCCATACATTTTTGAAACTAATTTGAATATTTTGAAAAAAATTATAAAGCGCCGTACTTAAGAATGAACAAATTTTTTGGGTGTTTTTCTTGATTCTGAAGAGTAAGGAATCCATTTTTAAAATTTTTGGCTCTTTAAAGTATCTTTGGGGTGAAATAAACCTGAGTGTCACTGGGCTTCTATTATACTAATAGATTGTTTTACATCATCATTGTCAATGAAGAATACTCATTTGGGGGTTTGTAGTTTTGAAAAAATTAGTAAAACTATACAAAACGTATCGTTGGCTTATGTACAATACAGACATTTTAACTAGGATTAAAAATGTCAGTTGAAAACATGTAAAAACTGATTAAAATTATTAGGGTCATTATATAATATTTGCATGTACAATAACGAGCTATATAAGTGTAACGTAGAAAAATAAACACAGCTATTTTATGTCCGTAACGGTTTTCTTTTGTTTTCGCATATTTTTTTTATTGGACTTTTAACGACTTGAATCTTGACTAGAGTGTAACACAGATCACGTGTCTCTTTGAGATGGTTTATTTAAAGTTTGTGTGGTAAGTCGTATTGCTCCACTTTGCGTTCAAACTTTTTAAAACAAAATGTACTTATATTAAACAAAAAAAACACATCAAAAATTCAAAAATAATTTGTATTATTCGTTTATCTGAAAATACATTCTAAAGCGACGGTGAGTTTAGTTTTTTTCTCATTTTGTATACTTACACAATTCATTCCCTCCTAAATCCATTAAAATATGTCTTGTCATATACTATAATTTTTTGACTTGTGAGCCAATGACACTTGATATGAATTATATGAGCTTAACCAATTTTTAACATAAATACTAAGCTTTAATATTTTGTTTTGTTTGGTTTTTCCATGATTTAGAAACGAAAAGTATTATACATGCTGCGAAGAGCCGTACTTGGACATCACTTTTAATATTACTATGAGGAGAAAAACATTATTTTATACAGTGAATTTGATCATTCCTTGCATGGGAATATCGTTTCTTACCATACTCGTGTTCTACCTTCCGTCGGACAGTAATGAAAAAGTAAGCAAACTATTTTTAATCGAATGTGTGTAACAGATATTATACCCTTACACGTTCATGTATGATTTCAGGTTAGCTTAAGCATATCTATTCTCCTATCACTGACCGTGTTCTTCCTGTTGTTGGCCGAGATCATTCCACCTACGTCTCTGGTCGTTCCATTGTTAGGCAAATTTGTGTTATTCACTATGATACTAGACACGCTCAGGTAGGTACCGCATGTGTAATATCATTACAAAATATAAAAATTTAAATAATTTTCACAGCATATGCGTGACCGTCGTGGTATTAAACATACATTTTCGTTCTCCTACCACGCACGTCATGTCGCCGTGGGTGAGAAGAGTGTTCATTCATATACTTCCTAGGATGTTGATTATGAGAAGACCCCATTATCAAATGGAGAGAAAAAAGTAAGATTTAAACTAGGAGAAATAAGGCCTAAGCGTTAACACGCTATCGAGCTTAAGTTAAAGTGTAGGAAGGAACAAATTATAAATGTAGAGTAGGTATGCATAGTGCAGACTGGATAGAAAAAATAAGGAGAAAAAAAATAAAATGTTACTTGTTACCAGTTACCACCATAAACGTAACTTTTCATAAACAATTTTACAATAGCTTTTTAAAAATTACTTAAAGACAGTCATTAAATAACTGATTAAATGTAGCTTAAAAAAAATGTCTTCAACTGTTTCCTCGACCGAACAAATTTACAATAGTTTTTTATAATGTACACACAAGTTAAGAAGTCAACATATGTATTTTTTGCCGTTATGTAGTTTAATGGGCGCTTGTCACCGAATCTTGGTAAAAACGTGTCAAGGTCTCGAACTTCAAGATCAAGACTCAGCCGACCATTTGATCCAGATCAATGATTTGTTTTCAGCCAGGTAACTTACATCGAAACGTTGCGACAAGGCGGCATAAAAATGAGTATAATTGCATAGTAACTGTATGTATAATCATTTTCTAGGGATTTGGAGAGTGGGATAATAGGATGTTGTGAAATACACGGTCCCATAGTCCCTATACCGAGTCCGAACGATTCGCAACAGAACGTTCCACTTCCAAGGGGTAAAAAACATTGGCACGATTGTCCGGAACTGCATAAAGCCGTCGAAGGAGCAGGGTTCATAGCCGATTACATAAGGAAAGAAGAGGAAGAAAAGAAGGTAAAACGTTTTTGTCCGACCACCAGATTGCCGGGTTCCTACGACTAGATGGTGTCAGATCTAAATCTCATACATGCTTAACTGTTTTCAAATTAGATCAAAGAGGACTGGAAGTATGTCGCCATGGTGCTGGACAGGTTGTTTCTGTGGATATTCACTTTGGCCGTGACCATGGGGTCAGCAGGAATAATCCTACAAGCTCCAACGTTATACGACAGTCGGTTGCCGATCGACGTGGGAACTTATACGCCGACGGTGAATCAAAATTACAATAACATTATGTAAGTCAAAAATTGCTCAATTCGACCGACAAACAAACACTTACACTGATCTGACGACGAGCAAGTTGCGGCGAGGCTATTTTTACTGGTTTACTTTACAGTGTATAATATTATATTGTACATTCAGATATTTAGTAGGTAACGTTAGGGGCCAACAATATACCTACTGCAAGGGTTGTTGTTGATCACGTGCTGTGACAATTGTGTCAATTTCGCTATTCGAGATACTATTTTTATGTAATCTACAAATTATATTACTATGTATGTTAAATATTTAGATAAATATTTTTAGATTGTTTTTCTTTATAAATCAAATGCCTATTTATCTAGTTTACACCAACGAAAAATGTCTAATATAGAAGAGAACGCATCAAATGTAAACATAGCAAATTAGTAATATAATATCTTTTTATAGTTCGTATGTTATTTTAAAAAAGGTGATGGTAATAATAACAATAATAATCGAATAACGTAGTTATATGTACATAATTATATTATTTTAATGATGATGATGGTGATGATTAGTTGGATTTATGAAAAATAAAAATATATATATGTTGTTGTTCGAATCACAGTCATCAATCATAGTTATCAACAGGCTTTACTCGAGTCGCGTAATACAATATAATATAATGACAAATAGGACTTAATAATGGTAATAATGATAAAGTAGAACTGCTAATATACAGGTCTTTAGAATTTCATGGCCCACCTGATGATGTACTAAAATTATAATAAAATGACTTAACCTTTCTAATTTTTATCAAACAAGAAGAATTTAAAGCTTTTCAGTCAGAACTACATTCAGAGGATGTAATTTTTAACTTAAATGTTAATGTATACTTGTAATTACTTTTTTAAATTAAGAATTATTTGCTGAACATTTTGACTAAATATTCACGTCAAAAACTTAGGACGGGAGGAAAGATGGAGTGTAGCATTACTTTTATCCACACGCATAACTCAACCACAATCACTCCCGTCGTAATTTTAAACTCAAGTAATTTTAAAAGTAATGACTCAAAACTGGTTATCGACCAGTCAAAATTTTCAGAAAATTATTCTTACTTTATGAAAACTAAATTAATATATACGTTACCATTTAAGTTACAAAAGTTATCCCCTTCTGGCTGAAACAATACAAAAGCTGTAAATTATTATTGTTTGATAAAAATCAAAAAGGTTTTACATAGGTAATTTTTTTATAATTTTAGTATAATATCATCAAAAATGTATGTGATCAATGAAATTCTGAAGATCCTATAAATATATGATACACTAGTAAATTCTTGTTTAACGATCTGACCAGTCTCTTTTGTTTTTTAATCAACTGTTATTGGATTTCAGTCAGATCCCCTAGGCTAGTCTAAAAAGCTAACATGTGACTAACAATTTTATTGTAAAATATATCTGTCCATTTAGTGTTCGCTGTTACAGTTTCAAGAGTCTGTTTAACCGTTATATCGGCTTCTTCGAGATAAACGGCGTTCTTTTCAATGAAACTCTGGAGCTGTAACAAACCAGAAATTAATATGTCAACCAATTAAGCCACAGTTTAGTAATAAACTATGTAATAGGTGTACGAACTTCATTTAGTTCTTCTTTAGTCTTCATCTGCGAACCTATAACGCTCAAGTACCTACCAACGCGGTCGCCTCGAGGTTGGAAACTAAACAAAAATAAAAAAATATAAGTTCAATTAGGAAACTTTGTTATTGTACAATTATGTAAAACCAAAATTGTTAAGAACGTCATTATTAAGTAACCATATTATCTCTCAATTGTCTACCTCAACCTTTGATTCACGTTTTACCCTAAGTCACATTTCCAAAGTCAATTTGAACGCTTATTCCATTAACTACTATTTGTTTTAGTTTCAATTATACTCTACGTATTCCTCATTATTCCTACTATAATTCATAGCTTACTAAAATAAGCTTCTCTTCAATCTTAGAATATACTATTCGGCATTTGCTTTCTAAGAAGTAAGAGCTCTAACACCAACAAAAATCATGCACCATTGTAAAACTGCTTTAGAATACCTATTTTTTACGATACACTTAAGGTAAAACTCACTAAACTGTACATTTAAAGTTCAGCCTTAAAAACATACAAAGTGAGAAAATAAATGCTTAATACATACAAAAAAAAGAGTAAAACGGAAGTCTCTTTTAAACTTGAATACAAGTTTATATATTAACGATTTTTATCTTACTATTTATATATATCTACGATGCGACGGTTTAAAAAGTCCTTTGCCACGTAGAAGCCAACGTCTCCGATCGCTACAGAATAGAACACTGTTATCGCATCTTGTTTACGTATGATCGCGTTTTCTCCGATGGTCCAGTTCAAATATCTATATTAAAAGTTAAGTTATAAAAAAAATAATTTAATAATATGTTTCTTTTGGGTTGGTTACCTGTTTAGCAGCCAAGTCTCGGAACTACATCCCAAGGCCGACAGATATTTGGCTTTTTCGAATGCAACGTTAGACCGTTTATATTGTTCCCACAAGAATTCCCATTCCTCTACGCTTCCTTGTTTGATCGCTTCGCAGTAAATGATAGTTTTAAGTTCTCTCGGCAGTCTAAAATGAAAAATTACAATATTCACTAACAAATAACCAAATTAATTAGTTTGTGTGTCTCACAAGTTGAAGTTATCTGGATCACTGGACTGCATCCATTTTCTGAACAACGTTACAGCTTGATCGGAACAGTCTCTCATCCGGTTGCGACAAGCTTCGGCAATCACAAGGTTTTTGAATAGTATGGGTTCGTATCCTCTGAGCTCTTCGGTCATATCACGGTAGTTATTGTATACCGGTGCTATGAGTTTCTGCATATAACTCTAAAACAATCATGATTGATAATTTATTTTTTAAAAAGTTACAGTCTACTTAAAGCATAACGCCTTAAATGCGATGAAACCTGGAACATATGCTTTAGCCTGCTGGCTCCTGAATATTGATTATTTCTGATCTATAATATAAGTATAGCCTTAATTATATGTTCTGGCCAAACTCGAAACGACAACGACTCGTTATTATTTCGATGGCATCTTATAAGTTATAATACGTTTAAAGTAGGTGCGCTATTTAATGTCGTTTTAGGGCTAAAGCATGTTCCATGCTAAAACAAAATTCACCATCTATATGATCATGAAACCATTCGGCTAACCTGGAAAATTCCTTGGTTAGGTGTTCTCCTTATCAACTTTTTTATCGGACCAAGCCCGCTCAATGCAGCCATCCACGGCAAGTACTCGTTTTCGTGTTTTAAATACTTCAAAAGTTGGAAAGTCACTCCGTAGTCCATCTCACCAATTTTGGAAAAACTCAGGGCGTCATCAATGAGTTGGACGCGGTTCAAAGCGTGTATCTTTTGAAATTCCTGAGGATCGTTTAACGTCGCTATTATGCCCATCCAATTCCTTGTGTCGTAAGCTACTCTGTACAAGCCTAAGGCAACGAAAACACACGTTGTTGACATAACGTCATTGATGTATACACGTACGAGACGTACCAGCCATTTGCATGTTAAATATCACCCATTTATCTTCTTTGGCCAACGACAACTGTAGAGCCTTGTTATTACAGTTAAACCACGTGCTCGGTTTTGTTTGAGAAAAGTCCATCTTTGTAGAAGTCGTCAATGTAAGTGGTATCCACCAGCAGTATTTTTGTTGGGTTACGTTGGATTTCGTTGACAAAAACCGTTCCTAATCAATTGCAAAAACACAACATTTTACATATAACAATATTAATATATTAATTTCATCTGATGCCTAACGTACCTGCGACAATGTGATCTGGTCGCTGGAATAATCACGAACGACTCTTAATACAGGATAACCTGTTTGAAGGGTCCACGTGTCCATGATTTGTTTAACGGTCAGGTTCTTGTCCAAGTTGCCTTGCGCATGTGCTACCTCAGTCATGGAAGACCATAGGTCGTCTTGCTCCGCGTTCATGTATTTGTTTTTATCGATATAATTTCTGACACCCGTCTTGAATGTTTCCTCGCCGAGGAAAGTGTTCATCATGTGCAACAAGAACGATCCTTTTTGGTAGGAGATAGCGTCAAAAATTTGAGCTATTTCGTCGTGATGTTTAATGGGTACCGATACCGGGTGTGAAGAGTTCAGCGAATCGAGATCTAACACTTCTAGGAAATTTTCGGCCGTCTCAACTTTTAAAGAATTCCATTCTGGATACAACTATAACACAACACAACTTTTAGTATCGCGGCCATTACCCGGAGTCTTGTATTACTTACGTAGTCCACACCTCTAGCCGCTACGTAAGTAGCGAACCCTTCGTTCAGCCAAAGATCTGTCCACCACTTCATGGTGACCAGATTACCGAACCACTGATGTGCCAGCTCGTGAGCAATAACCGAAGCGACGCGGTGCACGTTACCAATAGTAGCCACTTTCGGGTCGATCAATAGAGCGGTTTCTCTGCAAAATATGGTGATTAATATAATATTGTTATAAGAGGCCTTGTGAGAATCTGCAGACGAAACTGCAATGTACCTGTAGGTAACGAGACCCCAATTTTCCATGGCGCCGGCGGAAAAATCAGGAATGGCCACCATGTCTTGTTTGGCCAACGGGAACTTTTCGTCAAAGTATTCATCGTAGTACTTCAAGACCATAGGACCGGCAGCTGCGGCGAGTTCGGTTTGGTCGGCCGCGTCCTTTCTAGCTATGATCCTGAACTTGACATAGTTCGCGTCTTCGCCCACGCCATCATTGTAGGTAAAGTCCGACACCATATACGCCACCAGGTAAGTGGACATCGGGACGGAATCTTCGAATTCGTCGATCACGTAATCCGGATACGCAGTCCTTTTAATGTTAACGAAACCAAACGATTAAAATTACATGAAAACCTTTTCGGACGTATATATGTTTATTCTCACAGAGGAGCTGTTTGTTTAAGCGGCATATTGCTAACTGACGACAGTGCTTTGTGGTGGCCAAGTCTGATCCTGAAAGTGGCTTTTAGCGCAGGTTCGTCGAAACAGGGAAAAGCTCTCCTGGCATCTGCCGGTTCGAACTGGGTGACGGCTAACCACCTAAAACAACAAATGTCTCATAATAAATAATTTAATTATGCGACAAATTCGCCTTCCTATCTCACTTCGTTTCGTTAGTCTCTCTGTCTACATAACTGCTCCTGTAGTAACCCACAAGATTGTCGGTCAGGTTGCCCGAAAACGGTACGGTGAGCTCAAAATCTTCTCCTTTCTTGAATTTATTAGACACTTTTACGTACAAAAATTCATTACGTGGGTCTAGAGTCACGTTGCTAGCCGGTCCACCTTTGTTGCCTCTGTTGGAAATCACTATCCCGCTGGTGTCTATAGTGAGATTAGCCGAATGCAACACTATCGTATCGGTGGGTTCCAAACAAGTAATCTAAAACAACATGAAATTACAGAAAATCTGTAAGAAATAGTGTTTCTGTTTTTTCTTAAGCTAACCTTTATGTAGACCGATCCTTCAAATTTAAAATTGTCAACATCGAGGTGCGTGATAATGTCAAGTCGATAACTCATTGGTTTCATCGTTTTGGGCAGTCTGTAGTTGGAAACTTGTTGTGAATTGACAGCCGCCGCTATTGACAGCAAAACCAAGACCATCAGTCTCATTTTGGAGACCCTAAAAGGAATCCTATAGAATAAAATAACAGTTTTATCTTTTAGTTGCAACTTACAGACAAAATATTGAGATAGTCCACATTAACTGTGTCAAACTCTCGTCTCTCTCTTACATTTAACGTCCATTATTCCCACCGATCGGGGCTTAGACAGTTTAGATTTTTGCATTTTTTGGGCTTATAGCTACTGGCTGCCGACCTAACGCTACCAAATAAGTTGGCTCCAAAGAGAAGTGCAGGTGGCCATTTTTCCTTCAGACAGTTACCCACAGAGGAACAAACCGTCAGTGGCCGAGATTCGAACCGGCGCGGCGATCGTACGTTAATACACTGCCGCCTTATCTCACTTCGCCATCGCCTGCACTTCAACCGTGTCAAATACAATAATTATATTCGCTGCCAAGCAAAAGTCTTGGTAGTATTTAGTTACAAGCAATTACACTTGGAGACAAGCCATCAGAAGGGTAGGAATTAATAATAGTCTTTTTATTTCTAACAAGGTAAGCTTTGGAGTGCATTTGCTATAAATAAAAATAATGATAGGGCTTTTGGCAAAATAGTCGTTTAAGTTAGCGGATTTAAAAAAAAGTTGTTTACCCTTTGTAAAGCTGTGGAAACTTTCACATGACCACAATACTATTTTAAAATTGTTAATAACTATGAAAAACTAGTTACTTATAATAAAATTAAATAATGTCACAATGTAGACTTTATAGGCAGATGTTAACATAATATGAATATTTTTAAATTTTCACAAAAAAGTTTAATAATTATTATTTAACAAAAAAACGAATTCTTTCTGTGTTCTATTTCGCTAGTTTGTTTCTATAGTAATACATTAATATGTTATCACTTATCAACATTTAAACACATTCAAATTGTCTCATGCAAACAATGTTACTTTCAAGTTTCACTAGCTTCTATAATACTTTTTTTTACCTATATGTTATTTAAAAATAACCACCAAACAGATTAAACATGAATTTCACATTAATACATGACATTTTTATACAATTGATCAAGTAAAAAAATAAACACGTGAAATAAAATCATTAAGGGGGGGTAGGGTATTAACATTTTTTTTTTTTTTTTGTTAACTGAATGCATAATATCTCAAGAATATTGTGTCAAAATTTCAAGTCGATCGGAACAAAATTGACGACGTTATGAGTTGTAGGAATTTTATAGCTGCCCGGCCCGAGCGCACTATCGTTAACTTTAAAGCGTTTTTCCCACAACTCACGTTTTCAAAGGCGGTGACCACCATAACTTCAAAACTACTACACCGATCCTTTTGAAATTTTGAACACTATTTCAGTCATAACTAACGAGGTAACGCTGGAGAGTTTTTTTCAAATTTGTTAATATTTTTTATTTTACAATAACAAATTAGCCGATTTTTTTCGCAAAAATCGCGTTTTTCCCTTCAAAGTGTTCCCAAAAAGTGAAAAATTGAAATTTCAAAAAACCCTCCCAGCTTTACCTGGAAAAAGCAATTATCTAACGAAAGAACTTGATTTTTTTAATTTCGGATGATCCAGCATCGAGTTATGAGGGGCACCGCAATTCTACTTTTTTCCGAGACGCTTCCGAATAATTGCCGCCATTGCCGTATTTTTTCTTATTTCTACATGAAAATATTACACAATATTCTTCGAATGTTATACTTTAATGTACAATTAGTTTTAATAAACAGATTTTAACTGTGTCGTCAAAAAAAATTCACAAAAATTTGCCGTTTTTTGCACGAATTAACCATACCCCCCCCCCCCTTAAGTAATACCCAAAACTACAAAAAAGTGTTAATAGTTCCAAATAGAAATAAAAACAAGTGTTTTTTATAGTATTGAGTATTATTTTATCAAATCAAAAACCATTAGCTGCAAAAAGACCTAGGTACTCAAATTATTTCTACACGTTTATTAAGGATTTAAGGAATTTTATTGAAAACTAAATTCACGATAATTTTGTTAATTTTTTTTTTTATGAACGTCCTACTTTAAGCATAAAATAAAAATGTTTATAGAAATAATTTTCTGATAATGAAAAACTATTATACTACTATAGAAATGTTTTAACACAAAACAAAAAGTGTGTAATATTTATAATTTGGCTTCACTTGTAATATTATAAAATATATATTGTTCTCTAATGAGTAATGAATTCAACAAAAGATTTACAGAAACGATAAATCAAGATTCCACACTGTTATTGCAAGATCAATAACTGTGCAGTAAGTGGGTTAGACAGGTATTTGTTGAATTGCAAAAAATATTTATTGTATTATGAAATAATCTTGAATAACCAACTAGCAAATCATATTAACAACCTTGTTTAAATATTAGCATATAATCAGCAAACTTATATATCATCAGGTCAAAGACTAAAATGTCCTTGTTAGACGCAGCATGAATATATTGAATATATTTTATTAATTAATCAATATTACAGTAACGGAGAAGTTTACTCGGCCTATTTTTTTTTAATTTAAATATAAATAAACAAACAGTTAACTCAACACAATAACATTACGAATTTATGTATATATGTATTTTTATTTTTAAATAGTTACTTAATATACTTGTTTATGTAACAAATTAAACGTTAACGTAAAAAATTGTGTTCTCAATTATTATTATGTTATTTATATAATATTGTTTTTGTACTGATTCATACCTATAAGACCTTCACCCGAAACTTGATTTATACAAAGAAGATAAATGAATATTCCAAAACATTACACAATAAGAATACTTATTATTACGTCAAAAGTTATTCACTTTCATTATTTACTAATTAAACATATATACTTTGTTATTAATAACTAAATAAAATGAAGTGACAGTCATAACAGTTTTAATTTCATTTTAAAGTGGCCTAAATGATAAAAAAAATTACAATAAATATTATTTTCAAATTTTTCAAATTGTATAGCATGTGTTCATTTATTAATTTTTTTCCTACGCATAAAATAGTAAGTCAATGTAAAATATAACAAAGGCAATTCGAATTCACAAAAAGTTTGTTTGCTCAATCAGAATGGTAATTACTAATTTTATTGACATTCTGTTCAATCGGAAAAGTCACATAGACGATAATTTTAATACGGTTTAAAATAGATTATTTTTTCGAATTTTCTAGGTAATTAAATTTAATATTCGGATGTATGTTTAAAAGTTCCACGAAACGTAATTGAGTTAATAGTGTTTCGACTTACTTCGAATTACTACAGGTATTATCTACCCATAAACAAGGAAATTGGCGATAATAATATGAATTTTGTAAAGGTTATGAATAATGATAATCTTAACAACTGCTGTTATTTATAATAGAGCTATGCTCAATTAGTACACAAATAGACAGGCATACGTTTACTTTTCATAACCATTCTGAAATTATTGTTAATTACTTTCTATTCCGTTTAAATTCCGTTTTGAAAACACTGTATGTAGGTAATTAAATACACAGAAATTTCAGGACATTTCCATATGAAATTGTGTTATTTATTTAAGTTCTGTGATACAACTTAAAAGTACCTAAATAACATATATATATATATATATATATATGAATGTATGTACAGAAGCTTTTAATAATTGTATTTCTATCTAGGTATATTTAAATTTGTATAATGTGAATGTCATAAGCATCAACAGATATTTAACATTTTACTTTTTAACGACGTTCGCATCATTCAAAATAGTTAAAGGACGATTCACCCTTGGAAACGACGAGTTTTTATAAATTTAATTTTAATTACTTCGTTTACTCTATACAAATAATAATAGACAACTGATGAAATATTTGTTTTAAATGTGTTAAAGCAAAAAAACCATCATACATTTATGATTTCAATGAAAGATACATGTATTTAAGCCCACGTTTAAATGATAATTATATCATTTAAGAAACGTTAATTCTTTAAACAACAATTAAATTATTTAATTAAGGGCTCGGAATGAAGCATGTAAGGAGACATTTAAAATTTAGATTTACAAAAAAAAATACGATAGACATTACTACTTTTAGTTTTGAAGCAAAGATGTCTAAATAGAACTTTAATTTTTGGAAACTTTTTTTATTAAAAACAATAATGAAAAAACAAATTTTAAATTATTCAAATCTTTTTAATTTATAACGATATTCTGATTTAGTTTTGACATTTTAATCGTTATACAGAAAATATTTTAATTTTAGATAAATTAAATTAAGAGTTTAACAGATTTTTCATAACTAACAATATTAATAATAATCAATCCGATATTTTAACAAGAATATTTATATAAAATCATTTTTGAAATCACTATTCTCAATTACTCAAAACTAACATAATTATTTATTGACTTGAAATCATTATAATTTATAAGTAATGTAAATTATTGTTATGGCACTTGATCCTCGAATATGTATAATAGAAACTAATTATACAGAAATTGAGAGGAACGATATCGTCATTATAACAGTGAGGCAATGGAAAGAGCCATTTTCCAACTAATTTAAATAGGAAAATCGCTCGTTTATATTTAAATGTGGGCTTTATTTATATAATAAAAAATTAAATATTCTCGTACACTTAAGAAAATTAACCAATTACTATCTTCAATAAGGCATTGGTCTAGCGCGTTCAGCTTTCAAAATTTAGCTATGGCCTATATTGTTTGATTCCAAACTTTTGTCCAACTCTCACATGTTAGAAATTATAAATAGAGCTCTATATGTTTTTGGTACCTTTGATTAAACGCAATCGCAATGAATTCATTTTACCAATTCATATTTATAAATATTTAAAAAAAAAGTCCTTCGCTGTATATATTGTATCTAATTGCAATATATTTAGAATCACCCACATTGGTTACGAAACTGTTTAGGAATATTAAAATTTGGTATCTTTAAAAGTAGGTACGTAGAAATATTGTCCACACAGCCTTTATTTTCAAAATACTGAATAATGAAATTGACGACTGGTATTTACTAATCCTGGTCAATTTTAAATTAACAACCACGAATTCGTAACAATAACTTATTTTATATTCCTCGTGTCTCTCAAGAATCAAGTTTTTGATAATGTTTTTATACATTTTTTTTTTCTTCTTCTGTTTCATTAAATTATTACCATTGTCACTATTAAACTATTATTATCGGTAACTTGTATTTACTATTGCGGCTGCTGTTACTATAATGTAAATTTGACATTTTCCAAAATATTTAAAAATAAATTAACATACAGACTTTACTCGTGGTGGACATATTTCGTATAGATTATGTACATAGTACAATTAATATATATATATATATATATATATATAAGTCAATTTTACATGTATAATTATTATTCAAATCGCCGGTAGAAAATAATTTTAAGAAAAATATTTATTTTAAGAAAATATCTATAGAACACTACATTTTTTATGAATATTATATAAACGCATATAATTTTAAATGAAATATAAAAAAAATAACGTTTAGCGGTCGGTATTTTTATCCATGATTTTTCACATTTGTTATTTATAATTTAGTATTTGTTTATAATATAATGTACACAAACATTGTATTATTTAATAACAATACAAAAAGTCTTACCTGCTCGAAGTGTACATTGTGCGTTGCCGATGGTGGTTTGGTGACGACCGGACCACTACTGCAATTATCGTCCAAGCTGTCGAACAGGTTAAGTGTACGGTATTACACCGGTGGGTTGGTGTTTGTGTGTTTAAGTATATAAGAGGAGAGAGAGAGAGAGTATATCTAGGAGGTCACGGGCACAATAATCATTAATGTACAGTTAAAGCCTAAAGGATAATAAAAATAACAGATTTTTATCGTCCAATAAACGTTATTCTCTCGCGTTATAGTCGGGATAATAAGAAAATATACGATTTTCCATAGAACAACAATAAAAATCGTTCAAGTATATATTATAATAATGTAAATAATTTAACAACGTACATTAAATTCGGCGAATACTATTATCTCGAATAGAGCGATTTATGGAAACGATCGTGGAAACGGAAAGTGCTATTTTTATTGTTAAGCAAAATATACGCAATATTTAACAAAAATTAGACTAAGGGCCCCGTTAAAAATGCCTTTAAAAGTTTAAGGGTAAATAAGTACTAAGTGTTTCTAGTTATGTACAAAACTATTAAAGTAAGTTATCACAGAGTTATGGAAACATTAATTTTTTTACAAAATTACTTAAGATTTTATTCTTCTACTGTTGGACGAGTTTCAACGTACTTTTTTTTATTATGGAAATCTTACTTCTTCGTCTATGGGGGCTCGATTTTAGAATTAGATATTAGAAAATTATGTTAAAACTGTTTGGTAGACACTTTGGGAAGTGATTTCGCGTTTAAGTCTTTATTTGTTTGCAATTTGGTTCTTTCCGTTCCTCTTAAAAAATGTATAATTTTATAATACGCAGAAAAAATCTATAGTATTACCTACCTATTTGTACAAAATTATTTTTGAATAGTCACAAGGGTTAACTAGTTGCACTATCAATTCTATACTCACCAGTTTTAACGTTTGAAAAAGCATAGAATTGTACGTAACAATAAATTATATAAATAGTATACAATTCTATTGAATTCGTTAAAAAAAAAATTAAGTAGTGTACTTTTAGATTTTTTATAGGTAATACTAATCAATGTAAAGTCTAATTAAGTAAGCCTTAATAAATTTTAGTCTCTGCAAGAACTAATTATAAATAGATAATTAAATGCCACTGAGGCAAACGACGTGATTGATTACATAGTTTTAATAATAGTATTCTATTTTTTTAATTACACAATAAAAGTAATGCATTTCTATTTAACAATGTCGCATGTTTTAAGAGTTTACTAATTTTAAACACATAGCATGCAACCTCTAAAAATAGTTCCTCTTAAGTATAAAATTTTATAAATTGTATGTAAATGTATAGTTAAGTTACTTGTGTTTGTCTTAAAATCGTGTTTATCCCACGTTGCTAAACATTAAGGATGTGGAAAGAGTAATGAACCTAACACATTTAATTTTTGTTTCTTATGAAGTGAGTTTCTTTTAGAGAACTATTGACTCACCTGCTTTTAAAAAACATGTATTTCAACAAGATGACCCGGGCAAGAGACTTGTCTCAATTTCACAAAAATCTACTAATCTATTTATTCTCCCGGATGGCAGATATGCTTACATGTGTATTTTACATAGTATTATATTATTTAGTAGACTGATTTGAAAAAAAAATGAAAAGGAACTTTTTTTGAATAGGTAATTAGGTCTGAAAAAAAAAACAATAAACGACGACCTAACAAACAGAGAGAGAGTGAGAGCGTTCGTCGAAGAGGGAAAATTTGATCGGTTCGTTGTACATAATGCGACCTTCGCGGTCACCCGAACTCAACGGTCCTGACACGTTATTAATGTAATTATGTGATTTGACAATGATAATTAAAAATTTTCCCCGTGACCGAAATAATAATAATAGACTATCGTTTGCGGTTTGCAATTGTGTATTTGACATTTGGCCGTAATGATTGCGATGAGGACACTGTAGACAACATTCATCATAAATAATATCATATTGTATATACAACTGCAGTAGGGAAACTTTGTGGGCATTTAAGTGGAAGAGACTACAAAAAATATATGTATTTATATATTTACGATATTTTGAAGTCTCGATCAATTATATTGTTGTTGTCCTATCAAATCGTAACTCCGGAACAAATGTAGCCCTACCCATTAATCGAACAGTAAGTAATGTACCTATCAAAATGATTACTGCTGAAAAGCGGATCGGGAAGTTTTAAACTTTAATCGAATAGAATAGTTTAAACGAGCGGAAATTACACGAACGATTTCACGGCTAATTCGAATCGCTGCGAAGGGCGAATAATAATACTGGCGATTATTTCCAACGGAACGTCCATAATAATACGGTATTCAAATTGAAATTGACAATTATCGAATTGTGCAAATAAAACATCCTTGATATAACTAGTAGAACAAATAACAAAAGTCGAGCCCGGATAATGCAACGGTATCGAAAATGCTTATTCCACAGATGTCAATAAAACCGGCGAATAAATATTTATCTACTTAATTGATATTATTACCAAATATAATTTAAGTCACCGCAACAGTAAAAATCAGCACCCCCCCCCCTCCCCCCACCCCAAAAAAAAAATGAAAACTTTTTTAATAAAATGTTTGAAAGAAATATACTTAACGCACTACATAATCCTAAACTACACAATACACACCTATAATCCCCCATACATCGTCGTACACGTGGGTCCTCTTTATTGAAAAAAAAGAGAGAAAGTGTGTTGAAGTCATTTTAGGATTTAGTTGGATAAATTTTCTTTTAATTAACTACTAAATACAATTTTCCAGACGATTAAAATAAACTAGTGGGTAGTAACAAGTAATTATATAAAGCATTCGTTTACTATTGTGATTTTGAATTGACTTAATCTACTTAAAAGAACTTTGATTTTTTTTTATGCTATATTCTTCATAACATTTAACCTTGCCTACATTTCTCTTCTAGGCTCTAGCCTAGCTTGGATTTAAAACAGTATAAAATAATTTTTAATGCGTTTAATCAAATGTTTTAAATCATCTATATACACTATCGAGTATATATTTTATTGGTTAACATCCAATTGCTATCTATGGTGTTTATACGAACACACGCACAAGTCACTCGACTAGAATTCCAAATTTAGATTTAAACAGGTTAAACGTGATAAAACTAGCTAGACGTGGTTTTATTGTTTTGATAGGTTTACATGCTTACAGTGTACAAGGCAAGGTTTATGGGGGCGGTCTATTAACAATAACATAATATCATGTTATTATATTATTATTAAAATAACCAACAATTATTGTATTAGAATTAGATAGCCCACTAACATTTATACAATACAGAAAACCAAAATGTCAGAGCATTTAATTTTACATCACGTAATATCATTTAATATTATATCATGTGTTGTGATTTCTTTTAAAAATTAAATAAGTATATATTATAATAATTTCAAACTTTGGATTAAGTTAAAAAAAAAATTGCTGTTTGTTGAACTTAACAGCTGAAGAACTAAACTAAAATTGTTTTCAAATTCAGAGTGTAATTATAATGTAATACAAATCTACATTCTACATACGTAGAGAATAAACGTAAGACATGAACTATAAAGAACAGTGCAAAATAAATATTTACAGTTAAAATAATTTTAAAACAATGTTCCCAAAAATTAAATCTGCATAATATGGGATTTTGTAATTCGTAAGGCTACAACTGTTAGGGAGACACACATATTATGTATTTATTTCTTAAAAGAAAAAACACTTCAATGCCAAATTGCGATTTTGAAACTATGGCCAAAAAATGTCTGACAACAGGTTTCTGAGTAAGTCTTAAAATGTCATTTAAACCCAGTTTCTTTTACACTAATCATATATGCATAGGTCACAGTTTTGTATCGTTTCATATTTAATGGAAATAATTTTAACACATATTACATAAATCGAATAGTGTTTCCAAATTGTGGCGTACTAGGCAATTAGAAATTTGTTCTGCAAGGGAAATAATATATTTTGTAGACACGACGCCATGGTGTCTAGTGTCTGCGTTCCCTAGACTCCCCCATTTGGATCCTCTTAATAGTTTTTATATTGCATATTATTATACTCTAAAGATTACAAAATCCAACCAATCATTATCACCAGACACCAGTACTAACAAAGCGATTTTTAGCAGTTTCCACATACTTTATTGAGGCGTAAGGTATTGGCAATTTTTTGTAAAATCTTAATTTAACGGTTAAACTGTGATGTTAAATTATTACCTAGTTCAGTAATTAGAACTTTTTTATATAGTTAATTTATTTTTCAGACTATCACAGCATCATTGAAAGCGATTTAAAAATGTTTTTTTCATCATAACATGTTTACGCAGACTGAGAAGAACTCGCTTAATAAATTATGGTTTTAGAGTAACAGCAACTTTTATAAAACTACAAGAGGACAATATTCCTGAGTGCACTGATGCGTTTTTCCATTATTCCAAATATAACGTTCAATACATCCATCAGAAATAATTACTGTTTAATATAATGATTGTTTTAACAGTTTTAAGTGACTGTAGCTTTAAAAAAAAAAAAATGTTTTGTTGGGTTTCTAAAATGTATTCATTTTGTAAGTTTAAACTGTCAATGGAAACTTTTATTTTAATAATTAAAATGTATATGCGTGTAATCGCTCGCCAGTAAAAATCAAAAATGAGCTATCTATTTTTTTTATTAACTATTTTTTAACAATATTACGGCTCCACAGTTAAGTTATAACTTATAACATAATAGGTACCATTAAGTTTTTGTTTTCTTTGTAACTCGTTTGCTGTACCACAAGATACACTTGGATTATTATTAATGAAAATTAAGTCAAAAATTAAAAAATGTTTCATTTAATTAGTTTTATACTGAAAAAAAATTATATACCTATTAATATCATTATATACATCAATATACCTATTAAGTATCTTCATGGGATTTAACTTAATACAAAAATAAGCATTTTGATAAATATTGAGGTTTTTTTATTTTCTAAAATTTTTCATAAAAGTAAAGTTTTTATTCCTGTGATTTTGTAGTTATTCATTAAGATCACTCACACGAGACTGTGATAATGTTTTAAAAATAATTCTATACCAAATCGTATCAATTCAATATCTATTTCTTTACCCTATTTATTTTAGTGACTTAAAACAAAATAAACATAATATAGAAACAATAACTGTCATTGATGTTTATTTAATTCATTTATATAGTTAATGGGTAGTTTCAAGTAAAATGTCTTTATGTATTTATTTTTGTGACAAATGAAAATTAGTTTTTAGCATAAAAATTCAAATTATTTTAAAGTGAAGTTTAGAGGGTACACATCAACCTAGATAGTATTTCATTTACCTATTGAATGTAGAATAATGTAGTACAAATAATTATTTATATAAAAATAACTCAACACATACAAAGTATAAGAAGTATATTATTTTCAAATATATGAATGCACATTGTTTATATATTTAACTAGTACGTCCATAAATTGCGCTTTGGATGACATTACATATTAACTTACATACAATAAAACGCTTCACAAAAGTGTTAAAATTACAGAACTGATAAAAATATTACATTATTCTTGTGTAGTACTAAACACGAGATGACATTAATCAGACTTTTGTTTTTTTTTTTATTACATTTTTTTATTTTACTAATTTCGGATATCGTGTGCAACAGTTCATTAATTATTCAAAGTTAAATACTTTTTCACAATATTTACCCAACATTAACAAGACATAATGTCAAAAATCAACTATCATAACAATGTTAAAAAAGTATTGTTTTTAGTATGATTGTGAACACGCTTCAAAAGAGGTTGAAAGCCTGAAACAAACAATTAAAAGTTATTAACTATTGTTGAATAAATTAAATTTGAAGTAACCTGAAGTACTTCAAAATTGAAGTAGTTTCAGTTATTGTCAGATAATGTGATTATTGCTTTAAGTAGATATTTTTACAATTTTCTGAAAACTACACTCATAACCAAGTTTCCGAGGGGAGTTAAGTTAGGACGGGAATAATTTTTTATTGACTTAATTATAAACAGAAGGAACTACTTTGGACAAAATAAGACTTTTAATATTTTTTTATCAAGTTACAACCAAGCTTAATTAACATGAAAATACAGCACACAATATGCTTACCTTCTTTAACTTTGTTGTCTAACATTTTGACAATTAAGTTGAACCGATCCACTTTGGTCATGGCTGTTAAATATTCAACAATAAGATCTAATTCTTTTTCAGGATCAAACTTTTGACGTAAAGTTTCTAAGAATTTCGACATGATATCTTCATCTAAATTTGTACTTATAACTAATAGAATTAAAAAAAATTAAATTTTTTATTTATTAAAGTATAAAGCATCGTAAGATTATCAAATATCTATTTCATTCTGTATACAAACCCTTAGGTAAGTCCTTTGGTCTTATACTCCGTAGCAGTTTATTATAAAGTTCATAGTTATTTTTTTGACTGACAGTTTTCCAGCTCTGCAGGAATTCGTGAACACTAGATACAGGTCTCATTTTGAAAACATCTACGTCGCAATGTTTGCAAGACGATTTATCGCCGCTTCCGTTCATCATCTTACTATGATGAACCGTCTAAAAGCCATGAATACAAAACATAAATACCCGTAGATTAAACATAATTTACCCTATTGTAACAAGTTACCGTTGAATTGGAATGACCGTTCATTTCGGCTGAACATACTTCAGTGACAGTCATTCTTTTCGGTACTTTGGTTTCTTGAACTGACGACTTAGATTCGGACGACAATTCAGCTACAGCACTTTGTGTCAACAGCTGCCATCGCTTCCGTTGTTGTTCGATTTTATATCGACCCCACTTTTTTTTCCGTTGCTTCCACTCGTGCCAAGGACAGAGATGGCAAACACATTCTGTTAAACAGCCCATTGGATCAGCTTCGTACAGGTACTCGGTTTGTTCTTTGTTTAACTCCGGAAGTTCCATATAGGACACACAAAAAGGATCTTCTATGTCCCATACGCTTTCATCATAATGTCTAGTTATTTCGCGTACCCTTTTTAAAATAATACATCGTATTAAAAGGGTTGAACATTTTTATTATGGGTAGTAAAATAATTTTCCAATTGGCTCTTCAAATCAATTAAATTTTCATTTGTTTTAGCTTACCTAATTAAATTTTTTTTAGGAATGTTTGATATTATATTCCGTAATTCTTTCACAAATTGCTGTGCTTTAAAATTGTTACAATCATATTTTAAAGTAGTTTCAAAAGACCTCAAAGCCTAAAAAAAAAAGAAATATTATACTCATATAGGTACATTTTCGTTTGTAATACTAATGAAAAATAATAATAAGTACTAACTAAACAATACATAGATGTGGCTTTTAAACAAGATCCTCTACGAAAATGGGCCTTAACATTTTTTGGATCCCTTTCAATCACTTCTCTCAGATCGTCCAATGCTAGTTCATACCGTTCTAACTTAATGTCTATAAAATAATATACATATATACATAATATAAATATACAACAAATACAATGGTTAATATTTTTTCAATGAAGCGTAAGTTATTTTTAAAATAGAATAATATTTATTATGTATTGGGTGCATAAGCGAAAGACTAATTTATGTAGAAACATACATGACATTGCTCTATTATTTCTCGCTTCGGGTGTTGGATAAATATTGATACTAGTGTTGTAATAACGCAGTGCTTCATTGTAATCATTAGCATTGAAAAACTCATTTCCCAATTCTTTTTCTCTCAAAGCCTGATCTTGAGATTTTATAGCACTATCTAAAAAAAAAATTAACGAGTCGAGGATGAACGAAAAATAATATGTAAGCTTGAACATAATCTGTAAAATCTTAATTTAATAATAACACTTACCTTTAAAAACGGATGGTACCATTGATTTTATCGACTTGACTCTATCCTGAAAATCGGACCTATCGCCACCGCCAAGTGATAATGTTTTTGATGCAATTTTTCTATTTCGTTGAGTTTGCAATTTTTCAACTTTTTCCTTATTGTCCATTTTCATAATTTCAACATCGGGGTCGTATTTATCCCAATTTTTGTAGTTTGTACTCAATGATTGTTGAAGTGCATTTGTTTTTTTTGGCACATTTAACTCGTGTACAGCCTAAAGCAATAATTTTTTATTGTACATAAAAACTTGTGTATAATAAATTATATCGTTGTTCCTAACAATAAAGTAATAAATATCAAACTAATACTGCATATAAACTAATAATTGCATCATTAGGTCTCTATAATGAGACAAAAGCTTATGAATAGTTTTTATGTGACCTAATATGATATTGTTTAAATGCAGAATTGTATTTACTAATTTATATCATACATTTTCACTGTTAAACATTGTGGTAAAATCAATAGATCTTCGAACTGGAATCTCATCATGCCCGTTTGTAAGAGCAACAGATTTTTGATCATTAGGAGGTGGTCCTTTTTTTTCATCATTTGATTTTATCCAGTCCTAAAAAAAAAATGTATTTATAAAGTTTATCCTACCAAGGTTTTATACAATTTTTTTTATGTATACATAGTTATATAAGTTTAAAAAACTCACTTTTATAGAACTAAATACATCATCGTATTCTTCATGATCAAGATCAGATGATTTTTGTGCATAGCTTAGTCTACGGCTTAAAATTGAGGCATCTGGTTTTATCTGGCGTAAGCGATTTTCAGTTGCTACTAACAATTGTGGATACGATCCTTCTTCTCCAGACCTAAAATAAAAATTTTAAATTAAACATAATTTATATTCCTTCCTAATTTTTTTTTTTTTTTTTAGCTTAAGTACATTAATTATAAATTTATACATTTTATATTAGATTATCAAACAAACTTATGTTGTTGATATAGTTATTTCAAATTTACTAAGCTCATACCTGTTAGGTCTATATGTTTAAAAGAATATTTAAATAGTTGGATTGTCTAGGGAAAAATATGATTGACAAGAAAAGTATTTGAAAATTATAGGGTATAACACAAAAGTGTGTTTTACTATAACTGGATAAATCATCAAGATTTTTGTTTTAATATTTTGAATTAGCACTTACAATTTATTTAAACAAAATTATACATATCTATATATATATATTTTTTTTTTGAAAATAAACATGTCCAGTAATTAAAAGCGATTTTGGCTCTAGACACAATTTAAAAAAAACACACGTTACATAATCAATATTGTTTACACATAAAAGTTATTAAATCAAATCTTCATTGAAAATCAAAGTAAATAATAATTATGTACAATATACATAAAACTGATAGGGAATAATCAGCCATGATTATAAAATTAATGTGTTCTTCATTCGAAAACGTAAACATACCTAATTATACGATATGACATTTTTTTTATAGCGGATGAGTTTTAAAATTTTGGCCCTACATTTTTGAAACGAGTAGGTAGGTACAACATTTTAGCTGAACAATAAAGTATGTCGTTGTCACTAAAGTAAACAACTGATAAAATATTATGTTGGGTACATTTTGATCCACTTACTCTAATATTTGAATAATGTGTTTCAATTCCTTTGGATCATCACAGCTGCTTACATAATCGAAATCTATATGGTTCAAGGGAATACCGTATTTGACGAGTAGCGTGCGATCCGAATTGACGGCAGTTTGGTACATTTTTTTTTTATTGTTTTGTTTTAAGTTCCAACATTACATTCAATAGAATGGTTCAGAACGTAAAAAAAAAAAAAATCACAACAACAAAAACTTTTTTCGGACACACCGCACGGATTTCGTTTAGGGAACATTGACTGGGAACACCGAAATTAATAATATTTACAAATACATGTTTGTCGAAGGGTTATGAAAAGTTGGTTCCATAGTAACAATTTTTTAAAGAAAAAACGTGAAACTATGGAGAAAGACTTTGTAGAAACATATGATTAAAAAAATCAATTTGATAAGAACTACATTGATAACGACGTGAAGACGCCATCTTGCCGAAAGACAGCACAACAATAATCCGTAATACAATACAGTATTTATATATAATATATACTATATATTATACAATAATGGTCAACATACGTGAATAAGTCTTACGGGCTACTGCATAATATTTTTACATCGCATTGTGATTGTACAGTATTTTTTATTAAGAACCAAGGTAGGTTATAACAAGTAAATAGTAAATACCTTGCTAGAAACATGTGTACTTACACGATAATAAGTACACAATTATATTCAGAGCTTGGCAAAATGTATCAAATTATAAATCTCGACCTATTGAATTGATCCAAATGATGCTATACTGTCATAATTACAACACTTATAATAAGGTCCAACTGTCCAACCACAAAATAATATATTCATCAAATTAGTTGTTGGTCCTTTATGGCACAAATATAAGGGCCATAGACTCGCAAAAATTATTGGCCATTTTCACCCATGCCCAAGTCAATAAAAAAATAATAAAGTACGGTAGGTACATCGCGTATATGATACATATTACCGATTTTTTTTGTACATCAGTTAATTATTTAACCACGTTTTGCCAACAATTGTCAATGTTTGAGCGATTCTTCGTTTAAATATAAAATAAACAATGCTTTTAAGAAGCCAATACCGTGTCGCAGATTATATTCTTTACATGGTAGCAATTTTTTTCCGAAATGATATCACACCTAGTATAATTATGTACCCACTACTACCGAGTTATATTCATTTTCTTTCTAAAAAACGAAAGAAAGTGAAGCGCAACAAAAGATGTTTTTCATTATTAGGCAATGTTTGTGTAAATATTAATAACGGTAATAATCGCAAAACACAATAGGTATTTTTTATTATTAGATAAATAACAAAACCTACATACATTTTGCTAGTTATCTAATAATAAAAAATTATGCTTGTACGTAAAATAATTAAATTAAAAAAAAAACCAACAAAATTCGTCATTCACAAAACACGTTGGTAAATGTATAGGATATATTTATATAATAATAATTAAAATGTTACATATATATTATTAAAAACTATAGTTGTTTCAGTAAAATTAAAAATGAGTGTAGGTACAGTGATAATTATAATTAATGGTAACACTATGTGAACAATGATAATTAAAAGGTCCAATTTGCTGCCTAATGAAAGTATAAAAGTAAAACTAGGTGGGTATATAAGAACTACAATAACCTCACACGAAACGCTTAAAATATTGAAGTTTAAACACAACGCAGGTAAAATCTAATAAATAGGATTAACTTTTTCGTATACATTTATAATATTTTGTGACTAAAAAAAAATATACATAAGAATGTAAGTTTTCCTATAAACTAAACGCTAATTAACAATACGGTTTTAAATACCGGCCACGTGAATGACAGCGTATTTTCCAATCTTTAACCAATCCGGATCGGTTTCAGAAATACGTTCGGCCAAGCCTTCGGGTAGTCCACAAGTGATATCCGACTTAAGTGTTCTCAACGCTATCAGTTTCGAAGGTTGGAAACTACCAATGGCCTGTGAAAACGGCACGGTAGGCTCCCAGAAAACGTCGCCGACCAATTTCCTGTAGTTGAGATCTCCTTTGGAAATTATCAAAACCGACTGGGACAACTTGTCGTACAATTGGGGATCCAGGCTTTTGATTTGGTCAAAGGTAAACGGCAACGTCCAAAATTGTTCGCTTTCAAACGTCCAGAGTCCTACGGGCATATGAAAAAAAAACCATCAATATCTAAATCATACATTTTATACATGAACGCATAAAACATATTGCAACAGTAACTAAGTACACAAAATAAGTTGTGATTGAAAAGTAAGCGTATTTCGGTGAGATTTCAACAGGGGGAAATGCTGGGAGGGTGGGGGTGTTTAGGCCTCCAAACTCCTTCTAGGCCTGCTAAAACCGTGCCGATGGGACTTATGAGACAAAAATAATTTTTTTGTGCGTTATTCCAAACTTTTACAAACCTGACTGCATGTAGCTTTCCCATCTCTTGCCCAATAGTCTCAGGTTTTCCGTATGGGCCTGGTTCGCCACGAAATCTATGGTAGCAACGAAATCGCGGAGTGTTACGTCGGACACGAACCATGGTATGGACTTGCCATGAAACCGTACAATGTTGACAAGTTTGTAAGTCATTAGCCAATCTGCCATACACAGATCGGTGAACAGCTCGTAGCCGGCGTTATCCAGTATAATATCTGAAGAGAAAAAATGCGAAATATATCATTATAGTTCCCAAGGTCTTAAGGGTTTCTAATTATATTTCTAGCAAATATATGATTATAATCATCGATTAAATATATTTGTATCGACGTTAGTACCTAAAATTTTATCGCCCTGGCCGTTGGTCACCAACTTGCAAAGGTAGTCAACTATCTTTGGCGATTCGTCAACTAGCATTAGTTCTTGCAACGATTCCACCATTTTCAACGGACTCTCGGTCTGAGCGATCGCGTCGCCGCCGGTCTGCGACAAATCGCAGCGATTACCCCACAAAGAGCACTTTAGGATTTTTGGTAGGTCTTCTCGTAGGTGGTGATTTTGCACGCCCGTCCGTTGGAAGTAGTCCATTAAGAAGTTGCCCAAGAACCCCATGGCATCCTCGCAAGATACCAGAGATTTCATTTTTTGCTCGTAAAAAGGATCGTAGTCTTTCAGATACGCGCTAAATCGAACAAGAATAACAGGTCATTTTACGCGTCACAGAAATATTGCAATCGTAACATTAAGACATCACAAATTCTTCGTTAATAAATTCTACTATCCATTACCAAAAATCTTGAATTCAATTTTCCTGCACATGTTACAAATACATTTTGTTTTGGACGAATTTAGACATTACATAGTACAGAGTGGTGTTTTAAAATAGTGCTGCTCGACATCACTTATTAAAATTAAACGTGCATAATGATTGACAATAACTAGGATTATCCGATTATGTAGTACGTTTTGTTTAATGTTTGATTATGGCTTCACTTAAAATTATAGCCTAGTTAGTAATTACAATACTAACCCAGCTGGACTTAAACTTTATGAAGGATATAACAATACCTAGTTTCGAAAGCTTCGAATAAACGACGATGCACGTAACACTCGGCGTACAGCCAGAAGGTATACAGCCAAGTCGGTCGCTTTCCATCTTTGTCGGTATAATCCTCGAGAACTTGATTCCAAATCTTGACGTCCACATTATCGGATTCCAATTTTCTAAACGGTTTGTTGCTCAAGATTTCCGATCTTAAACTGTCCAATTTCAACAGTACTGAATTGATATCGCTTTCGGCTTCCTGTAAATTTGAGTAAACGTTTTAAATTAAGAAATATGCACGTGGTGGTACCGTTCGGGTTGACCAATAAAGGCCAAGTAGGGGGTTACTGTAAGCGAATGCAAAGGCAAATTGGTTCATATAAAATAAGCAATAGCCAATAACTGTTACACATTACATTGTCATTAGATATAACAAATACAAAATTAGTAATAATGACATTTACATTTGACCCTATCTAAAAAATGATGTACAACTAAACCTCCCGTTAATAAAATAAAATAAATTTGATTATAGGTATGCAATTACAAATTAGTTAATTTGTATGATTAAGTTTAAACAGTACAAAATGCAAAAGTTATATCTATAATTATTTTATTTCATAATTATTAAGATTATATAATAAATTTAAAGGGAGAAAGCTTGATAAAGTAAGATAAAACAGCAAACGTTGTACAATTTATAATAATAAAGATGACATGGTCATGCCAGTAATGAGCGAGTATATATAACAATACGCAAAACTTTTAAGTGAACAATATACATGTTAACAAAAAAAAAACTGTTGGTCCTTGGGACAAATTACTTTTTTTAATACGCCTATTGTGTATTTAACTTAATAAAACACAATATGTTCATTAGTAACCAAGTAAACTACACGTTGATTTTCATTGCCAATATTTAACCAAATTTTAACATTGGCGACAAATTATGTAAGTGTAGCTGCATCGCAGGTTTTTTAACTGTACATAATTAGCACTGTTTTTTTATCTGAACACGTTTTCTGATTATGCCGTGAGTATGTCTCCACGTTGGTCATGGATTAGGTTCAAATATTTAAAAATTAAATTGAGCAAAATATGTATATAGGGTATCCCACGCTGTTTTAACAATATTTTACGTATTATAGTGTAGATAGTGTAGACGAGATATGAAATAATTATGGAAGATTAGGTAACAAGCGGAACTTTTCAGAAAACCATTAATGAGAATCTTCTAACTAACATACCAATAATTCATCACCTCTGCTAAATCTTTGAGGAAGTTTAAACACACCCAAAGCTGGTGTTTTTCAAAATTCTTGAAAAATATTATACTTACTACAGAACGTTATTTACACAAATTGTTCCTCGTGCAATTATCTACGAGTTTGCTTTTTAACTTACACTAACTATCTCAAGTACTAGATTGATAAACATGGCTATCATTGATATATTTATTGGAATTAACGTACATCTTTTGTAGGTGGTATTGACACCAAGTTAAATTTCTTCATAGCACTTTTAGTAAAATACGAAAAACGGAAGGTGTTCAATGATTCCTCTTTTTCTGGGGCTCCATAAATTGCTAGCAAGTATTTTTAAATTCCACACTGCCAACTTCTTGTTGCGATTTAGTACTTAAGATATTTAGTGATTTCTAAACTTTAAAACTAATTAGGGTTTGATTTTAATTTTAATAAATTAGATAAATATATTTTTTTAACATTATACTTTTCAAAATCAATTTTTTCACACCTCATTTAGATGTTTTGTTGTTATCTTATGTTTAAAGAATCCAACGACAAACTAGCATAGTTAAAATGTTTAACGATATAACAATGTAATACGATAATATAATGATAAATGTTCTGATAAAAATAATTACTGATGAACAACCGTGGTTTTATAATTATTGATATAATTATTTTTCAAGTTATAAATAATGCTATTGGAAAAATGCGATCGAGTCCACGTCCAGTAAACCCCATTTAAATACAATAATTATTCAAAAGTAAAGAGTGATCAGTAAAAATTTTTAATTAATTAATTTTTGTTTAATATACAAAGTAAGACCGTAAGCGAACAACTTTGAATTCCGAAAGTCTTTAAAATGATATAAATCACCCCTAAAAATTCTTCCATAGATAATAATTAATATAATTTATTTTAAATTAATAAATAAATAAATATACATCTATGCGCGCAACATCGTATTATGTCCTTTTTTTATTTTCCTCGATATAAAAAAAAAGTTTGACTAGATATTAAAAAAAAATTGTAAATATTATGCAGACCTTAAGTCCAAAAGAGAAAAAAGAAAAAGTGTCCACCCCTAAGTTGGTATATATATATATATGTTAACTTCTGTTAAGTGTTTTTCTCAATTTCGAAGACGAAGTATTGGTGTTTTTTAGAATGTTGGATGTATGTGTGATTTACAAAGTATAAATATGCGGTCCCGGGGAAATAGTAAATATGAAGTCAAACCGCAACCTCACGCGCCAAAATATTATTGCTTCTAGATATTCGGCCACGACTCTGGTCTAAAAGCTATAAATTAATCAAGTAGGTATAATCATTAGATTTAATGCTGATAATTTGAAAAATTGTTTAATATGAGTTAATTAAGTAATCGTGTTTTTAAATAATAAAGGTCGAGGTGTAAAGTATAAAAATTAAGTAATGTATATTTATTATTCAATGTTAATAGGTAGATGCTATTTTATTTATTTATCTCTTTTCACAACTTTAATTTCGTTTCAATCCAAAGTGAGATTCCGATAAAGCACGTGTTCGTTCATGCCTAACATGTGGACCATGCTTCATGACATGTGTTTTAAGCACGTTAAAAACCATATGACTATAACTTGGAAAGCTTGTATTTAGTAGTTAATTGAAAAATATAACATTTCATAATATAGATAAAAATGTACACATGTTTAAAGTGATTGCTAAAGTATAAACGGTTAAGGTCCATAAGTCAACAAAATTAAATATTTGAAAAAATATATTAGATGATGGGCACCTAATAACAAATAATGCGCTTTGCTCTAATTTCTAAAGGTGTTTCTTGTCGGATATTGATTTATAAACCTAAAATTAAAATTATGATAATAATCTATTAAACGGATTCGATATTTATTCAGTGTTTAGAGACAATTCTAGATATTATATAATACAATTTAGTTAAACCCCTATAAGATATTTTTTCTGGTAAGCTAAGATTTAGTTACCACTGTGGTTATCATTTGTATTATTACAAATTAACAATACTATTAACGAATCTAATCCTGATATGCTTACGATAAGTTTAAGCACCATAAAAGATTATGTACATTTTTAAGTATCCGTAGATATATATGTTTTCTTTTTATTTACTTCCCATCGAAATAAAATGTACTATAAGAATTTAGAGCAGTAGCCAGTAACCGCGAAACATATTAAGCAAAAAAAACATATTAATTGTCTATAATTTTTGAATAGGTATCGGGTGATTAATTTGTGGAACGCAGTAGTTCAAGGTTCAATTATTCAGAATTACCATAATAAAAATAATAAGTACCCAACTATTTATAATTAATCAATTATCAAAAGCGTAGTCCATATTTGTTTACACTTTAGCATGCATAACACAATAAGTCATTTTATCACCACTACTATATTATGTACTAATTATATCAAGTATAAAATATATTACCGGTCCATATTTTTGTAAAATTGAATTTTTATTCGCCACTAAGTAGCCTCCGGTTTTAGAAATGTTAAACGGCGTTAATTTTGACAACACCGGAAAAGCGAAACTCCTGTTATCGTGCCCAAAAACATACAAGGTGTCAATCAAGATTTAATTATATAAAAAATATTTAGATAATAAAAAAATGTATAAACAATTGCGGTTAATACCTTAAATATTTCGCGACCAAAGGTTTGTTCCTTGGTGGACTTTCGTCAATGCAAAGATTCACCAATTCGTTTTCAATAGTCATTTTCTAAAAACAAAATAAATATAATAATATTATACATCAGTTTCTCTAAAATTTTGTGTATACCTAAATAATTATACAATTTTATTTTATCGTGTTGCCTGTATATTTAGTCTCAAAGTAGTAGATATAATATTTTAATAGGTACATATAATCAGTGAGCATTGTGTTAAAATCATATTCACGTATTGTATAATATTTTATACGATTAAACTTTTAAGTGCACATGATAAATCATAAATTCATAAGTGAAATTTAAGCTTCGGATAAAGATCAAATCCATAAATATGAAGAAATAATGTTTACCAACTATAAATAACTCTATGTGCAACCTTGGGCACTTCTTGTAAAGTCAATTTTATTCTTGAAATTAATAATTAATCATTTTATTTAGTAAAATAATTATTTGCTTCGTGCACAATACCTTTTTCTTTGTACGAACTAAAATTGGACATAAATATTGAAAGATACGCTATACCAAAGGGTATTTCAATTGAATACACAAACTGAGCATTTACCTACAAAAATAACACACTCATTTGCGATACATAGGCATATATCATTCGATTTTTATTAAACGACTTTATTAATTAAACAACAAAATTATAAATTATGGTGTAATGTCACATTTATTTTACACAATACGATTAGACTATTAGGTACTAATAAAACAATTTTAGCAGCTAAGTTAATTATACAATTATTGGTATAGTAATAGTTCATTGGCATTTCTATCGTCAGATATACTGTTTATAAATGGTTAATAGAATCTGCCATTCGTAAAATACACCAATAATTGTTCTATGTCAACTCAATTCATTTTGGTTTAAACTCGATGGAAATCTGGCACAATAAACACAACACCCTGAATGATTTCATCAGTGAAATTTGTCCTTCGAAAATAAAGCTAGTAAATTACTCACAATTTCGTTAGTATACACTTGTATAAGAATATGGTAATTAAAAACGTTAGACGAGAAGAAGCAATACTAATGAATTGGTGAATTTGTAAAGCTTCGACATCTCATTTAATTATAGCAGAATGTTGTCTATTAAATTTACCAGTTTTTTAATATAGTTTCAGTTATAAAAAGTATTTTTTTCTTACTGGGTTTACATTTTAATTTCCTGGCGGGAAATGTATTATTTTTTTAATTAATTCAACAATTTTATATTTTTATTGATAATTACAGTAAAACATAGAGATTAGGTTATATTAAAAATTATTGATATTTATGTTGTAATAAGGTAACTATTATTTAATCTGATATAACTCATGTTATTTAAGAACTATTATTATCAATTTTTAGTCGATGGTAAATAAATAAATAATTATAAATAATTGATCGGTGGTAAAATGAACCTATATACCTTTTACTTTCTTTACTTGTAATAAACGGAATATTCGAATAGATAGGCAGCATATTATAACATATGATGTGAGTTTTAGGTTGTGAATATAAATATATATACTTAAATAATTTTTACTAGTGTTATTTAATATTTTTAATCCGTTTCATGTAAGGTTTTACTATTTGCTTATAAATCTCAGGTTAAAACTACAAGTGTTTACTCGACACTGTCAATCACCAAAACATATTTATTCATACCACATGTCACATACATATACAGACTATACTTAGTTAAATATTATTAATTATTATATACATCATAACACTGTTATATTTACTAACACTACCTACATAATAATCCAGAGATTACGTTACGACGAACGAAAACAACGAATTTTATTAATTCAATAAAAATTTAAAATACTTATATTGTCTAATAAACATTCTTTAAACATTTTTTACAATTAAAAATTCGTATACTATAGAATATTTTTCTGGACATAGTCGTGTTGATTTATAGTAATCATATGCTTAAAAATAAAAACCGACACTCAATAAGTGTATATACGATATACACATTATATATATATATAATTTTTTTTTAGTAATTTAAATTTTAAATGCGAGTAAACAATAAAAAAACAAGGACTTTACATAAAAAAATGATAGAAATAAATTATTTTATAATTATCTAATATATATTAACGTATCATGTTAGAATAAACTTGGAAAAAAGACTTAAGAAGTTAAATTCCACTGTTACAAAATTAACTAATTGTAAAATCTCTGATAGTGTAGGTATCTACCTACTACATAATATATATATATATATATAATGAAAGATAAAAGTGCAAAAATAGGTATACCATTGTCAGAAACTCATCATTGTTTCTATCACGTGTAAACAGACTGATAATGATGTAAACAAAACCACTATACAATATGTTGCATAACGATCGTTCACTGTCTATAGTCTATCTATACCATTAATTGATGTTTGTGTTTTTCAATTCTGTTTTTTTTAAACTAACATAGCATACCTAATATTTATTATTAATGCAAAACAAAACAAACTGTGAGCTTGAAAATGTTACCGCCTGTATACGGTATACGTACCCGTAATATACTATTTTCAATAATTCGAAAATAATTTAATAACGTTTTTATATATATATTTTTTTGCTATTTTGTGACACCAGTTTCTAAATAAACTTTAAAATTTAAATATGTATTTGACGTTTTTAAAAAAATAATATTAAATATATGGAACAAATTTTGTTTTCAATTAAATAAAGTTAATATTTTATATAGCCATAAAGTCATATAGTTGTTACTTAAAAGAAAACCTGAATTAAAATAATAGCCTTCTTTAATTACAAAGTTATAAAAACAGCAACAACGTCATTTAAGACACACTGTATACCTATTGTTAACATATAGAATTATCATATAGTAAATATATCAAATATTTTAAATTTGTGTACAATATTACTTTCGATTAGTATCTACTTGATTCTAGGTACCACCAAAATAATAATGTAATATTTTACATTAAATTAAAAATAATTATTATCACTACAAAGTGTAAGTATACAATAATAATGCAGTCAATGTATGATGTAAAGTTCACTGGCCACCTGATATAAACATCTTGCAGCGTAACAAGATTGCATAAAACAATTCATAGAAAAATTAGTACCTAATATAAAAGACAATAGTAACTATGAATCTAAGTATAATATGCTCACACATTAAAAATACAATTTAAAAAAAAAAAAAATCTTAAATAATATTTAACCGCTAAAAATTACTGAATTCAAAATAGTCATATTATTTAACTTTTCTGACCTAAAAAACTGTATATTTATTTGTATTTAACAGTCAAATAAATAGTAAGACATGGTTCAAAAAACAAACATTTTTTAATATTAATACAAATAAAAATACTGATATATTGTACATAATTATTTTAATGTGATTTTACTAAACACTGAATTAAATTAAGTAAGTTAATTATTTTATTTATTTAAAAAAAATGTTATTTTAGAATTTAAATTCTATTAAATTGTACATAATATATTTAAAAGGGAAAACTAAATATTAATATTTTATTGTTTTTTTAAACAATCGATATGTTTTTATTGTAGCTATGTGTACCCGTTCTAGAAACTTCTAGAAGTTTCAAATATTCTAAAACTATATTGAGTATACATTATTAATTAATCTAGCAACTCCATCAAAAGTTCCCACGAAATATTACAAAATGTCAAGAATTTTTAGAAATATCTATTTCTACATAAATGTATTATTCTTAATCAAATAACTTCTAGTTTTTTATTTATTAACCCTTCACTGCACAATGTTCCATATATGGAACAATTGTAATTATTGTTTATATCTGCTCATGCTATACATCATTGATGCACAATGTTCCATATTTGGTACAATTCTTTAATTAGCGTTTTCCATGAAATAAAAACTAAAAAAAAATTTTTTTTTTTTTTTAAGTAGTATTAAGTACATTTATAGCATATGATTTAAAAAAATTCATGCAGTGAAGGGTTAAATTGATAAACGTTATTTTTAAATGTATTACAATATGAAAAATAAATCGTACATTTAAAAAAATTGTAACACTAAATTTATTGGTTGTGTTAAAATGTACTTACGATTTTTTGTATGGTTAATTTTTGAATATTTATGTAGCGTCTACTCCCAACGATGAGCGGAACTTGTATGTTAACTGTTTGGCTATTGCGATCTATATTTATATGATCATTTGAAAATTAAAAAGGGGAATTTACTTGAAAACTTCTCTCTAGTTATTGTCCAACCGGGTTTTAGCAGTGTGACCACGGATGGATGTTAAAATACCGATTCGACACCGTTTGCAGTTTGCGCAACCATGAAAATGTGGTCGCATTTTGAGGTTATCTCGTATCTCTTATCACGTAAACAACTACAACGTTCGTGTACGGCGTATCTCCCAAGTCCCAACCTCCACTACGTTGTTGGATTCTTTTCTCTTTCGGTAAGTGCATGTTTTTCGATTTTCATCCGTTTCCATCGCGAAATTGGAGCTTTATATTTGTATTATTCTTATTTGTACGTGATCTGTATGCTACTTGATTGTTATTTAATTTATCAAGTCGAGGGACATTTAAATAAAAATAATTGATTTTAACTGTATTTAATTTTTTAAATGTCTTCGATTATCTCGTAATATTTGAAGGGAAACGTATTAACTGGTATTTGATTGTTTTTCTAGGATAGAGTAATTTAACATATATACAAGATGGCTCCGAGTGGTAATAATATGATCCCTAACGGGCATTTCCACAAAGATTGGCAGCGTTACATTAAGACCTGGTTCAATCAACCTGCTCGTAAATACAGGCGCCATCAAAAGCGTATCAAGAAAGCCAAAGAGTTGGCACCTAAACCAGCAGCAGGTCCTTTGCGTCCTGTCGTTCACTGTCCAACGCTCAGATATCACACCAAAGTCCGTGCTGGCCGTGGATTCACGCTCCAAGAGCTCAAGGTATGAATTAATGATGATAACCATTATCAATTAGTTGTACTACGGTTTAACTTTCTTTAGGGAGCTGGACTAAATAAAAATTTTGCTCGTACTATCGGTATTGCAGTGGATGCAAGACGTAGAAACAAGAGCGTAGAGTCCTTACAAGTAAACATTGAACGTTTGAAGGAATACCGTTCCAAATTGATTCTGTTCCCATTGAAGAGTAAAACGAACAAGATCAAGAAGGGTGAAGCGACGGTATGTAGTTAATTTTCTAAATTGAAATTGGAATAATAATGTAATTGCATTAATATTGCATCTTATTTTTAGGAAGAAGAACGCAAAACCGCTACACAATTGAAGGGAACTATATTGCCAATCAAACAGTTTGTCAGCACAGAACCTGAAGCACGAGCAATCACCGCTGAAGAAAAGAAATTCAATGCTTACAACGCTATTTGTCAAGTAAGAATTCATCAATTTCTGTTTTAGTAACGCACATTTTTAAAATCCACATTTGATATTTCATCTATAAATGTGCGAGTCATAGGTGTGCAAAATCAATCTACGGTTTCTCCTTGGTCATTATTTCTTTTTAACTTAAAAAATAATTCAATGAGAAATTAACAAACTATTCTCGTCAATAGTCTTTGATAAGTTAAAATAATTGGTTAAAATCCATATGAAGTACAATCCTTAAGGGTACCTCTAAAAGTCTTAATGGCTTTCTAAATTAGTGGCGCTCGAATCAATTGTACAAAATTAAATTCATAGTTGAGAAAAGTATTTTTATTTTATTTTTAATACTAGTCTTAAACTATACATTTAAAAATTTTTCAAATAAATGATTTAACGAATGCTACTGTTATTAGTATAAATAAGTTAGTAAAAAAAAAAAAATTGTTAATAGTATTGGATAGTAAGTCAAAAGAATACTGTTTTGACGATCGAGTTTATTCAATCTGTGTAGTTGAATTAAATGATTGGCGATAATATTATAATTTTTAAAATTGAATATACTTGTTAAATTTGTTTAATAGCTTAACATGTATATTTAACTAAACTAAAAAAGTTATTCAATATAATTTATCATTCTTTTGATTACGCTTTTGTCATCAGAATAATTAATATCACTTGCAGCATTTTTCTAAGTTAAATTTGAATCAAAATAAATGTAAATTTCAAACAAATTCAACAATTGTGAATTTTTAGCCGTATCCTAGCTTTCATTTGAAATGAATAAAGAAATTTAAATTAAGTTACTAGTTTAACTAAGTATTAGAAAACATAATATAGGAAACTTTAATTAATATTAAGTTAGTACATTTTTTTAAAGTTTAATTGATTTTTTTTTTATGTAGGCAAGAATTGAAGCTAAATTAGTTGGTATCAAAGAAAAGAAGGCAAAGGAAGCTGCTGAAAATCCCGAAGCTGCGAAAAAAGCAGCTGCTGATAAAAAAGGAAAAGGCAAGAAGAAGAAGTAAACTGTATATTTTGTTGTTTTGACTTTTTTTAAATTAAATAAAAAAATCAGTCGAAAACTTGACAATTTTATGTTCTATTGTTTCTTATGACTATATTCATCAAACTTAAACAATACAATAACAGTATTAAATAACAAATAAGGCTAATATTGTTAATTGTTCGTAAGTATTGAGATTCAATTGTGTCTGCATTAGCTTTTTTAAAGCAATAACAAGAAAAACAAATAAAAAGTTATACACATGAGAAGCCAATAATGCTTAAATGATAATTTTGGGTATGTATCGTGTTTGATCAGATATATTTTGTATATTTAAATTAACGTATGGTGTATGTATTTTCGGAGTAGCCGGAAATCTGGTACCGGCCACATCAATTTCATATTTTGCTGTCGGAGACAAGATATAATCATTAGTTATGATCATACTGTTTCTGTTACGGTTATCGGTAAATGGTCGTTGTACGTATCCCAAACAGACTAATTTGCCCATGGTAAAGCCGTACCTGAAATTAATTTAAAATACAATTATAATATGTATTATGATAACTATAAATTATTGGGGCCAATAAAAAACTTTTAAAGTATTTGAGTTTATGAAACACAATATTAAAAAATCTAAATTCATATGCTAAATTTATTATTTATAAATTATCTTGAGAAAAGTCGACACTTGATCAAAACTTAATTAGATTTCATAATAAATAGATTAAATTAAATCTAGGTTTTCTTTTATTGAGGATAGTTAATAAATATATATACTTCTAACCTTTTAAAAGATAAATAGACAATTATAATCTAGAAAAAACTTAGGCAATACTTATGGTTTTGTATAGTAAAGCCTTGACAACAAAAATTATACGCTATTGAGTACTATTTTTACGGTTAAGGGATTATATAAATATATCCTTATTAGACGATTATAACTAAGAAATATTTAAAACATTTGTTTTGCAGTATTATTTATACAAAAAATTTAGTAGTTGGAATATTTACAGGAAAAAATACTAAAAAAATTAAAGTTAAGATAATGATAATATATAAAATTTTAGAAAAATATTTATATTTAAAATAATATAAAAAACAATTATTTAATCTTGTTTTTTTCAATACTAAAATTCTAGATTTGAACACTGATCATTTCTTGTACAATTATATTGTATATATATATTTTTAAAAGCGTGTATATGTGTTTTTCAACTCACCCGGCTGAAGTAATTCTGCCAACATACTGACCATTTCTATAAATCGGTTCTAAGCCCCAAACCCATACGTCTTTGTCAGGATCTAAATCGTCCAAAATAAACATGACTAGTTTTTTGGTAATTCCTTGATCTTTTTGTCTTTGTAATGCAAATTTCCCAATGAAATATTCTTTCTACAAAAACATTACAAAACAAATGATAAGCCAATAAAATACAACTTATTTGATAATTTTATCTCACTAACATCTAACTTGACTACATGGTTGCAACCAGCTTCAAATGGTGTAGTGTCTCTAGTTAAATCTTCTGCCCAAAACGGTATAAATTTTTCGATTCTCATGAATCGTTGTGTTAAACTACCAACATCGCGAATCCCATAATCGAATCCAACCGCCATTAAGCGATCATAAACGTGCAGAGCGTACTCTGATGGTATATACAAACAAAATCCTGGTTCGCCGGTGTGAGTAAACGCCATCATCATAACATCTGACGCATAACCAATGTTAACTGTCTACATTTTAACATAACATTTAAACATTTTTAACAATTTTTTTTAAAAATTTTAATATATGTATGTTACCAGCTAAACAAACATGTTTTTTTCCTCTTTAAATGTACCTTAAACGTAAAAGGTTGTAAGTTAACATCGGCATCAGACAGCGATAATTCTGATATAAGAGCACCAGCTTTAGGGCCGATCACATTGACGACAGTATACATTGAAGTGATGTCTGCTAATTGAATTGATTCGTCTTTAGGTAAATGATCTTTTAGCCAATCTAGGACTCTCGTTTGTTGGCTCGTAGGCGACACCATTAAATAACTAAGGAATAATATTTGATTAAAAAAACAAAATTAAGATTTTTAAATTTCAGATTTGTTTACCGATTTTCTCTTTCGCGAACTAATAAACAGTCGTTTTCATAGCCGCCTCTTTCATTCAACATTCCTGTATGAACGATTCCACCAACAGGTATGTTTACATCGTTTGTACATAAATTCTGAAGCCACTCGACTACACCATTGCACTGAGACTTAAACAAAAAAATTTCAGTTTACAATTTACACACATTACAGATTTTTTAATGGTGTTTATGGAACGGTAGTTCTAAAAAAAATAATAGGTTAAGACTATGTTAAATTTTTATTTAATTTACCTCCGTTTCAGTTGTTATATCTCCACTCTATCCACATTGTGTTAGTTTGTAATCAGTTTTAACAAATTATTAATATTAGTAAAAAAAATAAATAATATTTCACACAAATAGAATGTTAGTTTAATAAAAATTAAGTTATAATTTAGCTTTAGATTTTAAACAGGAATAGTGTTACCAAATTCATGGAACATACTTGTATTTTCATTTTTGAAAATGAAGACATATCGATAATACCGACCGATTCTCTACAAGCGTGATATTCTTCCAGCATAAATTGGAAAAATGCAGGTTTGTAAAATGTACCTAAAGGCATTTCTGGTGGTGTCCCTTTTCCTTTAATCAATAAAAAAAATGTGCACATGTATCTTTTTCTACTTGGCATTTAAATTATTATAATCACCATTATACGTTGAATCAAAATATAAAGGACGTTCATATCCCATTCGAGTGCCGAAAACTGCACCTCGCTTTTCCAATACACTAAATAATGGTGAACAGCGCAATTTTCTAGCGTTCTTATACTCAAATTGATGAGGATACGGTATAGCATAATGCCTTTAAAATAATTTTAAGGATCCAATATATATATTTTCATACATAATAATATGTATTTATTTATTTATCTCTCAATAATTTATAAACTTTGTTACTACTTTAAACCTAACCAGTCTTTACCTGCCAACAACTTCTTTGGTTCGTTCTTGTAAGTACATTCTGTTATTATGTAAATCTAAAAACCGTTGTACATCAAAAGCCATGTGCTCTTGTGTGGGTCTTCCTTCAATAATCCAATCGGCCATCGCTTTGCCTATTCCTCCAGCTCCTTGCAATGGATTTCCGTTCATTCCGACTGCCACAAAATAATTATCCACCTGCACATCCCATGTTGTACTTTAAATGCATTTAATTACATTACAGTAATTAGAAACCAAATTGTTTTTTAATATTACGCACATAAGGATCCAAATAAAGTTTCAGACAAACATCACATTTTACTTAAACTTTTTCTAAAATATCCATCAACAAAATCCATTTGTTCCCCAATAAGGAAAAACTCAATCAAAAATATCATTTTTTTCATAGAAAGTAAAATGTGAATTTTGCCAAACCATTGATGACAATATAAAATCATTACTTCAGGGGTTTCTCCTAAAATCCACTTGCCATTAGGTGTAAAAGTGTCTGGAGAATTGGACAACATTGGATAAACTACGTCTTTAAGAATTGGAAGTCTAGATGTAGCCTTTTCCCAATACGGCACTAAACAAAATTGAATGTAGAATTATTATATAAATTTTAATCAACAATTTATTTACTTATTTTTTTATCTTACTGAAATGTTTCCAGTCTTGGGGCATATCTTTTTTCCAATCCGAAGGTATAATTCTCATGTTGAGGAACGCTGGTTTTGCGACTTTCTCAAAACCTCCAATTAGAAAACCAGAGTTATACTCTCGGGCATATATATGGGAATCAAAATCTCTTATACACGGTAAGTTAACATTTACACCGGGTATCGGACTAGTCGTCACATAAAAGTGTTCAGCCGGGTACACGGGTACTCTAACTCTAGGTGAACACAAATTTCCTACTTCTCTGGCCCACTAAAAAAAAATATATATATAGTGTTAAATTCAGTAGAACAAGAAAAATCTATTACATTGATAAATATATTAGGCTTAAAAAAAAAAATAATATGACTTACCATTCCTGCACAGTTAACAAAATATTCACAATAAATAAATCCTCTGCTAGTATCTACTCCTTTAATCCGATCCTCTTCCGTAACAACTTTCTGCACTCGACAATTGGTAACATAGAGGGCACCCCCTTCACTAGCTAATTTTGCTAACGATTTGCATATAGCTTGTGGATTTGCAACGCCATCTTCAGGAACCCAAACTCCACCTTCAAGATCATCTGTATTGAGAAATGGATGCAGTCTTTTTAATTCGTTTTTTCCCAACATCTAAATTATAAAAATAATTTGACGTTTGAAACTAGAAAGCAAATATTATTTTTTTGCTTATAATTGTACTTCACAGTGTAATCCAGTCGGGGAACTGTAAGCTATTCTTCGTTTTAATGCAATCATTCTGTCTTTAGTTTGAGCTAAATTCAAACTGCCACATTGCTTTAAACCTAAATAATTTTTAAGAAAAACTTAAATAAACACCGACATATTGTGGTTACCAAAGAACAACTACCTAAGTGCAAATGGGGTTATTGCGGTTTTGGAATCAGAAAAAATTAATTTTTAAATTTGATAAATAAGATTGCATAGAGTGAATGAATTATTTGTCAGAATTATGTTTTTATTTTGTACACATTAAATATTTAAGAAAGGTATTTTTTCCATTTTTCTCCTGTAAAATTAGACTTTTTGCAGTTAAGTTGCTGTTCTTTTGAAGCTGCTATAAAGGTAAAATAGTAATTCTATGTTCAACAAACCAATATCATAGCCTTTGGCTTCCAACTGTCTATACAATTTAATACTATACATTATCATGTTACGCTCTGCTATTGGCTTAAATAAACCCAATGTTCCAGAACCAAAATGTGATGTTCCTCCACAAGGCCTAAATGACACACAGCGTACACATTAATTTATGCTCGTCAAATTTTAATCAACAGTCATCGTACTTTCCCTGATCGATAAGTACAATGTCGGACCAGCCATTTTCGACTAAATGATATGCCAAAGAATTGGCTACTAATCCAGTACCACATATTACAACTTGTGCTTGGGTAGGAAGAACAGAATCATAAGATAGTTTAGAATACTCTCGGGTACAGCCACTATTGCACAAAACAGTTATTGCCGGTGACCGAATCAACTTTTTTAAATACAGTCTCTTTTGCCATTTCGTTAGAAGCATTTTTATTATCATTCCATTTGTCCCCTGACCTATGGACAAACATTATATTTTAATAAAACGATTTATCACACAACGGTAATGAGGAACACAGTCTTACGTTGGACAGGCAAAAGAAAAAATTCTATACGTCGCTCCTCAACTAAAAATGAATAATAATAATACTCTAAATTCAATTTTCGGTTAATATTGCTATCTTTCTATTCGATTTTAGTCTTTAGAATAACATATTATGAAAATCATTGAACATTTTTATTTTTGTCTTGTAATTTGTGATAAGAAAACTGTTAACAGTTTGTTATCGATAATGTTGATAGATAAATTTTATCAAAGTTGGTAAAAATGTCCCTCTATAATCATAGGTACAGTCACTAAAATTCACTTGTCTTGAGCACGGCAACAGTTGGTAGCAATAGTAAGATATCACGTTACATTATCAGCAAGTGATACGCTAAAAATTTGATTTTCCGAAATGTTCGTTAAAAAAATACAGCAATAAAAAATTCCACGTACGAGGAATACCGAATTCACCTTTTGCCTGCTCAAGTCTCAACCTACAACTTACAATCATACAATCTTGCAAGTGTATTATTTTTTACCAAAACTATTGTAGATTGTTAGGTTTATGTATTATTAACTTCATTTCTTATTTAATAATTAAAAAATAAATAATATGAAGAATACTTTGCACGTAGAAGTTTTATTGAAAACAGAAACGTAAGTACTAAAGTATAATAAAAACTATACTATAGATATCAAATGGTTTTAAAATTAAGATAAAAATAAAGTATATTTTAATTTTAATTTGTGTTATTATGAATATTTTTTTTATTATTGTAGATCTGCAAATATTGCAAACTTAGAGGTAGCGGTTTTATTAGAATTAAGAAATATTAAACCCATTATACCAGAAACTATTCATAATACATTTAGCAGTGCAGAACTGACGCATTTTGTTAAACAAATACAAGTTTGTGAAATTGAAAATGCTTTAGATGATGAAAACCAGTCTTTTTTTAATGAGGTAATAGTCAAGTTATTGTAAAAAAAAGTTATAATGTTGATTTGTGTAATAATTTTAACTCATTATTAATATAATTTTAGACTGAAAATCAAATATTAGATCTTGATACATACACAATTAAAGTGTATTTCTTCAAATTAGATGACAGTGGTTTGGCAGATGATGCAACTAGTGAAGATAATACATGCAAAATGAGACGATGTATATTACCTAATGTCGATTTTTGTGGTATTTGGGATTCATTAATATTTCAAGAACCAGTAAAGGAAATTGTATGTTTATCATATTATTACTTATAAAAAGTGACACTAAAGTAGTTTTTGTTTTTATTGTTATAGCTCATGCATTATGCATTAACTGGAATGAATTTCGCACGGCACAATGTCGACACGAATATCATTAGCTATAATCGTCTTATTTTGCTTCATGGACCACCAGGTACTGGTAAGACATCGATATGTAAGGCACTTGCTCAAAAGTTATCAATACGGTTAAGTAAACATTACAAGTTTTTTGAATTTATTGAAATTAACAGTCATAACTTGTTGTCAAAATATTTTTCGGAGGTAATTAAATCGTAAATCAAATTATGCATAAAAAATAATATGTATTAACCACAAAAATTATATTTTAGAGTGGTACATTAGTAATGTCAATGTTTCAAAAAATTAGAGAAGTATTGGAATATGGTGATTCGCTAGTGTTTATATTAATCGACGAAGTCGAAAGTTTAACACGTGCTAGAGAATCTGTTCTATCAGGTACAGAACCGTCGGATTCAATCCGGGTGGTAAATGCTGTTCTCACTCAATTGGATAATCTTAGAAAGTAAATACATTTAATGAGATATTTTTATTAATTATTTATGATGTACTTAAATAGTTTTAAAATAATTTATATACGACGTGATTCATTATGGTTAAGACACTCATTTTCTCTTAAATAAATTACAATTAAATTATTATATAAAATATAAAAATATTTTATAGTATTTTTTTTTTTTTTTTTTTTGAGACATAATATTCTTTATTTTTTTCCAGAGCACTATCCAACTTTTAAAACTTAAATGGTAACATGTATGTTTAATTCAATTTTTAAACTAGGAATATTGAACTGAGATTTTTTACTGGTCGATAACCAATTTTGAATAAATACTTTTTAAGTTACAGAAGTTTAAAATTTAGGCTGTATTACTCCACCTCCCATTTAAAATTTAAAAATTTAATAACTATACAAGTAGATATTCTAATTATATAAGTTTAAAAAGTTGATAGACCTTTGTAAAATACCAATAAAGGTAAATATTTAGTCATTTTATATTATTGTAAAATAACATAAGCAGAAATATTTTCAAAAAGAAAAACTACAAAAATTCCAGTTTTTTTAAGAAAAAGTGAGTGTCTTATCCTTAATGAATCAACCTTCATATTTTATATGTAAACTTAAATGTATTCAAACTTGACCAGTTTAATTTATGTATGTTATATATAGGTATTCAAATGTTATATTTTTAACAACTTCTAATGTAACTGAAGCAATTGATACGGCATTTACTGATAGAGCCGATATAAAAATGCTCATAAATCCACCTCAAGAATTGGCAATATACACAATATTTAAAGCAGCCATAGATGAACTTATACGGGTAAATTAAATTATATCTAATACTTTGTTATAATATTTTTATACAACATTTTAAAACAATTTTAACAGGTAGAATTAATAGTTAACGTAAACGAAAGTGATAAATTTGATCGACTTCCAGTTGGTAAAGAATTTACGAATAGTGCAACGCAACAACTATTTGAAATTTCCAAGTAAAAAAAAACACTTTTATTTAAAATTAATAGTTAAAAAATTGGAATTTATAATTACATATTTGTTTTTACTGTGTTTTAGAGAAAGCGTTGGTTTAAGTGGTCGTGTTCTAAAAAAGCTGACTTTCATAGCGCATTCTATTTATATTAGAGCACCTCAATGCAACGGCATTGATGAATTTTTATCAGCTTTGTTAAAGGCGGTCAGATATCAAAAAAGACAAGACGATAGTATTAATAAAGTTAAATAACTTTACTAGTCTGTCATGATATATTTTTAATTTTTTTGTATTAAAACATAATATATATTTATAAATTATTTTCTTATAACAAAAAATTAGATTTATTTTAATTCACTGCCAATCAAAAAGTATAATCGTTGTGTAAATAAAATAAAATCTAAAAAACATTTCATTCGAGTGTTAATAAAAATCATTCATCATTATTTCAGATAATTAGTTTTTTTTTTTGTAAAGTACTATTGTCAAGTGGTGACATTGACAACATGAAGGTACAAGGAAATATACAAAATTGATCTGAGTAAATATGATCAAAGTATGTTTTTCTTCCTTATGAATAATACACTTAGCTTAAGTGGTGAATGTTGAAAAACTTCTGGTTTAACGAATAATGAATTGGCCAAACGTATAGATTTATTGTAATAATAATCATAAGTTAACAAGGTAGGTACATGGTTATAGTATAATTAATATCTACAAAGATAAAAATAAATAATAACACTTTCAAAATAAATAAAACAATATAATAGGTATTTTAGATTACAAAACTACAGATGGCACAACCTAAATTCTAATCTCGACGATAAATACACCTTGATGAGGCTACATTTACAATAATAAATAACAACTACAATATTATACTAAAAATAACTATAATAATAACTATACATTTTTGTTAAGGTGAGAAACGAAACAAAAAGAGAAAGAAAAACACATTTTCCAAGTCGTAGCTATGCTATGCGTACTTTTAAGTCCTCTTTTTGTTTCGTTTTCGGGAATCCTTTTAAATGTAGAAATATATAAAAATATTATTTTACACCGCCAAATATCCTTTGATCGTTGATCGTCAAATTACTTTTATCAAATACGTGTCGCTATAGTTAAATTTAGGTAGTAAGTAAAAATAAAATTTAGGTTTCTGATAATTCTGAGTGGCCGTGCCCGACAAATGAAATATGGGTTGCGGGTTTGAAAAAGAACTAAAGGAGAAGAAAGTCAGCATTAGTAATTTTGTCTAGCTTTTTGGTCAAAAATTCCATCTAAATGGCATTTACTCATTGAAAAATGCGTATAAGTTTAAAAAAAATACTGTGAAGGTCGTGCAAATTAATGTGTAAAAAAATTGACATGGTCGAAATTTGAAACCCCCTTTTTTTCTTAAATGTTCCCTATATAAAAAACTCCTTAAAACCCGTTCGCTTTCAATCTCCTTGATATCAATAAACATTTAAAAAAAATTCTTGTACGGGTAAATTTTCGTTGTAGAGTGAAAAACATTTAGAAATACAATTCTGTGGTTGTCTGATTCCAAAAGAAATACTGTGAATTACAAACAAAAACCTCAATATAGTGTTAACTCAATGTGTTCGATGCCGTAAATTTTCGTGAACATTACTCTTTAGCCGATTGTTGAAAAACAAAACGGGCTGTATACGAAGAAGACTGCGGATAATATTTCAATGGCCGTTTTCCCGCAGACCATAAGTAGGTAATATTATGTGGTAATATAAATATAATATAATATTATTATACTCGCATTTACGGCTAAACGCAACCAGGATAGTTGATATATAAAAAAATAGTAGTTAAATATAGGTGCAATAGTGCCTATAATAATAATATTATGTTGTGTCGCAGCAGCAGTAGCTATACATAAAGTTACACCTATTATAACAACCGGAAAACTGTCGGGAGGTCCGGCGATTACATACCTATACGTTTTTTGTCGGCCACGCACGATTTGGTATGAGAGGAAAAGAAACAAAAAGAGCTATAGATTTAAAAAAAAGAAAATAATAATAATACACTTATAAAGCCAAGAAGACGACACGCGACATTTTGTCCGCCCCGACCATAAACGATAAATTCGTCGACAGTTTAATATAATATATATTATATATATATATAAATGATTGGAACGATCCTTATAGCGGATATTCGGGTCACATGGCAACCGGTGCTGGAGCCAACGTCACTTTTGATGAACCGCTCGCCGCCTCCTTCCGGTCGTCGGCCGATAATATATCGTTGGTCAGGTCTTCGCCGTCGTCGGCGTCGACCGTTTCCACCGATTCTTCGTCTTCGTCCGGTGGCCAATCTTGGTTTTTACTATGTGAAAAACAAAAAAAAAAAATATATATATATAAAATAAATTAAGCAATTAAACGTCGGTCACGGTTAGAGCATCGATCAGTACTCGATCGAATTGTGCATTACGGAAACCGACGACGAGGCGGCCGGATCTTCTAGACAGTAGGTACCTAATATTGCCATCGGCGTTATGCGGAAAACGACCGTCCGGCCAAAATCTCTGTTTTTAGAAATAATTTGATGTTGAAAAAATAATAATAATGTTTTAAAAAATTGTAAAATTTTACATTGACACAATGGACATTTGGCATAACGAGCATAACGTAGTTGAAACATATTATGTATGTAATCGCAGTAATGGCTATTAGCCATTCTGTTATTAAAAGAAGAAACGAACGACTCTTTATTCCGGGCAAAATTCACATTTTAATCAAACAAAACATGTTTTTTTTTCTAAAATTAAATAATATGTTTATCTGAATAGGATCATCATTTAACTCATTAAAAAAAAAAAAGGATTAAGACAAACTTTTTTTAACCGAGTTATTCTCACCGTAACAAATAAAATCTATTGGTTCCCATAAAAAAAATTGAACAAATCGATGGCGATCTTATAATTGCATAATTGCCAAACGTCTTACTCAAACCGAGAGCCAAAAAGATTCAAATAAAAATCTCAAAGAATTAGACTTTTTTACTTATTTAAAACCTATTTACAGGGCTCCAGCATAAAAATACTCCAAACCCTTATTTAAAAGACCACTCTAATGTTTATATTATGAATAATATTATATTGTCAAGGTACTATTTCACGTTAATCCTCACCTTAATTTCTTAAGTTAATAATTCCCTTTTAGATGTTAATTTATCAACAGAACTTTATGCGAATACATGTTTTGAGGTCCTTATGTTTATTATTACAACGGTGGGGAGGAGGCTGTTTAGACACGGCGGATAAATTTTATAAAATCACTATATATATTTTTTTAGGAGTTATTATTTTTTTATATATATATATATATATATATATATATCGAATTTAAAGACTGAAGAGTGGGGATTTAAGTATATCGCATACGACGGTCAGTAATTGGCGCAGTATAATCATTTTTACAATTTTGTAAAAAAAAAAGGTATTTTGAAAATTAGTAGTTTATATATATATATTTTTTTTTTATCGATAACGCCTATATCTAGTATCTTATTGGCAGTGGGTCAAATGACTGTTATCCCACTATATATAATATGATTGTCATATAGGTGCGATGTATATTATGTCAATCAAATATCAACGCTGAATGTATTTCGAACATAGATGTGTGACAGTCCAATTTCACAAAAGATTCCGCATCAATGGAGGTAGACATAAAAAAACATGATACTTTATTTTTTTGGCCCTTCGATAAAAAACATTGCGAAAAATTAATATGAGATATTGCGAAAATAACACTGAACACTGGTGGGTATAATATGACCATTATTATTTTTTTTTTTTCAGTAAAATTGGTCTTGAAAAATAATGATGAATCTGTAAAATAATATCGTTTGTTTGAAATTTTCTGCAAACCAGAATTAATATATGCACATTTGTAATGATTATTAAAATATTAATTTTTGGGTTTTTTTAAGAAATCGGTTTGCAAAACTCTTGCATATTATTTGCAGTGAAATTTATACATTGGTGTTACATAAAACTAATATTGTGATGTTTGTTTGAAAAATGAGTTCGTCTGTTGTTGCCGAGCCTATTACTTTCTCGCGTCGGGGTGTCATGTGTCGTCAATTGATTTTCAACGGAATGCCAAATGTGTGAAATTAGCTTATATTTTAATTTTTCTATTCAACGAGTAGCTCGCACGTGACCACATTAGCAACAGACGATGGTCTGGTGGAGCCACATACAGCAACGTACAGGTAAGACTTTTATTCTACACAGTGATTTTGATTGATAAATAATTTGTAATTTCATTTTAAAATTTTAACCCATGTTTACTATTTGTAAGTCTGATTGAACACCGGCTTAAAGGGTATTTTTTTAGGAATTTGAACTTACGAATAATTGTGATTATTTGTAAACAGCGATTTTGGACATTCTTTGAAGTAAGGGTAACATTCTTTGCTGTGTTTGCCCACCGTTTCGGCGGTCACGTAGTCCTTCATTAAATCGGCATACGACGATCTGCTAGCCCTGTAAAATAATAATAATAGTAATTATCTATAGGACACATGCAGCATCGTATTTCTCTCTAGCGAATCTGCACAGTATCAAATAACCCTACACACTCACGCACAGTATCAATATTTGTATTATTATTTTCTTTGTATTTTATTATACAACCGACGACGTATATGTAATAGTAATTGGTACATGAAGAATGCCTTTGTCGACCTGAGTATAGGTTTGATAAACCAATAAATGTAACAATCCTAGTCTCTATGTTTGTAGTATTGATTAAAAAAATACATATATTACGCATATACTATATGTAATTGTGTTTATAAACATTAAACTATAATAATTAAAGTTACTGTTAAAAAGCTGATTTTTTTGTTTTTGTGTCCGAAAAATACTATCATTTTGTTGGATCAATCTATTTGGGTGGTTATTAATCGATAAAATTAGATAACTATGAATTTTGATCTTTGCAAACAACAGTCAATCGATTAACACTAATGGCATGCTACTGTTTTATTTTGGTTTGTTGAAAGCGGAAAGCACTTTCTATGCTTCTAGGCTACGAAACCCAGGAACAGAAAAATATAAAATAAGCATACAAATAAGATTTAACCAAATGTCGTAAGAGAAATATTCATGTAGGGATTATGTTCAAATAACTAAAAAAGTATACATATGACACAAATCTTATTTAGTTTTATTTTCATGTAGAGTACAAAAAGGGAATGATTTATAAGAGATAAAAAATAAGTATATATGTATGTATAGGAAAGGATTCCTAAAAAAGAGTTATAATTTATAACTTATAATAACGAACAAAAACATAATAGTATTATGTATTTTGTCTTCAAATTGTATCTATTAGACAACAACTAAAAGTGGTTTGCATTTAGTGGTAGAGGCGAACAATGACGTGATCGATTTTTGATTTGTGTAGTAAATTATCTGACCGGATCGAAGGTCTAAATCGGTTCACGATTGGAAACTAACATACCGATGAAATGGTGTGAAGTTTTTGATTGTACCGTATATTACCTAACTTCGGTGGTGTTAAATTTAAATGCCATTTACAAACATTACTCAGCATAAATGACTTACTTGCCTAACAGTGAGTGAATACGGCCGATCATCCGCGTGAACAAAGTCGTTCTGTACTCTTATTTTCCGAATTTCCTAAACCTAATAAATTATATCAATTTCAATGTTCATCTTTTATTTTTATATCATAATTCTTAGGTACGGTCGTGGTAACAGACAAATAATAATTGCAATATCGGAAATGAAGAAATTAATCGTCACAGTCACTAATATATAAACCATTCGGTTGTACATTTATTTTGAAGACTATTGACTACTAGTTAGTTCCAATAAACAACTCAGCAATCTAGATTTGGAATCTAAGTTCATGAAAATACATTTTACTTTTTTTTTCCCTGTACCCTTTCATGTAAATCAATAACCATTTCGAGATAGTGGACTTTACAGATCTTCGTAATAGAAATGTAAAAATATACAAATTCTATATACCTAATACAATCAAGAAAAACATTTAAAACGAAATTTTTTGCACCATTACATTACTGTATATTGCCTACTATTTATGTTTGCGTTAAGTCGCGGGGTGACTTTAATTATAGTTATAATAATTAGTTATAGTTATAGTATGCGGCCAGGTAGTATTGTGTGCTTAATAGCTATAGATGGGATTTATGATTTCTTAGGAATTATTGCTGCAAGGCACACAACAGCTATAGTGGTATAACCATATACATATAGGTACGTTAGACATAGGTACACACATAGACGGCGTTTCCGGTTTGGTACACGAGTTACAATAAATATTGCAAAACTCGACGACATGAAAAATAAGTACGCAAAGGTTATGACCCAATGACCTGTTAATTACACAATTATAATATTATTTTGGACCGTTTATAGCTACAGATTTTTTTTTCACTAACATTGTATAACATATTATAATCTATTATTATGAAATATTTTTCATAAAATCAGTAATGCTTTATTTATTCCATAGTAGTTAATAGTTACGCTTCGCTTTGCTATCTTGTAAAAATTGTATTTTATTCACTTCTTGTCGTCGTTCGAGATGAGTAAAATATAATATTATTATGGTTAAATGTAATATACTAACGTTAGGAACAACTGAAGAAATTCGCCGACGAATCCAAACTTGTGGATGGCCTGATGACCGTGAACTTCACATATGGCTCGAAGCAAACAAGCCTTACCGTCCATTCCGAAGTTGGTCAGCAAGTCTTCCACGACGGTATACAACAGTGCTCTGGAAATATACAATTCATTGGTACACTATGCCCTTTATATTAATTATTGCAGCCCCATGAAACAGGAAACTTACAATTTACGTTGTTAATAATATTGTTTATTTTTTAATTAACATTTGTATTGCAGATTCGTACGTATAATATTATTTTAGCAGTCTTTGTTTTTTTTCTTTCCCATTGCAAAATAATTACAATTCCACCAGCGACTTGGGCTTGGGCTATTATTCATTATATCAAGGGCAACGCATAATTTTCAGCTGCCAAGATGTTATATTATGATGTCTTAACATGTTAGACCAAGTATCCACGCAAAACAGGTTAGATTATTATACATGTATGATATTGCCGCTGTGTAGAATATTAATTTTTGGACATCTTAAAAAATATCAAACCGTTAATGCTAAAAGTCGGGTATACCAATACCATAATCAATTTGTGGCGAATTTATCAGGTAAAAAATATCGTGTGAACTATAGTCTATACAAACTTATAATATTAATATACGAGTGAAGAAGTATTTTGAACCCGTGAGATAAAAATTTCAACATTATTAAAGTCGTGTTAAAAACAAAAAAAAAATCCATAAGAAAACGAACTAACGCGAATTTGCAGAAAACAACAGCAAACAAAGAACACAAACACTCCGATTTGGACGATCAAACGTACAGTATCACCTAGCATAGAGTTACCAAATTTCAGTATTATATTATTTACCGGAGCAAAGATAGCAAACAAACACGCACCGAACTGAAGAATACATATAAAACTCAATGTATTCAGTTCGGTGGGAACGCGATATGTTTGTAAGACCAAACAGCGGCGAATATTTGAAAATAAAATTAATAAGGTTTTTAAACTGTTGTTTTAAGAGTTAAAATTTGACTAAAACTATAGTTTATGCGCACATTAAAAATGTCAGCTTTGGGTTGCCCCTCTAAACGGTTAATGCCCACGTACAAAAAAAAAAAATAGCACAAGGAACGATTAAAACGCATACCTTTCTCCTCCTTGGAAGTACGAATGTATTGGCTTGGGTAACGTGGGCACGGATCTGGTAGATCTTCGGCCGTCCATAAGCTGAGCCACATAGTCGGCCAGCACAGAACCGGCCTGTCTGCCCATACTTCTGGCTAGCAATGGCGGAAAAGCGCCGAACGGATTCTGGTTGTCGGTTAATCCTAGCGCGTCAAAGTCGACTGAAAAATAATAATATATATAAACATAGGTATATTATGCACCGTACATTACTATTAGGTATACAGATACCGCAATATCAACACACCGCCGGGAGGTCTCTTTCTTAACCGCACGTTGTAATGTTAGCTAGACGGATTTAAACAGTATAGTGTCATAAGCATGCGGTTAACATAATATTTATTAGACTGGACGTGCAATAAAACAGAGTTTTATTGTATTTTGCATTTTTCGAAAAGTTATTATTGGCTATTAATTATAGGCTAAGTACAACGTGCACGACTGACATCTGGTTGTATACGATTGGAAATTTAGACTTTGTGCACGTATTAAAAACGTTAAAACTGAAAGAGTTTTAATAATTTAAAGTTATACTTTTATTCGATGAAGATAAAGGATTGGAAATGTAACTTCCGTAGCACGGCTTAATATTGTGCAAGTGATTAGGGGCGTTAAAGAAAATGTAGCTAGTAAAATCAATTATTGTTGAAAACGTTGTTTTAGATCACATGGAGTCTGGAGATATGCAAGTATACAGGCGCGTGCCTTCTTCGCACAGTTTTGGCTTGTGCAAAACGAGACAACTGAAAATGGCGTATCTATATAGAAATCATGTGATTGAAAATTGAAATGAACTTATTTACGCTTTAAGCTTATTTTATGATATCTTATAATTTTATCTAATCTTATGATTAGATAAAATTATGGTAATGACATAGCAGACTATAGAAAACAGACTAAAATTGTTTGAGTATGCTAAACAGTAAACACAGTAAATGAAAATATTATATACAATCAAAATAAAGTCGGTTAAAACAAGAGGCATTCCAAATTACAAATGGGTTTATATATTAATCTTTCACATCACAACTACTTAACATGAAACTGTATCGATTTTTCAAACTAATAATAGGTGTTAAAGTACTGACAAATGTATGATGTATTAATGTATATTGGGTACATTATACAAACACCGCATTACTAAAATAATCACGAATTCGGTGTTTCTAACTCAACAGTATTACGGAAACTAATGGTGAAACGGCAGTTATTACAAGAACACTTGAAAGGTGTGGTGAGAGGTTATTGCTACTTACAATAGATATATGAAGATTAACGATGTAGGTGTCATAAATGTCTGCTGAACGGAAGTACAAATAATAATGACTGGCGCCATAGTAAAGAAAATGTATTAGTAGCATATTTGCTAGTTGTGGTGAAGTACCTTCACATTTAGCATTTGCACAAGAATCAAAATATTTCATCCAATTATTATATTAGTGTTAAATATGCTTTATTTTTAATGGAACACCGAGTAAGTATTATCCACAAACGGAGTTTATTATTATATATAATTTGAAAAACATAATGTTTCTACAATCTTGTTAGAACAATAATGTGCCTATGAAGGAACTAATGTTTTTAGGTAGGTATAACGCATAATTTATACAATCATATTATGATATTTTATGCCTTGAGGGATCCAACGCGCTCTTGACGTGACTTCAACGCCTCTTTTTATTTTATTTTAAGTGATTTATGTTTTTTTTTATTAATACTTATTATTATTACTAACTGTAAAATACAATATTATTATGTTAACATATAATTTAATAGTAACTCATAACTGATTATTATGTAAAAACGTGTTAGTTTTTTTATTAAAAAGAAAAAATATATTTTTTAATATTTTGGGAGTTTCTAGTAGGGACAGTATTTAGTTAATTATTTTTAAATAGTTAAAATATTCGGTTGAACACCAAACTTGGAAAAATACCCATCGGGCTCTTTTTGTTAAGTCCAGCGTATGTTTGGTATTTTTTCTAAAAGATGGGTTTTATCGGGTTTATGCATACCCTAAAAACTTAACAAGTCGAATTTTTTTTTAAAACAAGTATTTTATTAAATGGTTAGACTCAAATAGCTATAAGTATAAAACTAATATTTTAAAAATGTTAAATAATATTTTTTTGCAATAAACCGCATTAAAAAAATCGGATACCAGTTTACTATGTTTAAATAAATATTGTTTTTATATTGGAGGTTACTGAATAAATATAATTGATTTTAGAAATTGTACAAACTATTTTATAGATAATATTTCGAGTAATAATTAATGTAAATGAAAAATTCATCCGTGGCTTAGTAACTTTTTAATTGAGCGCTAGCGGTTTATTGATTTTCAGTTGGTATGCGTTTTAATTAATTTCGTAACAATTGATAAATATTTGTAAAGGGTGTATTATTTAAGTTATTTACAAAATAATATAAAAATCAATTACTAATCAATTCGTATGAATCATACCTGTATTTAATTTTATATGCAGGTATAATAATTACAGAGTGCATATTTTTGGAACGTGGTATTTAATATCTCTCGGAATTTCAGGTGATTGTACGCAAGTTTTTTGATATTAAAACTCGTTTAATATGCTCGCTTGGTGTGTTAAAGTTGCGTTGTTACATGCGTATAAAACGTAGAGGCAAAATAATGTTGTACTGACTTGTAAATGGAAGACTGATGGACATATTGGACAGGAATCCGTCAGGTGGATATCTGACGAACGGAAGAGACAGCGATGGCGTGATGGTCAGCCTTGTGCCTGGCGGTAATGCCAGTCGGCCGTCCGTGGTGATCCATAACAACCGTTTTTTTCGCGAGTGCGGTTGCTCCGATGGGTCGTCTTTGGCATCGGTCGCGTTGCTCTCAAGCCACATCAACAGTAATAACACGGCACCCAACAACGGTTTGCCTAAGTGTCTCATTCCTGGCGAAACAAACAAAAAAAAAAACCCATCGATTAGTTAATATAATAATCATGAAAAACGCATACATTTTACACTTATATAGTATTTCAACCGTTGTTCTGAATTGGCTTTAATCAACGACGATTGAGTTCAAAAATGTGTCAAAAATAATTATTGTATTTCACTTTGACTAAAAAAAAAAAAAAAAAATACTACGCGACATTTTACACTATTTGAAAAGCGAATAAATTATAATGATACATTGCTCAATACTCGAACGATACAAAGAGCAGGTACACCTAGGCAGTTTTATTACAGTGTCATTAATCCTGAAAATAAGGAAGCTGTGGTCGGCAAGTCCCGGGCTTGACTAAATTATTATTCGACTGACCCGAACAATTTATTATAATAGAAACGATACCTATTTAAATCTCGAAATAGTAATTTTTTACGTCCTAACGTACAGTCACATTGATCATAATGACCTCTGTCAAATAATCAGTTTGGAATAAGTACAATAATGTTTAAGCGTATGCACTTAAGTTAAAATTTTGTTGAAACCGTTATTGCGTTAAAATCGTGTGGATTAAACAAATTTTTAGAGTATACTTTCAAAAACGCATATACATAAACGTGAGTCCGAATTTGTCATTAAACCGGTTTCGGATAAAAATGATTGCCTTACTAAATTCCCACTAACCTAAAGACGATGAACTCGCATTTTAGAAGTTAAATATACATATTAAATAAACCAAGCGAACACCAAAAGCGGCGCCAGATATTTTTCATTGGCGAGACAAAGCAAACATTTTTTTATAATAGCACATTAAGAAATTTATATTCATAAGCCATAGGTAAGGCACTACCAAGCAAACGCAAATTTTAATGGGCTCTTGTTCCGTCGGCCTCCATCCCTCGCCCCAGCGTCACTTCCGGAAAAACGAATACATATTATATAATATGCGTAATGTATATATAAATGCACATCATATAGCAATATCTATAACGAGAAAGATGATAAAAATTTAAAACAAGATTTTCTAACAACGATATGCTCACGGATACAAACACGAATAATATACTTGTAAGAAATATCTGTGAAATGTGAATTAATCGCTGTAATATATTCTAGGAATATATTACAGCGGTTAGTTCATGTTATTTTTCAGTTTATTACTCTATTTGGCCAAAAAATCTTGTTTCTGTGTATGAAATATATGTAAACGTCAGTCGGCGCGGGTTATATTATTGTAAGTAGACTATAAAGTGTACGATTCATCCGTTATGTACAGAGATTTAACCATGTTAACAGTCAAAACGCTCTTTTAGGTTTTCAGTTTAGCTAAAATTATATATAATTAGCGTTAAAGATCACAATTTTTTTCTTTTGATGAAGAGCAAAAAAAAATTGTACAATACCGACGGTATACTCGGTATAGAGTATAATAATAGGATATCATAGCGACCGAAGTCATCAAACAGTACGATTTGGCCAATAGGTACCGACAAGCGTTTAATGTTCAAACGACTGTAGATAATTGAGAATATAAATTAATTATGGCCATTGTTGGAGAATAATATGACATGCTATAAAGCTATTGTCATATTTTAATCATTCTGTGGCCAGTGATCCTTACAAGTTACAATGTATAGGCTATATAGTTTGACCATTAGCTTGGATAATATTAATTCATAGGACACCGGTTTTGTTGTAGGTAACTTGTGTTACCGAAATTAAAGCTGTTTCTTGTTGCTGAAATAATAACTAAACGGGGTGAATCATAGTGTTTTTGGAAATTTCCGCACCTAACCAAACACGGTATTCAGTTCAAATCATTAGCAATAAACGTGTCTTCTTTGTAATGAATAGTATTGTTATTTTTTTTATTTAAATCACAATGGATTAACTTAAGTCTTAAGTTTGTTCTTAGAATTTTTACCTAGAATACAGAGAAAAATGCTCAAATCATCGAAGCTACATTTTGTTTGGGTCGAGATAATCGAGAAAGAGAATTAAGGCTTGACATACTTTAATAATCAACAGCTCAATTTAGCTAACCTTAAAGTCAAATTTGAAGTTTTATAACTATATTTAATAATGGTTTTTTGGTATCATATTTCTTAAAGACAAATTCAAGATTATTGGTGTATCGAAAATAAGTAAAAAAATAGTAAAAAATAAATATACCATTTGTCCTAATGAAAAGCAGTGGCGTATTTTCCAGGGAGGGTTCAAAATAATAAAAAACTGTATAAAAAAACAGTATTATCAAATAAATACTTGTATTTATTTTTTTATCCATTTTTTGAGGGATGGGAGTGGGTCTAGTACCCTTAGACACCTCCCTCTCCTTATGTTCGCTAGGGGGACATGTGTACTGAAGCTAGTTTCTATCAATATTTGATCAACCCGTTTCTTTATATCTTACTCTTAATCATAACATCATTCAATTTAGAGTCATCTAGTCTAGAAGAAATTAACCATTTTATTTACCGGTATTAATAATTAACAATATTTGTGTTTGTTTATTTAATGAATTTGCACCATACAATTTTTAGAGAATTACTAACCTACAAAATAATTTTTAACACACTACGTTGGTATGTTTAATATAAGACAAAAAAATCCATATTAGAATAAGATGTATTTATTTAATAGGAAATTAATTTATTCATTTATTTTTCAGTATTAAACATTCAAACTTTAATTCTGTTTTAACGGCATTCTTATGCTATTTTTAGGTCATGAAGTTTTGGTCTCTAGTAATGAATGCCAATACCGATGATAATTTAAACACCGCTATAAAAAAGTCAATGCCTGAGAGCTAATACACATTTACACGTGACGACCGCTCAAATTATTTATTTGACTGCTATCAATGGATAATAATCAATGCTTCTTCTTGTGAGGTTGTTTTATACAAATCATTTTCATCAAACGACTGGTCAATAAAAATTGTTGCTGGTAAATATTTACCATACAAGTAGGTTTTTTTTTTGTATCGTAGTAAAATGTTGTTTGAAAAAATTAATAATATGCTTAACTGATTGCGAGTAATTACAAACTATGGAACATACTCATGACAAGAATAATTCAAATTTTCGTACATTGATCTATATCAAATATTATAAATCAAACTCCAACGGGTTAAGTTTTCTTGGCAAAGACTCAAAATGGAATATATTTCAGATTATTAATACCTTTTATGTCGTTTTTAATATGTGTCATATTAATCATATTTGTCACGCACAGGAATGCTAAATATCAGACCACATTTAAATAGAAGTAAAATTAATAATAGGCGTTATCGTTATTTTTTTCTAAATTTTTTTTGGGAAAAAAATTATGTACCTACTTTTATTTTATAAGTTATGTCATACGACTAATTTTTTTTAGACGTAGTGCATAAGTGTGAATAATTTTACACTTGATTTATTAACATAAAAAAAAGGGTTTTTTTTTTAATATACGGGCATAAAATAAGTAGTCGTATAACTAAACCAATTTAGCCGATTCAGCTTAACATGTAAATTGTTCTCATAATACAAATTGTTTTTCTCGCGTGCTGGTAACGATTATTTGCATTTAATTCAGAGAAATTTTCACGCTTAAAGAAACTCTGCTTAACAAACTTCATTTACTTTTTTTACCATATCTGTTTATTATAATGTCCGGAATATAATGAAACGCAATATGTTATATCTTAAATTCACTTTTAACTGCTGACCTACTTCCAGAGATGGTCAAATCAGCAATAATGTAGCACAGCCTATAGTTCAGATGTCAATAAGTATCATCACAGATCGATTATTTAAATCATTAGCACATATTGTAAAAGTATAAATGTAATTATACCCCTGTTGGTCGGGGTTAGAATAGACCATCGGTTGTTCCTGCCTGTCGTAAAAAGCGACTAAAAGGGACTTGTAGTAGGGCAGCAGCTACTACAATATTGGGTGTAGGTGCAGGTAACCTACAATGGTAGAAACAGCTACACACTAAACAGCAGCCAGCAGATACGGGAACTGTATAACTGGTGGCTGCACTGCGATACGGAAGGCAAGGGGAAACCACCGTATAAATCATCCCAAGAAATAGCAATAGGAAGGCAAGTAACAGGGAAGAGTGGAGAATTGCTACAAACCAATCTCAGGATTGAATACTAAAGAAGAAGAAATGTAATTAATTATTATACACAGTAGAATCATTAAGTACAAATAATAAAATGATGAATCCAAAATGTAACTGGTATCAGTTGTATCAATTCTCATTACAGATCTTCACCTATTTGTATTTATTTATTCATACAGCTTGATATATTTCTTTGTAATAATCGCATAGCGCACAAGACATACGATGCATATTTTATATAGTCATCAGGAACGACGTTTAAAAATGTAGAAGACGAATATATTAACGACGTTTAATATATATTGCTATGTATTTAAATTTGCATTTTAAAGCTTATTAATCCGAAACTTCAGTGTTTTTGCATATCTGAAAATATTTTAAGTTAATCTTCTGCCAACTTTCTCATAATCCCTATAAGTTTTAAAGACTTTGACATCATGTTGGTAGCAGAATCTTGAAAAAATGCAAAACAATTTCCTAACTAAAACTGTCGTAATGAAAAATAAGGTAGGTACAACATTTTAGAGACCTCCTCTTCACATATGTAAAGGAAAGAACATAAAAAACAATTCCCGAGAAGGAAAGCAAAAAAAATAATGATAAGTGTGCACATGAGATGGGATGGGGAATGCATGGAAATATGTTAGTGTATATTATATAGGACCAAAGGCCTGATTAAAAGTTTACTGTAAATTCGCATCAAATCGTTTCATCATTAAATCATTATAATCACTTTAAGTTTTATTCGTTTATAAATCTGTCTTTTTATTTTTTTATACGACAGTACCAGAGTTGAAATTACCCTTTTTTGATGCCCCAAGGCGAAGAAAATTAGGCACCTTAGGCTAAGCAATTTTTGTCTCGAATCATGCTAAATAAAATGTTTAA